TTTTGCTAGATCCTCTGGGATCTCACCGTGCCCTGTTTGGTCACAGCTTGCGGGATGATATAGTATGATCGGCTTGATTCGTGCTTAATTTCACATGCGTTCATGTACCAGCTTTTACCACATTCCTTATGATGCCCTTGAAATTTCCTTCATTCCAAAGTGAGCAAGATATTGCATCACGTCGGAATAATACGCCTCAACATTTCCTGATCGAGACCCATAACAAGGGGGCGGGTTCAGCTTCCACAACACACTGTCTCTGCCTCATCTATCGCGCAGCCACGATGCCCGCATCCTACCTTCCCGCTCTAAGGGCCGCCACAGCACTAACGATGACCGAAGGGGCTTGTCGGCCCACAGATCCGACTACCATGAACCTGGCCAACTTGGCAAGATACGATGCCCCTAAGGATACTCCGTACCGCCGAGTAGATCAGTCGATTCTTATTAATTATTTTTTGCAGACAACGCTAACCCCTCCCAACCCAGAGACAAGGGTCCATGATCCACACAGAACCGCAGCTGCCGCACCATATTGTCGGGTTCTGACAGTCGCAAGATCCCGGATGGCTGAAGCGTGGCGCGGATTGCCCCTCAATAGCCAAAGGACAAAAATAATTCAAATCTGCAAGCGGAAAATGTTTCCTGCCATATAGGAAAGCTTTCTTTTGGATCTATCCAAATTCCAAGTTGGGCAGAGACCTCGGGCAAAATTGCCACAAAGACTGGGGTGCTTAGACTTTTTTTGGTGCGGCCTCCCTTTCTGTGCCGTGATGGTTGACGGGAAGAAAATTCAGTTGTGTGATGTATCAACTTTTGGGGTCACTCCCGTGGGCCGAATTCCGTCACTCAAAATCTAGATCTTTGATGACATCGAAACCAATGGGAATAAAAAAGGGGCACACCTTCTAAATGGGGGGGGGGGCAAAAAAAAAGGGTTCAAACGAACATGCCCCTCTCGATGGTTGTACAAGATGTGTACATCAATGTAGGTGATGTACATTGCAGATAACTCTGATTCCATCGTTTTCAGGCCTCTTGCCGTCGTGATCCGCTTGATTCGGATGGATGCAGGCTTCTTCCCCTATTTAATCAACTTCGGCTCCATTTCTTGCTATCAATAAAACGCCACAAGTCGTGCCATCCTTTGCGATACGTACGGACTAAATGCTCTAGACGGGAACGTAACTTCACTGCAGTCTCCCCGATCGATCGAGAAAACAAAGTTTGAGGTTAATTACTATATCGAGCGTCAGTACTCCGTACAATTCATTCCTCCCTTTGCTTCCGATCGAGAACCTTGCGCTAAATGTGCTGGCGATCGATTACACGATGTCTTTGGCTGTTTCTTTTTAGAGACCGCTGATCAAAATCACAGTATCCATGTCGGACCTTTGCTACCCTTAATTCTAGGCACTGGTGGGACCTTGCTTACCAGCGCTGGAGACTGCATGCACACAACATACTACAGAATACATCGTACATCGTACGTCCATGGACACCTGAACGTTCAATCTTATTGTTTGGGCTGATCCTCATTTGACAGTACAAAAGCGCCACCTTTTTGCAATTACCGACCTAGATTCTATGGCTTTGTGTTCGATCCCGGAAGATTGGGGAAGATTGAAATTGGAAAGGTTGTTTTTGAGACTACTTGAAGCCTGCATGGAGTTGACAGGTGTACTTTTGTAGAATCGGCAAAGTGTATCCGAGGCAAAGTACTCATGCATAATGCATACGATGTACTAATTTTGACAGTCGAGATCCGGGCTCTAGAGGCTAGGTAGCTGCCTTGCGTCTCTTTTACTTTACTCCATAGTTGTGTCCCGAGAAAAGCTGAAATCTGGCGCTGGTCCGGCAGCTGAACGGGATTTCCGCGGACCAATAAAATATCTAAATCACCCTCTTTCTCGGGGTCCCCGCCAGACAAACCACGGAATTACAAGTTTAATTCCATGGTACTAAGTTAAGGATCTATGGAGTACATTAGTGTCTCCCGAGGTTTCTCCCCAAAGAGGGGCTAAGGTAAAGAATGTGTGGTATTATACCCATATTACAGTCCGATCTCTTCTATCTTTTCTATTTCCGTGACCAACAGGAACGATCGCCCTCATCTCCACCTGTGGCGAGCGGAAGGCAGGGATCCGGTGCCGCGGTGACGGGTACAATACAAAAGTTCCGCGAGTGAACACGAATCACATCTCGTCTTTCGCAAGGATTTTCAGACTATCGATTCTACTTGTGATCATGTGAACATTCTTGTTCCTTTGAATCCTTTATTCCGTTTTTCTTGTTCCCGATGGGGCTTCCTATTTAGTTTTTTTTTTTTTTTTTGGTATTTATTTTCGCCCCGCAAGGTACCGGCCAGCCGAGCTCCGCGGACTTTTGGTCTCTCAGCTGGACACGTACAATTGCTACGTACTTTGTCACCTTACTTCATGTATTGTGGACTCTCTACTCCGTACGGAGTACTCCGTAATGTGATCGAGATTAGTTCCCCTGCAGCGGTCTAGACACCAAAAAATGTTGAGCCCATAGCAGTCACGTGTGGTCTTACCTCTTGTAGTATGTTGTAGGTGGATTCTGCAGTGATACGAGTTTAGCTGAAAACAAATGAGATTCAGTGATATCATTCAAACATTTGTCTCCTGGGCTGATGATTTGTTGATTATCTAACACTTGCGATGTTCAATATTGTATTTGGAAATTCCACCCAAGTGAGCTTCTTGCCTTCAACCTATTTACAAGTCAATTTATGATAACTATCTAAACAACCTTGAAATATCCTCTCGTGCTTGCCTAAATCTTTACTTGAATCGATACTCCTAGCTAAATAAACCTAGCGCCAAAAGTGTCTATTGGATTCAGAATTCAAGCAATAATATCTTTTCGATATAAACGCCGTACCATCTTTTTGCAAGTAGCCATTACGAAAATTGGTCAACTGCTTATGCGGCCTTTATCCCTGAACACAAGCTGGCACCTCAATGATCTAATGTTCAGTTGCCTCAATAGGATTAATAGTACTTCGGATCAATGCTATACAAATACTTGGACCACGCAAACCGCAGAATGATATCCAGAGACGGTCAAGTCTATAAAACAAGTTATTAACGTATAACCCTTGATATGCACCCCGTACATATTGTTAATCAATATGCAGTGTGCCTAATAAAAGTCAATTCTATAGATCATCCAATACGATACCAAGCCTTAGTCCCAACAGCTAGACTGTGTGCATGAACACCTACATTTGTTAAAGTTTACTAAATTGTGGACGAACTCTAAAGTATCGCCACTAATCCTCTCCAGATAGAGCCCAGGTACGAAGTACGGAGTACTCCATACAGAGCCCGCATGGCCCTCGAGTACTTGAACCTCTCAGCAAAAGTACAGCACACCCTATCTAGTACTTTTGCTTGCCGCCCGAGGCCAATATGTGATCGCCTTTTTGGCATGTGCACCCCTAAATGTGACAGCGGGTCACAGATTCCTGCTTGTGATAGATTTGACATCAGAGCTAGAGCCAATGGGCCTAACAACACCAATAAGGTTGTCCTGGATGATACATCACTACACGCCTTGTTCTGCGTACGGAGTATATCATTAGTTGATGCTGCGAAGGTGTGATCTTATCCGGTTGCATGGAAATAACTTCAATTCCAAATCTCAGATTTCAAATCATCTCTCACGTAAGCTCGGCTACCTATCATTGTCGTGGTCTCTATGTCGTACTTTTACTTTCGAGTACTGCAACTGTCGTTTACTGGCGTTGCGCATAGAGATATGCAAGTCCATGTATCTCGCCTTCCTAGCACCTGAACACCACACAACTAAAACAACAGAATCCTTTATCCTTGACCTACGACCCTAAAAACGACTTCAGAGACATCATCTTTTGTTGTCTTTTCGTGATTTAAGATAGTTGTCACTTTTGTAAATACCTGTATTCACCCCAAAAGTTGTTTGTGAATTTGTCTCGCCTGTCAGCTTTTGTTGCGATTACGATTTTAACAGGAGCCAGACTCAAGAAAGATGATCTGGTATCTGTAACATTCTGACCCCACAGCTCTACAACTTTCGAGAATCCTGCTGCATCAGCGACTTTGGAGTGCATCGATATGTAAAGCCCGAGGCCTTTTTCGTCTTTAAATTGAAATATCTCGCAGCGAGCACGGGCGCTCCCTTTTCCATGGGACTATGCTCAGTCATGACCGAGATTTGAAGCCATCCGTTAAATAAATCTTCGACAGGCATATCTTGGGCGGTAAGTGTTATGTATGATTGTTCGATGAAGCCTTTGTCGATTAAATTAGGATGTAGTGTTGTGATTCCAACGCACCTCCGGAGAGGGTCGGCTGTCTTGGCTTGCTAGTGTTGGAGACACGCGAACGGATATCCAGGGTGTTTGCACCAAAATCTGTCTAGGCCATGTTGGTGATCATGAATGCTTGGGGTCAATTCTAGAGTTGAAAATGCCCAAAGTGCCGTGATGTAGACCTTGGGCATAAGCAGGTCTAGTAGTGTCATCCGCTCAACATTGGAAAATCGGCCAACGTGTGGATTTTCAGCTTGATAAAAGACAGGACTGAGACAAGAAGTGATGTTTCTCTGACGGTAAAATTTACAAATTGTTTATTTTGTATCAGGGATATCTATACATACCTAGGCACCTACATATATATGTACGTATGCCCTTTTCCTCGGGCCTACGGGCCCGAACGTCTGCCTACCCGAGCGCAACCCCAGTTGTTTTTTGATGATTGGAGTCATAAGTTATAAATATTTCTTTGTAGCCTAGAGCCAAAGCAATTCACATCTATCTATGTGAAATATACGTGGTATAAAATGAAAGCCTCGGACACGCGGCCCCGTCACCCTTGTATACTTATGCCTCAAAGGCAGCAACTTAGCACCGTGCTTTAAATTCAGCTCAATACTACCCAGTCCACTTGGTGACTATCTTCAGTTAATCTACCAGTTCCAATTTAACTTGAAACATGTCGGTTCGTGTCCCTATATGTCCCTTTACAGGCAATCAACCTCCGGTTTTCTAACTGATAGATATTTAGCTTCCATCTGGGTATGAATATAACTTCAAATGCATCAAGGTTGAAAATGACGCAATTTCTAAACAATGGGATGCTGTAGGGTTTCCGTTGCAGATGACTGCATCTCTGCCTTTAGCGAACTGAGATCCCAAAGGAGTTCCAAAAAGCCCAGGTTCATCATCTACAGAATTACAGAGGACTACAACACCGTTGTTATAGAAGAGAGCTCCTTTGAGCAAGACTACGAGGTCTTTCGCCAAAAGCTAGTCTCGGCAGTTGACGCTGAAGGGAATCCTGCCCCTCGTTATGCGGTCTACGATGTTCAATATGACCTTGGATCAGAGGGAAAGAGGTTAGGTTATCATTATTGGATTTTGGCTTTGGGTCAATATCTGACATGATATAGAAGCAAAATCGTCTTCATCACCTGGGTTCCCAGAGAAACATCAATCAAAGTATGCCACCATTTGATGATATCCCTCTTTTGGATTTTTGCCAATCTTACGTTTCTAGGTTCGAATGATTTATGCTACTACGAAAGAACAAGTGCGGAGATTCCTCGATGTCAAAGCATCAATCCACGCAGATGACCCCGACGAACTTGAATGGAAGACTGTCCTGAAGGAGGCCAGTGGTGGCAAAGCCTAAGTTATCATGACGAGAGTTATTTATTTGTCGGACCCAACCAAATACGAAACCCTTTCGTTAAGGAATCCTCTTCGGTAGTCCTAAAACCCAGGTATAGCCGGCTTTAGGATATCATGTTGAAACGAAACTTGGCTCTGCCACTTTTGAAATTGATACATTTTCAAATACCAAATCTAAGGGTAAGTAATACTGGATTTAACCGGGGATTATCCTTTCCTAATTTCATCTACCGACATTGCTTGATATACATATTTCCACTTTTTCCAACTTGCAACCTTTTGCAGCATAAGCCTATAATAAATTACTTTCCCTGATCAGCCAAGTCCCCCAACTTAGGACTGATTTCTATAAGCCAGCGGCCTGATGTGGAAGAAAATTTCTTCTTCTGACCAAAACATACCACGCAGGGCGGGTTAGCGCAAGTTCCCATGCTTCCATCCTGGTTGCAAGGTGCTCCCGAGGGAATTTGAAAACAAAATTGGAAGGAACAAGGAGGCACAGAGGAATATAAAAACAAAAGAGCGTTAAGGCAATTTAAATATATGTGGTAGAAAAAGCTAGGAGTGCCTTGCTGGGGCAACCACCGAATCTATATAAAACACGCATTGGAAAGACACAACTACAAGACCAAAAAGTTCAACTAAGGGTGGCTTCATCTTCCGAGACGAAGATATATTCAGAATCATCTGTAATTGTGTTGGCTCCTCCCGGATTAGATTGCTGCCCCTCGGCTTCTTCCACTTGTGGCTGTTGCGCAGATTGTTCTGGTTGTTGTGAAAGCTTTTGTGAGATAAGGGCAAGTTGTCGTGAAGTTGAGGCATGCGCTTCAAGCAAGTGTTTTATGAGCTTTTGCTGTGTGTGTATTTGTTGGTCGGTAACCTCTAGCAACTTTTCATGCATGCTGAGCCTGGATTTTAAGCCGCTGTGTTGTTGAAAAGAATCCTGCATGCTGAGCTGCTCTTGCAATCTAGTAATATTTTCTTGGAGGACATTCTCCTGCAATTCAGATTCCTCCTCAAGTCTTTCTTCTTCTTGTCTGTGGACCGTCTCATTCAGAGCTCCGATCATATCCACAATTTTGTCTCCTTGTCCATAATCTCTCTCCAAAAGTTCTTTATTCATGTCAGACCGCTGTTCCAAGCCGCCTAGGCGCTTTGGAGAAATATTAAATCCTAGTGAAATCGCGGGGCCCTCAATTCTTTTCGTAGTATCCTCAAGCCACTGCTCAATGCTCATTCTTTGCTCGGTAGTGTAGACGTTGTTTGCGACTGTATCACACTTTCTCTTGTATGTGGGCATCGAATTTAGGCTTGCAGTGAGAGATTGTGTTCTGGTCAATAGAGAGATGCAACAGAGATGTAGTCAAAGGAAGTGAGAAAGGGGAAAGACATCGCGACCTCAGAAAGTTCAAATTGATGACCCGCCCCCGAGTAATAGTCATTCTGGTGATCCATGGATGCATATTGATGGTTTCCAAGGTCCTTCGCCGACTTGTGCTGGCCTTTATAGCATTGTACTTTATGGCATATTTAGTATTACATGTAAAATTATCCAAGACCAAGAAAAGGATGTTCAAGACTCGACAGGTCAAAAAAGCAAACAATCACACAGTGTGAAGCTGAAGACACCACACCGTTTTTTCTCTCCTTGCTGCATGTCAGTGACTTAGTGACAAATATATGAAGGCTAGACAGAGAGTCGAGTCATAATCAGACCAGATTAAAATGAGCTAGTTCACTCAACTAGAGTCCGCTTATGTTCATTGGTCACTTTGTCACGGGATCGGGGAGTAACAGCGGCAACGTGCAGATTCAACAAGGGTAGCTGTTGTGACCCTACGGATCAGATGTGGAAACACAACGGCTCTTTATAACCCTTTATGTTTCAATGTAGGGATCCGATGAGTGGCAAGCAAACGGTAGCATGCAGAGTTGGGCATTGATCAGCTCGTTTGTCCTTGGTGAATCCTTCCGAGTACCAACTCAGGTCTGTAATTCATGGTATCTACATAGCCTATTTCTGGGTATTCTGGATGCCGAAAAGTGACTCACAAATTGGATTAGGAAAAGGAGAGGCAAAAATGGAAACATTAAAAGGGATATACTCCGTACTATGGGCAAATATTCTGCACTCAATGGGGATACTATAAATGGCTTATCACCATGTGATCTTATCAGGATCTTGAGAAATACGCTGAAGTCATAACTCAGTCCGTCGACAATTCACTGAAAACTGGTATATCTGCGCCCTATGAAGATCCAATCCTGACTGGACTATTTCTAAGGTTGAAACAACTGCATTTGCAGAATGAGCGAGAGATAGCCGCCAATCACACATCATGGCGCATCCACGAGTCTATTTTTCCCTTCCTGTACGACCATTCCTTCCAAGACGAGCCCGTTGCAGCCGATTATTCCTACAAGACCTTCAAAAACCATGCATCGCACGGAATCGATTTCAGAGCACCAATTCCGACCCCGAAACACCACCTCAGCCCAGCAAAAATGCCGTACCTGACGAGGTAGCACCAGACCTGTCACATCTGGATCCTTCTCCGGAGGATTATTCGCGGTTCATTTTTCAAGACAAATGCCGGGTGAAAATACATGCTGGATCTGGTGGACACGGCTGTGTCGCCTACCTGCGCGAGAAATATGTTGAAGAGGGACCCCCGAACGGCGGCGACGGTGGCAGCGGAGGCGGTATCTATATCCAGACCGTCGAAGGCTTGACCAGTCTTCACAAGCTAGCTCGCAGAGGCATTATCAGAGCCAGCAGGGGTCGAAATGGACAGGGTAAAAGCAAGGGTGGAAAACGAGGCGATGATGTCCTCCTTCAGGTACCTGTCGGCACCGTGGTGCGAGAGGTGAGCCGTTATGACCCGGTCGAGGTGGAGTGGGCCCGCATCAAGGCGGCAGAAGAAGCGGCCTATCTTGCTAAAGAAGAGAAAGAGGTTTGGCGGGATCCTGATGATCCCGAAGTTGAAGATGAAGAAGGATTTGAAGAAACAGAAGATGCGGAGTTCAACCCTATCCAGCACGAGCGCTGGGTGCTACACCCCGCCGCAAAGCCGTCTGATTTCCTTATGGTGCAGTTTCCGAAATCATACCCGCGACGACAGAACATAGCAGCCATGGAACCCAAGTCGCCGATCTGGCTGGACCTTTCAAAACCCATGGATAAACCCATGCTTCTGGCTGCCGGTGGCATTGGTGGGCTGGGGAATCCGCATTTCTCCACGCGCGTAATGGGACGACCAAAATTCGCGAGTCGAGGTGAAGGTGGAATGATGTTAGAGCTCGACTTTGAGCTCAAGCTCCTTGCAGATGTCGGATTGGTTGGGAAACCGAACGCCGGCAAGAGTACGCTTCTTCGCTCGTTAACCAACAGCCGGACCCGCATTGGAAACTGGGAGTTCACAACCCTTTCTCCCAGTATTGGCACTGTCATCACCGACGACATGAAGGGTCGTCCTCTTGTTGAGTCGAAGGTCCGTCGCACGCACTTTACTATTGCGGACATTCCGGGTCTAGTGGAAGGCGCCCATCTCGACCGAGGACTTGGTCTCGGGTTCCTCCGGCACATCGACCGAGCTGGGATTTTGGCCTTTGTGGTTGATCTCAGTCTCGGTGATCCTGTACAGGAACTCCAGAAACTGTGGCGCGAACTTGGAGAGTACGAGCGAATGCGCGATGCAGATCCCGACTCTACTGAAGAAGACGACATCATTGAATGGAATCCATTCACTGAAGATGCGGATAGTGGCCATCGGCGACAGGCACTCGACCGAGAGCCCGCCCCGATATTAAATACCAATCCTGACGGTTCGCTACCTCCGCTGGTGATGACACCTCTGCATTTGAAGCCTTGGTTTGTCGTGGCAACCAAGGCAGACCTTGAAAACACCCAAGACCAATTCCGAGCGTTGCAGGAGTACTTGTCTGGTGTTCAGGATGGCTCGATTGAGCACCCATCAGGTCATGAAAGGGCTTGGAAGGAGAAAGTATGTGTTGTTCCAGTCAGTGCTAAAAGAGGCGAAGGTGTCTCTCGAATTCCTAAATTGGTGATGGAGCTTCTCGAATGAAGCATGTATATTAGAAAACTCCCTTGACCATGAACAAAGTGTACTATATAATAAACATCAATGTACCTTCAATATTTCCCTAAAATATATATAACCCTCACATGTATCTGGCTTCAGTTTTACTCTACCTAACTAAATATATTAGATGCTATGGGACATAGAAAACCTGGTGAAATTTCTTCCCTGCATTTGATTGCTAAAATGAGGGTTTGTGAAATTTTTCTTCAACGCGGTTGGAGAATTCATCATAACACCATAACTTGGGGACCTTTTGGGATTACTTTGTGGATACGTATGTAGTCTCTAGCATCAACTCTTTCTTGCGTTTCTTTCTTTCGTTTCTTGCCTTCAACTTCACCTCCCCCCTCAGTCATGGCTCTTTCATCGGTCCTTAGTGACGCGTTGTCCGTTATCGCGGAGCCGAGCCTTGATGACCCCATTCTCCAATGCGACAACCCTCACCTCCAAGATCTTCTCTTCAACGACACCGAGAAAGCACTTGAGCTTGCCAACTCAAAATTACACTCCTTTCCATTTAAGGATGTGCACATCTGTTGGCATCGACTCTACACGGACGCGTCTATCGTCAAGGCCTGCGTCATCATCATCACGAAATGCGGCCTGACATCCAAAGCCAGATTTGAAACCCAGCACTTAGTTGTCTCACAACTCATTCAAGATATAAAGAATTCAACTGAGCCGAAGCTCTCTCCCGATGCACCATGGATATCAGAAGTCGTGGCGATCCTTGATCATGTCTTGATCATGTCTGGAGCCCCCCACCGCGAGAAGCTCGTCGAATCCTTGTTGTCCGCGCTGCAGGCAGCTACGGAATCCTTAAAATTCGAATACGACGACGCTGGTAGTCCAGAATATCCTACTGCGAAGCGCAGAAAATCCTCGCCTCCTCTCTTCCCTCCAAATGCGATCCGTAACCCCCATCTGGAACACCCGATCCCGCGTTTATCAGCACCGTCATTCGATTCCATCGAACACCACATTCAAAATGTTCGCACTCCGCTAGTGATAAAAGATGCAATGGAACACTGGCCAGCCATTTCGACGCGTCCATGGTCTTCGCGAAACTACTGGTGGAACCGCACGTTTGAGGGTCGCAGATTGGTCCCCATTGAGGTGGGAAGGTCGTATACCGACGAGGACTGGGGACAGAAGATTATGCCGTTCAAAGAGTTTGTGGACAAGTACATATGGCAAGGGAAAATAGCCCCGACTGAGGCGACAGGAAACCAGCCCCAGGTCACCAACCTTGATGGAGAGACAGCATACATGGCACAACACGATCTACTTACTCAAATACCCGCCTTGCGTAACGATATCAGTGTACCGGACTACTGCTATATCACTCCACCGGGACCAGATCCGGGAACGCCAGTGTATGAGAAGAAAAAGCGAGAGCGCGAGGCAAAAGTTCATGCACAGGTCCCTGAAACCTCGAATGTCCCCCAGTCGGACACAGCACCCAGTGAACATGACATAGCCGAACACACTTCAGATGCAGGCTCACTTATGGGAATCCCAAGCGATCCCATTATCAACACTTGGATCGGACCCGCGTGGACGATCTCCCCTCTCCACCACGACCCCCACCACAATATCCTCGCGCAGGTCGTGGGCACCAAGTACGTTCGGTTGTACTCGCCACATACGCCTGACTCCCAGATTTACCCACGGGAACAAGAATGGGTCACATCTATTGATGAGACAGCAGACCCCGATCCCGTATCCGGGGCTCTGCCAACGACTCGTAGACTGGTTGACATGTCCAACACTTCCAAGGTGGACCTGGCTGCTATCGAGACTTCCCCTGCTGAGTATGAGCAATGGGAAGAGATGTGGCCTGGCTTCATGGACGCCGATTATGTAGAGACTATTCTCAAGGAAGGCGAGTGTCTCTATATTCCTGTTGGGTGGTGGCACTATGTGCGTGGATTGAGGGCTGGGATCAGCGTGAATTTCTGGTGGGGGGTGAAAGAATAGCTCTGCGAAAGACTCACGATGATACGATTTCTCGGAATGGGATAGATGTGCTGCTACTTTGCAAATGGTTTCAGATGATATGCTATTATGAACCTGACACAATCAACTGTAGTTATTCTACAATACCTCGGTTGTTATACACAAGAATGGTTGGCCGCTCATGTGGCCTCTGTCCCTTCAAGGACAACGACATAAGACTTTAATAACCCCATATAATTAGCCTAAGCTTGGAAGATAATATTAAGGAAATTAAATATAGGAACATAACGACGTGCTTTTCTCGGATTCTCTTTGTAATTGTTCTTTTTTTGGGGGTCTTTTTGGGAGTTTTTTTAGATGTTTACGAATGCAATAAACGTATAGACCGTACAAAGGACATTCCTACGTATAATTAGGGATGTAAAAGCGCCCAGGAATCCCATCTACGAGGCCAAGGGCTATATCTAACTCCTAACTCCACCCTTCTACCAACTCGCACAGTGTCTCCTCCCCACCCACATTTCCGGGAAAGACAACAAAGGGCACACTGCGATGGCGACTAGTATCCTCGTCGCACCTCCAAAGAGGCACACCAGGCGCCGCCTGGCCAACGATAGTAGCACGCTTTATATTCAAGCCCTTAGTCGCAGCATCCGAAGATGTGATCCCGCCCTAAGCAGAAAGTCAGCACCAACACACCCACATATCCACAGACAAAACCAAGAGACATAAAAACATTGTATCATACCTTGGCAATGATAAACCGCGGCTGCACCTCAATCTGCCGCAGGACACCAACCAGGGCCTCAGCAACCACAGATCCAATCTTCAGTGACGACAATTCATCGCCACCAGTCACAAGCCCCCGACTCGTCATGACGAGCGTATCCATCCCAGCCCTCAGATGCGATTCCGTCTCCTGCACGACGCGCAGCACAACCTGAGTCGCACTCTCCGGTGATGCAATAAGTTCCTCGACCTTCATTTCAATAATTGCCAACTGACCCGATGCGCCGCGCCGATCTGTCAACACCTTTAGCTGTGCTGTAGTCTTAGGAACATAAGACCCGGCAATGATAAGCCCGCCTGTCTGGCGCGGTGAGGGCAGGTGAAGCTCAGCAGCGGAGATGGGTGCTTTGGAACGGATACCCAGTCTAGTTGAGACGAAGGCCGCACCTGTGCGGTACAGGAAGTGTTTGCCCTTAGATTCAGCTGAGTGTGTTAGCAATTGTATCTACGTATTCAAACAACGAGTAGAGCCTCTGGCATACCAAGCAGCAACCCCTCCACAAAAACGTGCATGTCAGACTCCGCGGCCGCGTTGACAATCACTACCCCACCAACCGGTGCAGCAAGCAGTTTCTCGCAGACAGTCTGCGGCCCGCCGGTGCGAATCTCCTCGATTGTCACAGAGCATAATTGGTCTGTGTTAAACCGACCGGGCGCCTTTTCGAGTACATAATCCCGCAGATTGGAACTTTTATATCCGAACGTTGCGTCCTTGGCGAATTGTGTCGCGCCCGCTGGGACGAGGCTGTCACCTTCGGTGACATAGTGCACATCGTCAATGGTAAGCCTCCCACCCTGAAAGAAGAACGGGGCGAGGACAAGTGCGTTTGCAGGGCCAAAGACCGACTGCGCGACGTCCGTTTCGAGGGGGAAATGGCCGCGTAAGGTGCTATCGCCGCGGAGGATGATGTCGACTTTTTGGTTGGCTGTTTTCGCCACTTGGGCGATGTTTGCGCAGATCTTGTGGATGAGTGTTTCTGCTTCTTTTGGTGGGAGGGCGCGCGAGTTTGTGAGGATGAAGAAGCCTGGCTTTGTGGATTGGAATTCCGCTGTGAGTGTTGGGATGTCCCAGACTGTTAGAACGGAGATGTCGTGGCAGGTCTGTGTGCCAGTTGGGTCGTCGTCTAGTACTACTAGCCGGTTGATTGGGGCTGTGGTGAGGATTTGGGTAATTTGCTCTTGCGCGTCGGTGGAATACTCTGCGGGGAGGTTGGCGAGGGTACTCTCGCGAGGGAGGACAGGGTATTCTTGCTGCGACATAGTGAGGGATTGGGGGGTTTTCCTATTCTTGTGCTATTTGTTAATTGAGTTAGAGTTCTAAGGCTGTATTTAAAGCAGACGGAGTACAAGAGATCAACAAGCGGGGGAGATGCGGGGAGCTCTCGGAGACAAGGCCGAAAATGCATAGATTCGATGCAACTATGGACTAGATAGAATCAGACATGTTTTCCTCACAGGAACAAGAAACACCATAAACGCCATTGGAGACAGATGCAAGAATGAAGGGCGTTTGAATGCTTGCAAGCGTAGAAAGCCATGCAACGGTCATTATGCATGTAGCCGATTTCAGAGTCCAGTATCCCCTCCCATATATCCTTCCCATCCCATGCATCAAAGAAGGTAAACAAAGATGACAGGTCGTAGACTGCGTGATTGTTCGTAGAGGGGGTTTAGCCCACCACACTGCGGAAACTCAATGCTTCGAGGAAGCCGCCAAGGTCATCCTTCTGCACCTCGACAACGCAATGCTCGAAGCTGTCGATGCGCACACGGGCATTCGTCTCCTGGACTACCTCCTGGAAGGCAATACCAAATCGGTTGCGGAGAAGATGCTTCTTTCCACGCGGATCTTCTTCGTCCTCGGACTCCGATTCCGATGAGGACTCAGACTCTTCCGAATCTTCGTCTTCGGCGCCAGTCTCCTCTTCGCGTTCAGCACGCTCTGCTGCTCGCTTGGACCGACGCTCTGATCGCTCTTTCTGTTTCTTCTCCTTGAGTTCTTTCTTCTTCTTGCGCTCCTCTTGGCGCTTGGACATGGCAGCGAAGTCAACAACACCACCACCGCCACCAGTGCCGACGACTACATAGAGATCGCGGTCTTCATCAAGGCCAGCAAGGACAAGAGGAGTTCCTGCCGCTCTCTTACGACCGATCTTGACTGAGTCGCCTCGCTCTTTCTCTTGGACTCGAATGGCCTCGGCAATCCACAAGGCCAATTTCGTCAAGGCCCCGGGGTTTGTGAAGAGTTTGACATCGGGTCCATCCTTGACCACGGCAATACGGAATGCTCGAAGGTGACGGATTTGATGCTTAGAGAGCAAGGAGGTACCAGTGCGAAGGATAGCCCGGTGCAGATGCTGTGCCAGAGGCAGAGACTCCAGGAGAATCGTGGGTGATTCGGACGTTAATGAAAGGGCGTCGTATGCACTCCAGAATCGAGGTAGCAGACTAGCCAAGTCGGATTCGCTGGTGATTCCACTGTTCTCTGTATCATCGCGTGCTCGTGGCAGACGTTTGGCATCCCAAGAAGCCAAGGTCTCATGTGGCCCAACTTCCAGCATTGCGCCAACAATAACACCTACGTCTGTGGCAGAGAGACATGCCTTCCAGCCCCAGCAACGCACAAATCCCCAGCCCTCACGGGCACTCGCACTCCCAGATCCTTCTGATGGCACGAGTCCATCTAGGCCATACATAGGGGCGTACTTGAGCAACCGTGACCGTAGTACACGCTTCAACTCCATGTCCATGTGAGTATAGTATTGGTGACATTGGGTCAGACTAATTCCCATCTTGGCCAGAAGCTTGTGTAGTCGTTTGCGGCCATTCTCAGTCCAGACATGCAGCCTCGGTGCAAGATAGGGACTGTGAAGCATACTCTCGTATAGTGACCAGTGCCGGACAAGAAGGAATCGCGGTTCAGGAGAAAGACGAATCGAAGTATCGGTGGGTGATCTAGCGGTTGTTGGAATGACACCGTTGATTTCTCCCCGAATGTCACGGTTTGATTCTAGAGGATCAGGCGGGTTCAAACGATGTACTTCATCGCGAAGTATTTGACGGATATGTTCACCACGTTGTCCACCCCAGCCTGCTGAGCCTCCTGATTCTGATGTATTTGAAATACCCACTCCAGTCATTGTTCGACCACTGAGTTCCAGACTGGAGACACCGACAATAGCAAGCCATAACAGGTCGTTATCATCTCGTCCAAGCTCAGATGCCAGAGAGTAGATGAGTGATGAAATTGGTTCGGAGTATGAGGTTCCAGACGAATAGTATGATTGTAGAACGGAGTCGTGTCTTCGCTTGAGATTAATTAAACGTTTCTTTAATGACCGCGCTGAGGGTTGCTTTGCTTCGGCTGGGGATGGCGAGTCAGTTGTCGGTGTCACAGATCGCGACGAGTTCGAAGAATTGATTCCGGTCTTTTTGCGACGAGTCGGCGTCGAGGCAATAGAGGAGCCCTATATAACGCGTTAGTCCATTGTGAGGTCATAGGAATGTGAAAACCTACTGAATTGCTTCTTCTCCGCTGGTGGGGCGGCTCATCGCCTTCTGAATCCTCATCGTCTTCGCGACCTGACCAAGATTTGCGTTTTTTCGACCCTGTTTGCGTTTCGTCTTCAGATCCGTCGTCGCTCGCATCTTCATCTTCGTCGTCTACCTCTGGCATTTCCAGTAAGGCGTAGTATGCCTCTCGTTCGTTGCGTAGCTCTTCCTCAATGTCTCCGTCGTCATACACGATGATTCCACCATTCTTCGACGTGTAAGCTGAAGTGATGCAGCCTTTGTCAACCCCGCGTCCTCGCCGTCGCGCATTGGCATCGATTTCAGCCATGGGCTGGCCCATCCCTGCTAGTCCACCAAAGACGTTTCCCAGGTTCCAGGGCCGTCGCGCGTCGAATACCCAGATCTCCACGCCTCCCATATCTTCGGTCTCGTCCTCGGGATTGCTTAACGCCAATATCTCACCCAAATCAACCAGACCACCTACACCGAGACAGATGACAACTCCTCCGCTGCCGCCATTGGTGGTCTGCATTGGGCGAACCAACTCCTCCCCCGCACGCGACAGGTCGCCATATCCTGCAACTGGTTGGATTTTATGAGGGATATAGTCGCGTTTTAACAAAGCTGTGAGAATTCGACAGGCACATAGCGCGTCTGGCTCTAATGCCACGAGAATCAAAACGGGTGGAGAAAGTGGGTGGTGAGATCGGAGGAGTTGTAGGTAGAGGTGTGAGATGAGCTGCCGAGGGAGATACATGGCCAGCTTTGGATTGTCATATGCTCATGCGACAGCTCATGAAGAAACAGAACTCGTAAGAATAAACACAGAAATGTGAGGTGGTTATTTGGTGTGAAGCCCTTGCAGCAAAGAGTCTCTCATAGCGCCGGGGAAGTGGACAAGCGCGACGCGTCGGAGGCACGTGCCGGGATTCCATACCTCTTCATCACCTCGACGATATTTGCTCCCCTTCATTTATTATGGAATATCTTACTATATGAATGTCTTACTCCTTAACTCCTTGAATTAATTCTGGGTATAGATCTTCTAAAATATGGGTTGGTTCGTCTTTTTGCCCAATACAAATTGGGTGCTTTACGCGAAATCTCTCATCTATACGCTAAATTGAGTCTTACCACGCGCAATTTCTTTGTTCGAATTCATGTTTTCTACCGACCACGCAGTCTCTTGCAAATTAAGTCAAGTTCTTTCACAGTATCAGCTGACAAAGGCCCTTTAACTATATCCTTGATATGCTGAGCGAGCTCAAGTTCCGGGCTGGCTTCTAGAATCACACCATCGCCTTTCTTCAACTTCGAATGGTAGTAGATCCACCGGAGACAGGTTTCAAATTCCGAGATTCGGAGCTTCTCAATGGGTTTTCTGAAGTCCGTAATACCAGCCTGCATTTTGGGTCGTTGTACGTGCTAGTATGCTGCTAGTATACCAAATGCCCCCTGCATCACTGCTGGTCCTTCGGGTAGTCACGAAGCGAGAGAAAATGCTATGACCTTTGGATGTGAGAGATTACCGTTGATATCTCATGGGAAGAAAGCAGCTAGCTATCTATAAGTCAGAGATGACTACCTCTGTGAGTACCTAGGTATGTAGCAAAGAATGAAGTTGCGTAGTATCTATCAGCACAAATTCTTTGTTTGTGTTTCTCCATTGGCATGATGTTCAAGTTAGTATCTGAAAACTTTGATACTGATATGGAGCGCTACAATCGGATTCAAACAGCATCACTACCCAAAGCGGACATATACAGAAGAGATCTCCCTACTCTGATTACATCTTTAGCAATATGATTACTTTTAAGACATATAATAAAAGCATAGTTGTTTCTCTCGAAGTGTCTGATCAGATGATATCTTTCAAATTCAATAATCACAGTAGTAACGCCTTTCGCCATGAACATGCTATATTCTCCAAAACTATCCCAGTGAGGACATTATGGTCTTGCATCCACGATTCCGGAAAAAAGCTCAGAATTGCAGCCAATGCAAAGAAGACTGGATCCATTGGAACATAATATTAAACAGACGAGCGGCCCAAAATTGATCCAGCAACCCAGATAGCGGTGCATGCACCAACGACAGAAATGCCAACTAGCTGCTTGCCCCAGCTGCTTTCTTCCGCCATTTTGGTCGGCCCGACAGTGTTCTTCAGCTTCAGATGCAAAGATGACGAATGCAGGTCTTCAGTGACATTTCCAGAGGAACCACCTAGTATGGCTGAATATTCCTCATCACGCCTTTGCCACTTCTCGACAAGTCGCGCAATCTCAGCCAAATCTTCCTTCAGAGACCCAGGCTCAGTCGCGTTGGCATTTTCAACTTCCACGTTCTGAACATTGCCGAAGAAGTCAACCACAGTCCGCAGGCGACCTTCTTGCTCACCTCCAGGGAACAAATCCCACCGGACACCCGGTTGAGAGTGGATCTTCGACTCATCATAGGAATCGAACAGGTCTCCGAGATTGAGTTTAGAAGTGACGCTTGTCACTTGTGTCTCGAGGAAGTCAAGAACATAGTATGTCCAGCGATCAATGACAGCGACACCAACATCATTGTCCGCATGGTGGGAATAGGAAGATTGGTCGATCTCGCTAGAGCCTGTCGCCACGATGTTAGGCGAGTAGAAATGGGTGTACATTGTATTGGCCTGGCAAGTGTCGATCATGAACAGCAGCTCATGGTAGCGCTTTTTCTCCCACATCTGTCCAAACGCGTCCGCAAGATCCCACGCGCCGATCTCTTCGGCGTCTTGGAACTTTAGAAATTGGTCGCCTCCATGTCCGGTCATGTATACTAGTACATTGCTGCCAGCATCGGATCCCAGGCGCTTGCTGCGCGGTACATCTTCGTCGAGGCGGTCGGTCAAGAGTCGGATGAAGTTCTCCACAGTCACTTCGTACCCCCTGTAGTCCACTTCGATGTTGTCGCCGTATAGATCGACGGCGCGGTCTGCGTTACTGTAAACGGTGCCGGGGAAAGCATTTCGGGGATTGCAAGCCATGTCATCGGGGAGCATGAGGATGATCTGTGAATCGGGAATGCCGAGCCGTTTGACGGTTCGGTATAGTGAGAGGACATTGGCGAGGTGGCGGTAGTTGAACCAGAAGCGAGAGGTGGATACAAGTACCGCCCAGTTAGAGGTGTGTTCAGCGGCAACTGCGCTGGCAAGGAGCAGCAGGACGAACGCCTGTAGAAAGTGGAAGAGCAAAGCCATTGCGATGAGCGATCAGGTCATAGTAGGGAGAACACTACTTGTATCACCAGCGGGTAAATGTGAAGTCGGCAGCGACAAAGTATAAACCAAATCAAAGGCCAGAGTTATCTATCACAAGAGCGATATCAAGGCCATAGCAGCACAAATAGCCGGAAGTAGACAAACTGCTTCAAGGAGCTGCCCAGGTGAGATAGGAGATTACAAATGTCGGGGAACCTTTGGTGCCACCTCCCTAAGGCATCCGCTGACGCACGGGCTAAGGATAGCGTCACCGCCTTCATCGGAGTCGGCATATTGGTCCCGCAGATCAGATCATGTAGTAGAGACTCGATTCCGCCTTTTTCTTTTCACATCCATTCCTCAGATTCTGTCCAGCGTTTAGTTTGGACATCATATCTCACCATGGCAGGCAAGAAAGCAGCAGGCGAGAACAGCAAGAAGGCTGCCGGAAACGCTCGTGTATGTTTTTTTTAAACCCCGCCCCCGCTATTATTGCCACATCCCTCAAACATAAGATCGCTTGGATAAAAGCTGACAGTGCTGTACAGAAAGCGGATGCCGCAGCATCAAAAAAGGCAGCTGAGGACCAAAAGAAGGCTTTAGATGAGGAGAAGCAATGGTCGAAGGGATCCAAGAGCAATGCTAAGAAGTATGTGAACTCAATCTCTTAGAGAACATGTCCTGAGTACCGAACTAATCACATTTGATCTACAGGGAAGACTCCGAATCCAAGAAAGCCGAGGCCGCCCGCAAGAAGGCCGAGCGCGATGCCCTACTCGCCGAGGAAGAAGCCTCTCAACCAGCCAAAGCCAAAGGCGCAAACGCCAAGACCGCACAAAAGAAGACTCGCGGCCTCGATCTTTCACAGTTGGATGATGCCCCTGCTGGCAGCAAGAAGGAATCTGCCCTCAGTGCTACTGGTATCGATAACGCCCTAGATGCCCTGTCTTTGGCCTCGAAGGACACATCCAAGATTGACCGACACCCGGAGCGCCGATTCAAGGCCGCATATGCCGCATTTGAGGAGAGACGCTTGCCAGAGATTGAGCAGGAAAACCCCGGTCTGCGCCGGAACCAGCGCATGGATCTCTGCCGGAAGGAATTCGAGAAGAGCGAGGAGAACCCCTTCAACCAGGTGCACGCGGCTGTCAATGCCACCAAGGAAGAGGTTGCTGCGCTTCGGGATAGCGAGCGCAAGAAGGTCGAGGGCAGACTGGGCGGCAAATAGATTGGTCTGTCGCTGGATCACAAGCATTCAGGCGCATGGATTATTGGGAAGTTGTGCGCAATGTGTCGGTATTGTCACACTGACCGTGGATCCTAAGTCTCCATGCTCTCAAATACCCAACATGGATGGTGTTCTCAAGATTGTGGGCGTCTTGTCTTGATTCGGAGTCATTTTTTGCACGGTTCGGGAATACCAGCCGTTTTCGAGTCATTGAGTCGCTGCAGAGTTCAAACAAAAGGCTTAAGCATTAAGCCCGGGAAATAGAAACCGTGACGCATTTGTTCTTATATCGCACCATGCATTGTGTTTCCCGGCATATAAACTTACGAAATAAAATGATCAATATTCCTTTCAAATTAGGCAGTCTATTCTGACAGGAGACTGCATGGAAACCCTTATCTCAAACAAATATATCCAGGAAACTTTTACTTAGCTTAACACCGTTGCGCCATGGAAAATGAGGTTAAGCCTCTGGGCCCTGCCAGAGCCATAAATAATTGGTTGATGTTCACATATTCTATGACATCGTAGCTCGCACATCCCACACATATAGATTTTCATCCCAGCCAACACTAGCACACCAGCCCTCACTTCCAAATAGACACCAATCGACACCTGTCACAAACTCGGTATGTCTACCCATGCGCCCTAGTTCCGCCCCAACCACTGGACCAGCGCGCATCATATCCATATCCCCGCCTGGGCCCGCATCTGATCTGTCACTCCACACTCGGCAAGTCATATCGTAGCTAGCACTCAAAAGAACATTAGAAAGATGCGGTGACCAAGCCACTTTCCGCACAGCATATTCATGTCCGAGCATCGTGGTTAGCGGCCCTTGTTGCGGGGCCCGGATATCGAATGTCCGGATAGCACGGTCAACACCTGCTGTAGCCAGAACAGTGGGACGGTATTTGTTCCAATCGTGGGTGAGGGCCTCAGCTGGCGGGGCAGGGCCGCCAGGATGGCCGGGGATTGCAGGCGCGGGGGGGCCGGCGTGGATGGGGATCTGGGTGACGAGATGGTTGGAGGCAGAGGCAGGGGTGCGGAGATCGAAAACGCGCACGTATGAGTCTGATGTCACGCACGAGATGATGTCTGGGCTGTGCGGACAGAATGATGCGGAGTAGGTGCAGCTGTGGGTTGGGAGGGTGAGGAGGGACTGCGGGCGATGTGGCGACCAGATGCGGACTGTGCCATCCCAACTACTCGAGCAGAAGCGGTCTTTTGCGACTGGGTTCCAGCTTACGCTGAATACTTCCCGCGCATGTTCTTTCCAATTTGAGATCGGGAAGTCGTTCGCTGTGCAGTCGAATAGCTTGATGCTGCCGTCGCCTGATGCGGCGAGGACTTGGTTCTCGTGGAGTTCGGACCATGCGAGATCATATAGTGAGTCTTGTGTTGTAAACCTAGAGGATGTGATAGCGCCAAACGGTTAGAGTTCAGTTCTTGTTTCCAGCTGGGTTGCGCACTCCGACGCGGGGTCTGGAATATCCCACCTACCATTTTAGAGGTTGGATTCCATTCGCAGTCAGCTCCAAGATATGCAAGCGGCCATTTCCAACTAGGCCAAAATTTGAAGAGCTTGCAACCGCTAGGCGATTGTCAAAGAATGGGGAGTATTTGACAGCGCAACCGTTATATCCTTGTGTGCGGTAATGAAGCATGATGAGCAACTGACTGGCGCCGGTCGCTCGAGGGAAAGGTAGAAAGAGAAGGGGAGAAAAATGGCGATCTTCAAGCAAGCTAGGGTATCAAAACGACAAATGTCAATGGTCACAAAGATGTCAAGTTTGGATTCGGCGTATGATCTCGGGATTGCGGGGATCAACTGGGCCGAGGTCCTTCCTTGGCTTTCAGGCACGACCTTTTTCTATACTTTCACATTCACTTCACGTTCACTTTTTGTTGATTTGTTACCTACCAAGTATATCTGTAATTCAATATTGAGATCTCGTCCATTTATTTGGTTACCCATGGTTGTATCTTCTTAGTGTCATTATCTCAAGCTTTTCTTATGTTTTCGGTGGTCAAGTCACCAGCATGCCCATAAGCGCATATTTTGTTCATACTAACATAGTATGTCCTAAGGATCTATTTCTCGCGCTGCTTAGATTTAATTCAAATATGATAAAGCTGCTCGCATAGGTAGAGCAATTATTGTGGTCAATTATATTGCGATGTTCATGATCGCTGACGTCAACGGGCTACATCTGCAGCTGCATCCAGCCCTAATTATAACAGTAATAAGGAGCCATTCTAGACGCTCAAGTTTTCATTCATTAGCATATGTTACAAGAATATTCGGCTGCCTATGTGGCCTTGTGATGTCTTTTTTAAAAGATATTTTGCTGCCCTTCTCAATCTCAGTTAGATGGCAGAAGAAGGCTAAGAAAGGTCTAATTTGTGAAATGGACCTTTTTATGTATAACTAGGGAATATTTGAGCTAGTCATGTTAAATAAGTATAAGTTGAGCCACCATGGGATATTTGCCTCAGCCTCTCCAAAGTATGGGAATGACGCCATAAAATTGGCCTCTTCGGCAGTCTGCTTCTCAGTCTGCTCGATTCAATTCTGATTGAACATACACTCTCCTTAACATACAGATTAACCGCTATGATAAGTTCAAAACAATACCATACCCAAATCACACCCACCCTGGGAGACGACAGCCCAATTCCAGTACCCAAGCAATATACATCCCCGGCCAGTCTATTCCTCAAAGAAGAAGTCTTCCGACTCGGAACAGTTCCAGGTCTGAGATCCCTACCTCCAAGCCCAGAGCGCGATTTTCTCACCCTATCATGGGGACCTATCGTCTACCGCACCTCGTACGCTCCTGAAACCAAACGTCTCCTCCCCGTATTCCTGCGTCACCTCAACAATTCCGTGCACCGGTCGTTGCGCCGGACGTTACCAGGCTCCGATGAAGAAATTCAAATTCTTACAAACACATATTCTTCTAAGATCTTCAACTCGCTTGATATATACGCCAATATGGACGAGGAAACGGTCAGACAAGTCTTTCATGATTTCAAGGTGTCGCTCAGGATACCTGAAATAGAGCTCCCGAGCAGACTGCGCATATGCTTGATGCTAGATGACGAATCGTTATCGCACTTCAAAGGTATTTTAGATCTTTCCTCCATGGCTGAGAGTGATGCAAATGTGGGTGGATGCTGGGTGAAGGTTGTTGAGGAGAATTTTCCGGATTCGAGGATTGGTGATCACCCGCTTGCGCACTTTGATATGGAATATGCATCTTATTCTGTTAGAGAGCATCGTGAGAGTTATTGTGGGTGGACTATGGTGGCACTCGATGCATTAGTAGAGGTCTTTGATGGTCTTCGGCAAATGAAATGCTTGGTTGACTACCATCAGGAGGGAAAGGTCTACTTGGGAGAGGGGAAATGGAGCCTTTGATATATATTGGAGGACTTAATCTGTCCTTGTGATTAACCTTTGTCAGAAGAGGTCCACGGAGATGTCAAGATCCATGGAGAAGTTGACACACTAATTATCAATGATCTTCTGGGATTTTCTTCGAGGGGTCCTTTGGAATAGCATAGGATGTTTATTTTTCTCTTCGCACATGTACATACTATAACTACTTGTACAGAGAGAATTACAACACCTCAATCTACAAGAAACTCTCAAATCCCACACAGTAGCTGTGTTGTAAAACATGATTGAAGAAAGCAGTTTTGGTGAGACTATCTGGAGGGCGAACGCACAGTGGGAACCTTATTGTTGTGCAGCGGGTAACAGATAACTAAAGATTTTGAGCACATGTGCAGATAGAAAGGGTTGTCACACAACTAACGATATAACTAACGACAGCGATGACGAACAGTCGATGGATGGATTGATGACGGTCAATGAAAGCCCTGATTGGCTATTGAAAGCCCCAAAGCGATCCTGTGACTTTTCATGATTCTTCATCTTCGGCGAAACATGCGCTTTAACCTTAAATTTTGCGCCGATTACGATATTCCGGATAAAATACCCTATATTCAACCATACTAGTATCCGACATAAGACCTCTGGACTTTTATTTACCATCCAAAACACAAATTATTATGTTATCTTCGAGAAGCTCGAACAAAACTTGATCTTTCGCTACTTATCGGTACAAAACACCCGTCTGGTCACACGAGGCTTTACTTTTTACCTTTCGGGCTGGCTCGACAGATGTTGACAACCTATTGGGTGTGAAGATAATGAACGCATAATGAGAGTGCGAGTGACAAAGTCTTTAAGTCTGCGAGCAAGGCTCTAAACTGTTATAGTTGGTGGTTGAGGACAGCGTTGAATATTGTAAAGAATACTACTTGCCAGGTTAGCTAGCTCCTGTAGAGAGGTGGATATGAGAGTGGCATACATCGGCCAAATGTACGCCAGGCAATACTATAGCTACGGTCAGTGTTAGGATTGGCGGCTATATTTGAGGCTTGAGTTTTGTATAGAGTATTCCTTAACGGTTCTGAAGGTGAAGATGTAATACCTAGTCTCATTCCATGGCCTGCATCTATGAGTTCGTAATCTGATTGGTTACTTTGACAGCAATCATGTGCCGATAAGTAATAAGCACCTTATCGGTTGCTTACCAATTACTTTAAGTATCCCGAGGTCCGGAGGCCCATTCCTCACTTTTCAGAGCCTCAAAATAATAAGACTTGAAATATGGATGTTTTCATATCCAGGAAACGTCCACGGCTCTCAAATTCGAGCGAGGAGGCCAGAGACAAGTCATCAGATCCCTGCGAAGACACAACTGACACTAAGCTAGCAATACTGCTATCTCTTTTCCCGACGATCAAACAGGATGAGCTATTGGATATACTCATATCCTGCGAAGGGTCTGTGGAGAATGTAATTGGACTCCTCTCTGCTAGAGATACCGCAGGAGGCACACCCGTCGGCAAAAAGCGAGCTGCTATTACCTCGACATTCGGCATGCAGACATCTCTCTCATCACACGTGTTTACAACAGCTGAAGATGGGACCATGAAACCTTTGCATGAGATTGCAAGCAAGAAAAAACTTCCACCTCTACAAAAGGGCAAAACGTTACATCTATACTCGCCTGAGGATATTGCTACCTACACGCCTTGTACTATCATCCACAACTTCTTACCCGCCAAAGAAGCAAACGAACTTCTGCTTGAATTACTTGATGAATCGAAACACTTTTCTCGGTACGACTTCCAACTCTTCAACCGCACCGTCCATAGTCCCCACACATACTCTGTGTACGTCTCTACACCCGAAGAGCACCGGCAACATACCTCCGAATACGCTTACGGTGGCACATATCGGTCAAGTGTGCGCCAGGTGACACCACAGCTGCGGTCAGTGTCACGCCAGGTACAGAAAACTGTCAACGACGAGATCAACAAACGAATTCGAGACGTCTATCCAGACGGGAAGAAGTTACAGTACCAATCACCGAAAGAGTGGCGGCCCAACGCGGCATTTGTCAACTGCTATGACGGGCCGACCGAAAGCGTGGGATATCACTCCGACAAACTCACCTACCTCGGACCCCACCCGGTGATAGGAAGCTTGAGTTTGGGGGTGGCACGTGAATTCCGAGTCCGTCGGATAGTACCTCGCGATGACGACGATACTGCGGAAGAAGATCATGATTCCAATAAGACTAGTCCAATTCCACATTCCCCACGGGACCAGACTGCAGCGACTGCACGCGCTGACGCCCAGGGCCAGATCTCAATCCATCTTCCCCACAATTCTCTCCTCATTATGCACGCAGAGATGCAAGAGGCGTGGAAACACTCTATTGCCCCAGCTCAAACTATTTCTCCACATCCGATCTCTGGGAACAGACGTATTAATGTTACATATCGCTGGTATCGTGATACTCTACACCCACGCTACACTCCACGTTGCAAGTGTGGTGAACACACGATCCTCCGGTGTGCACAACGTAAGAATGGGACGAGAGGGAGGTACATGTGGATGTGTTACGCTAGTTATACGCCAGGGAAGGAAGGGTGTTCTTTCTTCCAGTGGGCCGAGTTTGATGATGATGGGGATCCGGTGTGGGAAAAGAAAACCATCGGGGACGATGCCCCTACTTTGACGAATTTCTCGGCATCTCAATAAATTATGGGACTCATGTATGGTAGAGACATGGAATTATGCCGCTTTTTGACCTCGGATACAAAACATACAAAACATACAAACATACACCAAGTACAGAGTACCTAACTGTGAAGCTAAATTCTCCACAAAATAAGGTTTGGAGACAGTGACAGACGGAAAGTGGATTGGCCCATTTTGCATTCTGGGGTGCCTTGACAGCCCGATTTGGACCAATTACATGCCAGACACTGCTAGCCTTTCACCGACCCATGTCTCTAATGTATGTTGACGGATCTAGACACCTCCAATCAATGTGTGCAGAAATATGAAGGATTGCACTGGTCTACCCCTCAATATGAAGATATGTATGCGGAATCCCCCTCCGCCTGCTCCGCTGTTTTAAGAGTGCGGTGTAAAAAGGCTGGCGACATCAAATATCTGGAATTTGCCATTTTTGTGCGATTGTGGTTTGGAATTTACACTATGGCTTCTAGAATCAGGGATACCTATGACTATATTATCTGCGGGTAAGGTAACCTATCCAAAGAGGCTTATGATCTTGCTAACCGCGGGGTAGAGGAGGAACCTCTGGCTGTGTGGTTGCCGGTCGACTAGCTGAAAACCCAGAAGTCAGCGTCTTGCTGCTGGAGGCTGGGCAGCATAATAAGGACCTGGAGAATGTTCATATGACTGGCGGGTGAGTCACCAAGCCCTAGTTGATGCATCCATTGTTACTAACAAATCAGGTGGTCAAACAACTTCGATGCTGAGACCGACTGGAACTTCGTCACTCCTCCAATGGCGGGTGTTGACAACCGCCAAGTGAAGCTGAGTCGTGGTCGATTCCTTGGAGGATCGAGCGGTTGCAATGGCACACTGTGCATTCGTGGCAACAAGCAGGACTATGATGACTGGGGGCTAGATGGATGGAGTGGAGAGGAATTTTTCAAGTACATGAGAAAGGTCGGTGACATTGTTCCACGCCGGTATTGACAACGATACCCAAGTAGGTACTGACAACATGAGTAGTCCGAGACCTTCCACCCAAAGGCATGGTTCCAGGCGGATAGAGAGAGCCACGGACACTCCGGTCCTCTTCACACTGAGCCGCATGATCTAGCGCCAATCTCTAAGCTCCTGATGGACTCTTATGTCTCGCAAGGCATGCCCCTGCATCACGACATGTTTAGTACTGGCGATATTGCGCAGGGATGTGGCCATGTCCCTCGCACAGTGTATCAGGGCCTACGGACAACAGGTGCCGATTTCGTTACCAACAAGAACCACCGTGGGAACATCACCATCAAGACTGATACCACTGTCGACAAAATCATATTCAGCAGGCAGGCAAACGAGACTCGCGCTTCCGGCGTAGTCACTCAAGCTTCAGATGGCTCTCGCATCTACTACGCTCGAAAGGAGATCATCATCTCGGCAGGCGCCTACTGCAGTCCTGCAATTCTCCTTCGATCTGGCATCGGCCCCAAGGCAGAGGTAGAACAGCACAATATCCCTTCTTTGGTCAACCTACCAGGCGTGGGCAAGAACCTCATGGACCACCTCGTCAGTACCCCCTACACAACCATTAATACCAATGTGAACTATCCTAACACTCCGCCCTCTAGATCGTTTTCATGTTCTACGAAACCGAAAAACAAGGCCTAACAAACGACCACCACGTTTACCACGGTGATAACTTCGACCGAACCTACGCACAGTGGAAAGAGAAGAAAACCGGCTTCCTATCCACCTTCCCCTTCGGTAGTTTCGCCTTCGCGCGCCTCGACGATAGACTGAAAGACGAGCCACTCTGGAAAAACGCACCCCGCAACCTAGGCCGTGACCCCATGGGTCTCACACCGCAGCAGCCAAACATTGAGTTCTTTACCACAGAGTGCTACGGTGGTCCGAAGCAATACGACCAATTTCCAATCAATAACCAGCACGCGTTTTCCATGATTGCAGAGCTGTTTGCGCCGAAGTCTCGTGGCTCTGTGGTTCTCGAATCGGCGGATCCCTCGGTGAACCCGATTGTTGATTGTAATTATCTGGCTGATCCGCTTGATCTGTTGGTTCTCAGTGAGGCATGTCGGTTTGGAAATGAGGTTGTTATGCAGGGTGCTGGGACGAAGGATATTGTTAAGGGGTCCTGGCCGCCGAACTTGAATCACCATACTTATAAATCGAGGGAGGAGTGGGTTCCGTATGTGAAGCAACATGCGACTACTTGTGAGTTGGAGTTTTGGAAATGCGTTGGGCCTTGTGGTTTACTAACGTTTTTTGTTGATAGGCTATCATGCAGCGGGCACTTGTGCCATGGGGAAGAAGGATAATCCCATGGCTGTTCTCAATGAGAAACTGCAGGTCAGGGGTGTTTCGGGGTTGCGAGTTGCTGATTGCAGTGTCATGCCTACTTTGCATGGAGGGCATACCCAGATGCCGGCTTATGGCATCGGGGAGAAATGTGCGGATTTAATCAAAGAGACATGGCGGATGGCGGGCAATGTCTATCCTCGTATCTGATAGTTTATGTCGTCAAATTTTGTCAGCATCTGGAAACAATTGTGGTGTTTTTGTGGCTGTTTATGTGCACCCAGGTGTATCGCGCTCAGGGTTCTTTGGCCTGAATAGTGCCTGATCAAATTGAAACATCAATCTACATAAAACAAGAATAGTCGGCTGCGCTTGCGACCTTGTGATGTCTTTGTAGCTAGTCTTTTAGGCTAGTCTTCAAAGTTGGTCTTTTCAGATGTATGTGAAGGTAGTAAAAAGCACTTTTCTATGAATAACTAGAGACAAGAATAGTGGGCCATTTGTACGACCTCGTAACGTCTGTTTAGGAGTCTTTTTAGGTGTCCTTTTGGTAGATATTGTCCGCCCTCTTTAGTTCCACATATAGACGGCAAAAGAAGGTAAAGAAAGGTTTCGTTAATTATTGAAGTGGAACTTTCTTTGTATAACCACCAGGGATACATACTACATCTCTAGCTTTGGGGCGGTGGGGCTTTTCACACACATATAGAATGTATACATATCCATTTTTTATCGGTTCATAACGCATAGTTATTCCGCGCTGAATTGTTTACAATAAATTGTATAGAACCCGGCATGGCTCAGGCATACAGGGTCAAAATCTGGCCAAAATAACCCTAGACGCCATACACCCGGGTAGTATGTGCTTTATGTCTGCGCTATACCAGTAGCAGTACTGAATTAAGACACAAAGAAGAATTTCAACTCGTTGGCCAAATAGAGTTGTATCCGATTAAAACTTATACTTCAAGAGTAAGAGAGAGCATTCCTATACAGGTACAAATATAAAGGATAACTCAAGTTTGCCAATGAGCAAATCAATCACAAGGTCCATAAGAATAGTCCGATGACTCCAAAAAAGCAAATTGAAATAGTTGATCTCAACTGAGTTCGCTTGCAGATCCCAAGCTGATACTGATAGCATCATCGTCCAGTTCATACGACATTAGCCCCGAACTCTTGCGATGATCGTCAGAAGCACGAGGTAGCGCACCCGGGGTGCGTGAGATGGTGCAATGAGTTTCCAAACAAATAGTATGCGGTTTCGGCAGCAAAGAGTGCTGGTGCTCAAGGCGAGCGCTTAGAACATGCTGCGCAGCCGGTTCAGAAGAATATGCTTTTAGAACACTGTTGATCTGCCTGATCAAGTCTTCGAGCATGGGATGTTCAGTCAATTGAGTTTCCTGGTAAAACTCGATCGGCACACCGATCCTCACTTTCAAGATCCATGTCTCCCCTGGTCGCAACCGCGCCAGATGGCAGTCTTCCATTGCCGACTCAAACTGACATCCGTGGCCCTGCTCAACAAACAGTTTCAGGTCCGATAGGGCCCCAGGGCTGAGACCAGTACGAAGTTGCCGAACAACTTTGGAGACCTTTCGCATGAAATGAACTTGGCAGGACCGTGGATCGTCTGCATCGGCATCATAGAAAATGTGCCAGCCAAGTGGGTGGTTTGCTGCGTCAAGAGGAAAGCAAAGCTGCGGGGAGACTGTATGGATACCAATAGCCGTGTCCACGCCAGATATAAACAGATTTTCTGGGGGGTATGCAGAAATGAATACCAGATGACAAAACGCTGCTCTGGGAGAGGGGTGAAAGAGTCGCGATGCCTGTCGAATAGAAATACCTGCATCCGAGCACCTTCTCGTTTTCTTCTTCAACTGGCGGAGAGAAAATTCATTTAGAGCAGTTCTCAACGTCTCGAATGGGTGGAACCCCAACGGAAGCAATAGCTCGAACCCGTTTTTAGAACTTCCATCAACACATGCTACGGCTATTCTGTCACTGTTGATGAGCAAATTCGAAGTTAGCACAGAAGATGCCAGGACCATTGGCGTCAAAAGGCTAACAGAAGACTGCTGCCTATTTGAGGTCAGCAAAATAATTTTTCCTCGACAAGCAAGTCAACGGGCCAACTCACACGCTGTCAAAAAGAATAATGATGTCAAGGGGTGCAAGGCTCGAGCTCTCGGGCAGGGAAATGGGCTCAACATCCGCAGATACATTTACAGACACCCATACAGACATCGAATCTGTGCTCATGCACGGCCAGCCTGTGTAGGATCTCACGGTGGCAAACGCGACAGGAATTTCCAACGGACAAAGTAATCCGGATGACCCTGGGCGCAGCAAGTTCGATAAAGACCTGGCACTACCCACTCTGGATTTATTTTTTGAAATGGAATCTGGTGGCAGTTCCATCGCGCCAGAAGCCGATGCTGACTTCGACGAGAGGCATGGCTCTATAGAGCCGTAAGACCCTGAGCTCCAGCGAACAAGAAGTTGTGGTGCCAATTGATACCCACTCTGGGTCATGAGTCCTCTTCGAGGATCAACGCGGCGTCGAGATGTCTGCATCAAACAGTCAGCAGGAGAAAAAACTATCGTTATTTTGGAAGGAATTACCTGGTCGATAAACGGGTCTTCGTTCACATCAAGGCCAGTCTTGCGAATACCTCGGGAAGCTGCAGCATGGTCCTGGCGAATTTTCACCACATCGATGTTGTAAAGGCTATCACTGAGAGACGGGGTTCTGGTTGAGGCCGCAGGATCACTCGAATCGTATTCCACGCTCGCAGAAAGGGACGAACGGCGAAAAGGGATCTGTGGATATGACAAGCTCGAAGCAGAGCTAGATGTCGAGTTTGTTCTACGTATGTGTGTGATGCATGGGGTACGACGTTTGAGAACAGTGATCGGCGTAGCTAGTGTGTCCACCATGGTGTCCTAGGATCTAAATATGCTCTCTGTTGGTGACAGGACGCTCGAACTCGATCCGAATATCTGAAGCCTCTGTCGCACGAGCTGAAGTCGAGTGGGGCGTGACGGGGCAAGCTTCTGAGTCCGATGGGATCTTCTTGCGTCTCTGCTGTTTCCAAAGACTGAAGCACGACAAACACGACAGGCACGATTCTTTGAGGGAATGAATGCTCCAGTAATTAGAACACGTAAGAGCGATGACAACAACGAAGATGAGCACAACAATAGGAACAAGGATCAATGCAATAATTAAAGCTGAGCTTTTGATATCATATGATAGCTTATAGGTCATTTTGCTCAAACATATTGATGTGAGGAGGAGAAATTGGGAAACAAACAACATTGAAGCTATATGCTCCTGCCGCTTGACAGAGGACCGACGACTAAGACGGCAACGGCGATGTCATTTCCATGGCTCTTGGACGAAGGATCCAAGGAAATCTCCAAGGTTTAAGTCGAACATTCAAAAAAAGGTCAAGTAGCATTTTGGGTATCATAATAGCACTTATATCCCGTTTCCTGCCATCGCAGCCATCTTCTCCTTCACTGAGTTCATGGTTGTATCATCCAGCCGCGAAAACCGAATCTAAGAGATGGTAAGTATATTTCGACGGTAGACATCATGGGCCATACCATTTCATCCACACCCCCACGAGCAGCACCTCCAAACAGCATCGGCTCAGAATGAGAATTTTCAATCTCATCTTTCACTCGCCTAGCCCAAATTCCATCCCAGTGCCAATCCCCCGGAAGCCGAGCCTGCGGGCTTCCTCGTTTCAGTTGTCCTCGAGGACCTCCTCGACGATGTGCCTGCCATGCATGCCATGCTCCAGGGTTCCCTGCGACCTCAACCGGCAGCGAGTCCAAAACCAATTCGTCATCAAACGTTGACCGAATGTAATCCAATATCTCCGACACTGGGACGACATCCCTTCGTTCCGCAAACTGATCCATGGCAGGTACCTGTGCCAAACGTGGCACTTCTACATCGCCATCCTCACTAGCCGCCGATGCCACGGGGGGGTTTGACGCGTTTGATTCATCACCATCGCCTATAACCGAGCCGGCAGAGCTTGCGTGTCCCGTCGTTGCAGCACTTGCACTAATACCGCTTACATTCCGCGATGTATTCCCAGATGCTAGTCCGCTCCGCTTTGCCCTACCAAACCAGTGAGGGAATCCATGGCGCAGACTGAATCCTCCAGGCGGTAATCGCTCGTCATCTGTTGCGCTGACAGGATTGTCACTTGCCGAGCCAGTGCTAAAGGTATACGTAGTGAGAGGTACAATCAATGGGTGGAATAAGTCGGTCGCGAAGGTGACTAGAGGAGGCAGGTCGGGGTAGGTATCTGGGAAGCGGAGGTGAAATCGGAGGACGGCTGAAGCATAGGGGCCTGAAAACGGGAGTTAGCCGACGCGTGGCGGAGGGAGTAATCGATTTGAATTCACCGGAGCGAACAAAAATCACTCCATTCCAGAGTGTTGGGTCCCCGGGCGCGAGGCTCACGTAAACCCCTGGCGATGCTGCATGTCTCAAGCTCGCGCTGTGGAGGAGTTAGGACACTGATTAGTCTGCGCGGTGTAAAGAGGCTCACAATTCCAGGTGGAGCTGCTGCTTCCGAAGTGAAGGTATGCAGGGCAACTTGGAGGTCGACATGTCTACTTTAGCAGAGGAGGAAGTTGGGAAGATCCCGGGGTTGACGCCCGGCTTATCGCTTATCGCCGATCTACATCCGAACTCAAACATCCACTGAGCAGCTTGGGAGTCCCCATTTTATACATGAGTCAAAGGCTTGACCGTTCTTATTAAATTCAGTTTCAATGACTAGCCAATAAATTATGGACCCGTGGACACTGTTCTACGTACTTTCTTTTGGGGCTAGTCATCTTATGTAAGCTTCAATAGATAACTAACTAGTTAGCTAACTAACTAACTAGCAAACTACTAGGGCTAAAACCATCTCACACAACATACACCTGTCCACTTCTTCCAGTCATTCCAAACCATTCGAAACAATTAAATATGAAAACCATCGGAATTTGCATCCCAACCATTGAAGGTGGAGTCATTGCCCACCAAGAAATTGGAAGAGAAGCAGCGCGGCGGGGCATTGCCTATCCTCAAATCGTCACCCATACCCCTCTCTACGGAAACCTGGAACAAGCACTCAAGTCCGGTGACAACAAGTCCCTGGCAGCATTTCTAGCTGACTCGATCAACCGCACCGCCAAAGCTGGCGCGGAGTTTGCCATCATCAGTGCCAACACTCCACACGTCGCTTTCGATGACATTGTGGCCCTGTCAAACATCCCTGTTCTTAGTATCCTCGAAGTCGCCGCAGATTACTGCAAAAAACGAGGATACAAGAGCGTTGGTATTCTAGGCACAACCTGGACTGTCAAAAACGGTCTCTATAATGAACCGCTACAAAAGAGGGACATGGCTGCAGTCTATGCATCTGACACTGACCAGGCAATCGTCATGGATGCAATTATAAACGAGTTGATCAATGGAATCTTACTGGAAAACACGACAAGCGAGTTGGTGCGCATCGCTAAGGAGCTTGCTACACGATGTGATGGTATCATCCTTGGTTGTACTGAGTTGCCGCTTGTTCTTACGGAACAAAACTGTGGTATCGAAGTTGTCGATACAACACGGCTTCTCTCTCATGCGGCTCTCGACTTTGCGACCAAAGATTGATCAATGCAGTCTTTTCCCTCAAGGATCTATCGATTTAGTACTCCAAAGTCTGTGAATATAAATCTCTTGTTAGGACAAAATCTAATCTAAACCATGTCTATGATATAACTACATGCTCATCGGCGGGAAACGAAGTCTATCCAAATCCGCTTGTTTCCCCAAGATACCCAAATGTACCATCCCCTCACCAACTCCCTCGTATATCCCTCCAGCTACACCTTCCATCCACCAAACAGCGAAATTGGTGAGAGCAACGCCAACCCGCCCTTCGTTGAACTTGCAAACAGCAGCTCCAATATTAACACTGCCTTTCCCTAACCCATCAGCTGCCTCCAGTGTAGTAGTCACGATGCGCTCAGTAATGTGATGTGTCCGCTCATACTCATACAATTGGCACAATAGCACCTTCGCGTATGGTATGATGAAACGCAATAGAATGAAGAGATGCACAATTGTCGAGGCCAGAATTTTATGCAGATAGGATCTTGGCTGAGGCCTTATTTTATGATTCGCGGCATCCATATACTCGGGCGGCGGAGGGTATGTTGTTAACCCAACTTTGACCGGCTCTGGGATATTGCGCTGAAGCATGGAAGTTTCCTCGGGGGTCAGATCGGGAGGCAAAGCATCGAGAAGGTAGACCAGGGCGTTAACATAAAGAGATCTAGCCAGACGGCCATCAGGCTGTGGCTGCTGGGCTTCATATCCCGCATTGCGGAGAAGATTGAACGCTTCACAAAGTCAGTGAAAGTCGTACAATGAATACTGCATTATAAGAATTTGGGGAGCACTGACCGGGTACGACTCGATTCCACCGCAGGCCAGACGCAGTCTCGTATTTTGTTGTGGATCCCATGTCGTCTCGGGGGGTATCTGATCCCACGGAGCCAGACTCAAACGAATCCAAGTCATCGCTGGCCGTGGAAGGTCTTTGAAGCTCGGGTACTACCGACGCAGAGAAGTGGCTGTGGCATAGCATATGAGGTTCGGATGAAGATGTCAGTCCACGGCGCTGATCCCCGCTTAACTCGGTCGTCTTGGACACGGCCCGGGAGGAATATAGGCGGGGTAGTCGACGCCGAATGGATGCCGGGATGGGGAAAATAGCGAGTCCCGAGTACTCCATTTGCACTGCGGTGATGTGAGTTGAAGTTGACAGCTAATTATTTCCGAAATATATGTGAACTTGTAGGGATTTGGGGGGGAAAATTGGATTAGATGGCGAATGACAGAAAATAACTAAACTAGTTCAACAAAAATCTCCGGTTTCACATGTCAACACTACCAACGTTCCGATATACTGACTGATAAGAAATCCGATAAGAAAATCCCCGATCTACAGCCGATCTATTCCGTGATGCCGATGACTTGGTCAACTTGAGATTTATAAAGCTTTAAGGCACGTTTTGTTATCATATCAACTCCTCTGATAGCTCAGCTGGAAGAGCGCAAGACTGTAATTGTCCTGTTCTTTAGAGAACTTGTCATCTTGAGGTCCCTGGTTCGATCCCGGGTCAGAGGATTTTTTTGCATTTCGTTTATATGGAGAACTAAAAGGCGTCTTACTCTTACGCTAGGGAGTTTCAGCCGGATTCATTGTTTTGCGAATAGTAGATTATAGCCATGGTCAGATCCCAAAGCCCTCACTCATATCGGCAACACCCACAGTAGGAGTTATTCCTCCATCACTGCAAGAATAGTCGGCCGGTCTTGTGATGTCTTTTTAGATATCCTGTTAGGTGTATGTGAAGGCGGTAAAAAAAGCATACTTTGTAGGCGACTTTTCTATGTATATATAACAAGAACAGTCGGCCGCGTTTGCGGCCTTGTGATATCTTTTTAGTTGTCTTTTTAAACGTCTTTGTTTTATATATATTTTGCTGCTCATCTCAGTTATATCGATAAACGGTAGAAAAAGGCGGAGAGAGGCTTAATTTGTGAAATGGACTTTGCTATGTGTAACTTTAGACCTGTGACTTGACCGATCTGGACGTGATAGTCGCAAAATGGCGCTGAATAATGTCGTAATTGGTGGACTAGATGACGTTCAGACTGGATTGCCAGAGGACACTCCGGTAGGTTTAGGAAGGAAGAAGATTGCCAGGGTAGGGAAATACGTACAATTAGTTGCATCGCGGTTCGGACGACATGTTCTGGGTAGTATAGAGCCGAGGCCCTTTAAGATGATGGATCTAAATCCTGTATATGAACATTGAAAAGACCATTATCTAAACACAACAAACGCCGGGCGCTTGTCACCTGCGATGTACATCGTAATAGATACTCCAAACGGTAAGTAAATTCACAGGCATTTGGTGTGGGCTCTGGTATTTCAGGACAGCAGCCCAAAAGAGTACGTAGTAAGTGGATAGTTAGCTCCGTGGGGTCTTCTCTCTTCACACAATCCACTTTTTTTTCTTAGTCTTCCTAGTCTCTAGTATCATCAGAATAATTGCTCACCAAGATATCAAGTGTGATATGTAACTAGCCGATGCCCTAAAAACAACTATTCGAGGCTATCCAATAGAAATGGAGGAAGGGCTACTCCACTCCTGGCATTCCACTCCACACATCCCGATAGTATTTTTTCGGCCCGGTTTCTTCAACAAGTATCCGATATGGTGTAGTGGCTAACATCGCCGTCTCTCACACGGCAGCCGGGGGTTCGATTCCCCCTATCGGAGTCTCGCATTGTTTTTTTGCATACACAATATCTTTTTCTTTCGTTGCAGCCTCATCATCTTTACAGCTAGGCAAAATCTCGTCAAAGTAGCGATTTTCTGAGGCGTAGTGAAATGCAAACTTTTCACTGCAGGAAAAATAAGAGTAACCAACATGTACCATCAAATCGCAATTGGGTAGAGCAAGAGGCAAAAGAGAGTGTAACCGCAACGCTCGGCACGGTGAGTACATCAAGATGCATGGAAACGGCGTTTTGCACATTTTGAAAGGTTTTTATCACCTATAGTATAGCTACAGCACGTGCTTGCGAACTATCTGATGAATGGTATCAACTGCTAAGATAAACGGGAATATTATCCTATAAATTGCGAATCCTATGTTGGTAGCCACTTTCAAGGCCTCTTCGGCTCGAGTCTTCATCTGTCCCAGTCAGGGTGTCTGGTGGTTGCTACCAAGTTCACACAAACCAAGGTTTGGATCGAAAGGTAAGTAGGCTCGCTAGAGAGCCGTCTTTCGTGTCTCCCTACCTGCAGGTTACTCTGGGATGGCACCGATTGTTCACTACAGCCTAGCGTTCAAAGATACGGAGCCAAAAGTCCAAGGATATCTCTCTTAGGAGATGATAGCTACAGTTCATGGACACATATCTCTGTTCCTACGGCAGTACTACCTAGACCACCTTCGCTACATCAAGCATTACCCCCAAGCTCCTCAAATTTGATGAGGCAAGTATGCTCCTGCAGGGATATTAGTGTTGAACACGCGTCATTTCCGGGTTGTGCAAGTCAGGATAAAGTGAACACACCAGCATCTTGGGGAATCTATCGTCATAAAAGACCTCGAATCGAGCAGTAATCCCCGGCGTGATATCTTCAAACCCCGGCGCGATCGTGGTGCTGTACTTGCGGTATATCGTTGCCGCGAGCGTCGTCATTTCAGCCATTGCCAAGCTGTTGGAAATTGAATCAGTGTTTTGCACAACGACTACACAAAAGGTTTGCGTTCAAAAAAGGAAACAGAGGAGGAAATAACGGACTGTAAACCGATGCACATCCTGCCGCCACTCGAAAAGGCCCAGAACCAGCGGTTCATCTCAGCCGCCTGCGGCCCCAGCCAGCGATCGGGGTCGAAAGTGCGAGGATCCTTGAAAACCTCGGGGTTACGGTGGAGGGTGAATGGAGACATTCCCACGGTAACATCTGCCGGGATATTGTACCCGTCAATGACGGTATCGGCGGCGCTCGATCTCGGCTCAAAGGTTGGCAAGGGGGCATAGAGCCTTAGCGTCTCCTTGATGATGGCATTCAGGTAAATGCATTTGTCGCTCGCCTCGGCGGTGGGAAGGCTGTGGCCGTTGAGTGACTCCCCGGATAGTTCGAGGACTTCCTGCCTCAGCTTCTTCTGAAAGGCCCTGTTTCTGGGCTGGGAGAGGGACCAGATTAGGAACATGAGCGTGTCGCTGGTGGTGTCGATGCCGGCCAGGAAGTGGTCTGCGCACTCCGAGGCGATCTCCAAGCCGTCCAGACCGTCTTTCTTATGGGTTTTGTGGTACGCCCAGAGGCGCTCGAGGATAGACGAGCCCTCGGCTTCCTCCAAAGGCCGACCACCCTCCTTCTCGGACGTTTCTATATCCGACCGGAAGCTCCTATACGCCTGCAGTGCAAACTCTCGAATGCCGGTGTATGTGGCGGGCTTCTGCATGGGCAGCAGCGGCTGGACGACGGTCTCCATTCTTTTGGTGCGCGAATAAAGCCACTTCGTCACTGTATTCATGTGCACGGTGTACCACGAAAGCTTGCGCCGAGACGGATCCAAAATGTCGCCAATCAGAGCCCGGTGCGGCTCCGAGCCTTCCAGAGCAGATGTCGACCCGTACCTACCATACAGGAACTCGGTGATGTTATCGAGGGAGTAGTAATGCAGTGTGCTGAAGATCTCGCTCACGTGCCCCGGCTCCGCGTCGATGAGAGCCATGTACTTCCGCGCCTTCTCCTCAACCATGCTCGCAGAGGGCTCCTTGAGCATAGTGGATTTGGAGTAGGCGTGGGAGAGGAGCTTCTTCCTCTGGCCGTGCTCCGCCGCTGAGTGAAAGGTGAATAGGTTCTGGCGGCCGTAGACGTCAAACATGCGGTAGAAGCCCGTTCGGCCGTACTTGCTACCGGGCCCATAGATGGTCCGCAGCGCCGTCAGGCTGTTGAACGAGACCTCGTCCGGGCCGATGCGGACGACGGGGCCATATCTCTGGTGCAGCTGGTGGATGGTGCGGGTGCGCGCGCCTTTCCAGTCTTCGTAAGCCAGTCGCCATTTTGTCAGGGCGAACACCTTGGGCCCGGGCACGCGGCCCAGGGGACTCAGAAAGATGGGATCGAGGAGTAGATATTTGATGAGTAAGATGACCGGCACCAACACGACGGTGATGACCGACAAGGATGCCATTTGGAACAGCTTCTCACACTAACCCTACGAAATTGTCCCCATCTGTTGATTTGTAAATCTTAATGGCGGCAAGTAGCGAGCGGAAATTATAATAATAGGGGTTTGATAGAGCTGTGTGTGCTTTTTGACTTAAACTCGTTACTTGGGAGGAGTATAATACGTCGTACACCCCCACCACCTGTACCTTGTTAGATAACAGCTCTGATAAGCATCGCATACTGGCGAGAGCCGGCTGCAATGCTCTCTAAAAAAGGTCCGCTTCTTGGTCTAATCACAACCACTAAGACCACCCCTAAAATCAGCATTTGGCTGTCCCCCTCTTCCTTTAGCGGTATATAGCGGGGGGGCCGATAGCGATATCGATAGTCTTCGTGCTTATCAGGTCCAGCTGGCGCTAAGATACGTTCGACAACCTTGCTATGGAGGCCGAAATCTACCGATGTCGGACAACCCGACCCGAGCTAGGGGTTAGGGTTGACTGAGCGGGATACATTGTGTCCTGGTTCATGTTTACGCCCGCCCGACGACGACAACGGCGACAGACACTAGCAGTGCATTTACAGGGAAGTATTCGGTGCTTCAGCCACAGGAGAGACCTCAGATTTACCACGACTCCATCTACCCCAAGTGCATTAAGGAAGCGATGGTCTCCTCCCCAACTCCCGTGGTTGGAGGTCATTGTCACAGCCGGTAGTGCAGGCCTGGGCGCCGCAGCCGCCCGTCTCTTCGCACAGCACGGATAACGCGTCGTGGTCAACTACATCACCAACGCGCAGCGCGCCGAGCTCGGCGGCGGCGGCCACATCGCGATGCAGGCGGACCTGGGCTTGCAGAATGACGTGGAGCGTTGAGCGCCTCGTGCGCGAGGACCGCGCCTTCGCCATGAACGTCAAGTTACACCTAGAGCTCCGCAACCCCCATAAAGCCCATAGCCCATCCCAATCACCCGCAAATGGGCTAGGCTTTGGACCCTACCTTCCGGCCCACCGGTGGGCTATGAGCCTAAGTAGAAGCCCACTGCGGGTTAATGGGCCCCCAGATGAACCCCAAACAGTATAAACATGCCAAGAGTTTAGATGCCAAGTAAAGTTGAACTCCCTTTTAGGGGTTTTAAAATTACCATTGGTTTTACCCCCGTTTCTAGGCCTTATGATCAAGGTAATATTTTATTAGTTTGAATTATTTATAATCAATCACTAGTTATATCTCTATATCGCGTCTAAAAGCGTGAGAAAACGCGTTATTTAGATAGTTTATAAATTACAGAAGTTCACCTAGAAAGTAGTAGTACTTCTATATAACCTATGATATATATCTTGTTAAAACATTAAGATTAATGGTATCTCGACTTCTACTAGTTAGATTTTATTTGAAATTAAAATATATACTTATATAGCTACTTTTATTATTAACGCTGAATTTGAATTTTATATAACTATTAAAAGGGTTAGAATATAATTTTGTATAGCAATTACAAGATGCCGGATGAACCCCTTCGAAGGTTAGGCCCACATCCCACTGCTGGTTGGGCTTTGCGGAGCGCTAGGACTCATACCTCTGGCTGCTGCAGGCGGCGCGGCCGCACCTCGATGAGACGGAGAGGACGTTCGTCACAACCTCTTCCATTGCGGGTGTGCAGGGTATGGGGAGCTCGTTGGTACGTTTTCTTGACCCCCGGGTAGCCCGGTGTCGGACTACCAGGACGAGTATTGCGCGAGTTCTCGAGAAATTAATAACGTCTTGTCGCTCAGGTTTGTTTGGCTACGAAGGTTGCACAGCTACACATGATCAGGGGCCTCGCCACCATGGTGACGCCGAAGATCCGGGTGAATAGCGTGTCGCCTGGGATGTTTCAAATAGTGAGGATATTCCTGTCTGTCTACCACGAGAGATAGAAACCGGGGCTAATCTTGTGATCACTAGGAATGGGCAGAGTGGTTTAGCGAAGAGCAGAAGGAAGCCCACAGGCAAAACATCAAGCTGAAAAGGTTTGTCGCGGTCGAGGTAAGCTGTTTGAACCCGAACCCTTCTGTCACTTCAAAGGGTTGTTAACTTATTGGCACCACAATCAGGATGTGGCCGCCCAGGTTCTTAGTCTGGCGAGGTCGAAGAGTATGACTGGGGCAAACATAATCATTGATGCTGGATATGCGCTATAGAACCAACAGAAGGAAATGAAACAAGTAATTGCAAAGGCTCTTCGGCTTCTCCTCAATGTATTGCAGTAGGTATGCAATCGTCGTGCATGGGGTACAATCGTGGTGTATGCTATCATGGCTGGCTTTCCGACTCACTCAAGGCCATGCCAAAAGAGGCTGAATGTAGCACAAAGTTGTATCCAGGAGCGAATTGTTTGTTAACTAGCCAACCAGACGATTGAATGGTCTGATTTTAATTAGGAGCAGATAGTCTCAATAGTGGTGCTACCATAAAAGAGAGAGGTAATCTACCCTATAAAAGGTTCAAAGTTGATTGATAGAGGTATTACATACGGGCCGAGACCATAATTATAAAGGCGGCGATTAGAGCCGTGTTAGTCGTGAGCCAAAAATTAGGTTGTCGTAGTGGTCCAATCCGTCGCCCATACACATGGCCATCCACTGCCTCATTCGAAAATCTTCCCGATGACCTTATCCGTCAAGCCCTGCTCGCGCGGAACGAGTGCAGACTCGTAATTGTCGATCTCCTCCTTTATCCCGCCGAGGCTCAGGTCTGCGGTGCCTGGCCACACGTAGCGGCTGCGGAAGACGAGCTTCCAGAAGAGGAAAAGCACAATGAAGAAGCCAATCATACCGTAGTCGAGGAAGAACCACATGACGTCCCAGCCGCCCTTGATGAAAAGGTCGTAGCCGCCGGCCAGCAGCATGAAGAGCGTGCCGCCCATGGCAAAGTAGGACGTGTACGGCTGGAAGCGGCCCTTGTAGGGCAGGGTGTCGCGGGAGATACCCTGGCGCTTGAGAGACGAGAAGAAATGCCTGTAGGTCACGGCCGTGCAGAGATAGTTGATAAGCTGGCAGCAAGTGACCAGGTCGACGAGATAGTTCATGACATTGGCTGATGAGCTGCTGACCTGCATGAAGGCGAGCAGGCAGAAGCTGAGCGAGAAGAGCAGGGCCCAGAGCGGGACACCGGCCTTGGTGCACCACGAGAAGAAGCGCGGGGCGTGGCCCTCGAGGGACATGCCGTGCAGGGTGCGGGTCGCCGCGAAGAGGAGGCCATTGCCGGCGCTGAAGATGGATGTCATGATGAGCGCGTTGACGAGGGAGGGTAGGCCGTTGATCTTGAGCCGCTCCATTGCAATGACGTAGGGCCTGTGTAAAGAACATTGTTAGGACAAGTGATTATAGGGAATGACCGACCGTTGTTGAGAGTACTTACGATGCAGCGCCAGTGCCTGATCCGCTGAGTGCACCACCGAGAATAGCCAGGAGGGTGGTGTCGTTGTACGGGATGACGATGCCCATACAAAGGGCAGATCCCACGAAGAAGAGAAGGATTCGCCAGACGAAGGACCGGAAGGCAGGGGGCAGGATCTTGCGGGGGTTCTCGGTCTCGGCAGCCACCATGGAGATGTACTCTGGGCCGCAGATTCTGTTTTTGGATACGGTCAGTCCCAGCACACAGTCATACCGGGAGGAGTAGGGGGCGTGGCTGTAGGTGGCAACACTTACGAGAAGCTGGCTTGATACACGCAGGATAGGACGCCCAGGAATTTGCCCGTCCCTCCGGACACAATGTGCTCGACAAAGGCGCCCGGGTTATTCCAATATCGGAAGCCGTAGCGATCATGCAGGGGGTTGCCGCCCAGCATAGTGATGAAGGTGAAGCAGAACAGGCCCAGCATCAGAAACACCTTGAAGATGGACAGGTAGAACTCGGAGATGCCGAAGTAGCGCACGGTGGCCACGTTGAGGACAGCATATAGAACGATCATAGCGACGATTATGGCCTCGACGGGGACTTTGTCGGTCCAGAAGGTGATCATGATGTTCATGGCGACAATCTCGAAGGGCACAAGGAAGGCCATGTTGAGGAAGAAGTTCCAGGCCATGGCAAAGCCAAGAGCGCCATCAACCCATTCGCTGCCGAAGCGGATGAAGGGCGAGGGCACGGGTAGGTAGGTCACCATTTCGGCGAAGCACTCGTTGACAGCCCACATGACGGCACCCCAGATTAAGAAGGCAATGAAGAGACCCGCGGGACCGCCCTTGGGCAGAGCCGAGCCCATCTGCACATAGAGAGCTTCGAGGTTGTCAGCCTGCCGTGCTGCCTTTGTGAAGCAGAAGTTCTTGTCGACTTACAGGTGCCAATGGCTCCTCCAATAGCGAAGAGCTGGACTTCTGATCCTCGCAGCTTGCGGTGCAGATGCTGCGACCCTGAGGATATGTTCACAGATGTGCCCTGCTGAAAATCATCGTCAATCCTAGACGAAGGCTCCGTGGCGATGGATGGTGACGGAGGCCCTTTCTCAGAATACTTGGAGGCCGACATATTGATGTGGTGTGCTTAAGGGCTCTCGCGGTTGTCAATGTTGAGCTTTGGTCGTGGAACTGAGTCTCACAGCATGCCAAAGGGATCTTCTGGGCTGTGAAGAGGAAACACCCCGGCTAAATGAAGGATCCAGGTCGGGTAGTACCCACCGGAGTCTCGAAGCTGGGGTCGAATAATGACACTTAAAGCCGGCCGGGGGAGGGGCTGAAATCGGGGCCCGCTACATTTCTAACTGTACCGATGTGAGATAAGAGATTGTTAGCATTACCTGTGGTAAATCTGAGCTTATTTAGATAGCGGCCCCTCCTTCGCGGGCTCTGAGTGGGCCACAAAATTGGTAGATGCTAAAAATCCAGTAGATTCCTCTTTTTAGAACTAGAATCAGCACTACGATACAGCTCACGCCGCTATCGAGATACGCTTGGTCCCAGGGGTGATTGTTAGCATGTCGGCGCCGTATCGGGTGGCGGGATCGAGAATGTTACGGGGTAACACGACGTCTGTCGGACGCTAGTCCGCCCCTGTAGCATGGATGGCTTATCGACTATCGCGGCACTGGCCATGACAGGGCCAGGAGATATTAGCGGCCGGGGCATCCGACGCGTATCACCGCCATCGTACTTTTGCTTGACGGTTGCAAATCCGACAAAAGTGCCCCTGTGAAAGATGGAAGGATGATTAGATATCTATGTACCTAATATTGGGTAGACACGGAGCAAGTGTGCAAGAAAGTGCGAGTGAGTAGGGGCTAATAGTATATTGTGATCATATTGTGTATCTTCCAAAAGCAGTGAAGGTTTGAGAGTGAGAGAATCCTCCGGTGTTCGCTACGTCAGAAAAATCCGGACTCAGTGCTACATGGCCATGCAGCAAATCACCCGTGTATTTGCTATGAATCTATGAGTGCCTGTATTTGTCTCTTAATCTTGTTGTGGCATGTGTTCACTGCTTGAAGCTGCCGTTGGATAGTGCCTCCTCGTACTGGTAGTGCGGCTGGAACTCTACATACAACGTGTCCTATGTGCCATGTTAACCCAGGGCTGTTATCGGTCAAGGAAGGGGTCAGCAGACTACATACCGGAGTGCTAGCCATCTTGAAGTTATAAGCTGCCTCCTCGTCGCTCACAATGTGCTTCTTGTGCCCGGCGCTGTCAGCCAGCAGCTGCACCTTGCAGCTCCTCTCCATCAAGCAGAAGAGGAACGCCGCCTCATCCACCGTATAGCCCGTCGTCAGCAGGCCGTGGTTCATTAAGATTGCCGCCTTGCCGGTCTCGCCCAGGCTCTCCGCAATCTTCTGGCCCTCCGACGCCTCGTTGGCAATGCCGCCGTAGTCCGAGTACACCGAGTGCGCGTTGTAGAAGTAGCACACGTCCTGGTTGATCATCTCGAGCGGCCGCGCAAACGCCGAGTAGGCCCGGCCGTGCACCGAGTGCGTGTGGCAGATGGCGTGCACGTCGGGCCGCGCGCGGTGCACGGCGCTGTGGATCTGGAACCCGGCCGCGTTGATGGACCCGGCCGTGTTACCACCGACGACCTCGCCGTGGATGTCGACACAGATCATGTCGCTGGCCTTCAGCAGGCCAAAGTGCACGCCGAGCGGGTTGATCCAGAAGCGGTCGGTCCACTCCGGGTCGCGCACGCTGATGTGGCCCGAGATACCCTCGGCGTAGCCCTCGTGAGCAAAGACCCGGAAGGCTGCCGCCATGTGTTCGAGCTGCCACTGCCGCGTCTCAGCATGCGAGCTAAATTTTGGAATGCCGGGGAGGCCTTTGCCTCTGTGAGCCATGGAGGCTAGGGCGTCGACATTGCCGTCTATTGACTTGGTAGGCGGGGCGGGCGAGAAAGCCACGAGGTCTGCTGTTGTGGATGGTGCCATGGTGATTCAGCTGTACAAAATGAAGTGTTGCAGAGCGACGAAAAAAATAGAGGCGTATTGCAATGTGAACAGTCAATGATAACCTGATTAGCAAGACGTTGGGGCAATGTCACACAAATACATACACCTAACCTTGATTGCAGTCAAAGGCGCTCTATCTCCGTGATAATCCCATGCTATGCCCATCTACATTCCGCAGAGACAAGATAAGAGGATGCTAGTGGCTTGCGATAACCTGGTGTCGATCTAGCCGACACATGTAGATTATCTTTGTAAGGCGCATAGAATATCTCACCCCGCTTGGGGCGAAAACTGTATCTGTGTCAACCCACTTGGGTCAGCGTATAGCCATTGTCGGCCTAGCCGACAGTGCAGAGCTGGCACCTCAAATCTTCCCTACCAACCCGAGGGAGGGCATTAGACGGCCTGTACAAAAGAAATAGAGATCACAGAACATTGCCCAGCCCTGGGGCAAAAGTTCAGCTTGTGCTCTATTATACCTTGTCGCGTTCTAGCTTCTAGCTCACTCAGAAGAACGCCCATAGTGGATACCAAGGTCCAAGAAGTTCTCAGTCCGCTGAGCTATCGCTTGACCCAGCGTATGGGGTACCAGAATACACTGCCTGTGCTGGTTGCTCTGGGCGTAGTTCTGGTTTCCTATGTCATATACAATATAAGACAAACGATGGCAACCGAGGATGACAGGATGACTGATATACGATAGCTCGCCTTTGCAATTGACATCCCTTATGGTAAGGGGCTGCCGGAGATCTCAGGGGCGGTACCCGTCTTTGGCCATCTGTTGAAGCCCGGCGAGGACCAGCATCCACAACGTCATCGACGCTGTGGTCTACATCCTTGACATGGAGTCGCAGTACGCGGGGATGAACGAGGGGTGGAACAAGGTCTTTGCCGATCGTGTTAGCGCGCCTGTGCGGGCCACCATCGGGGTCAGGGAGCTTCCTGACGCGCGGACGATCGTCGAGGTCATGGCGGTTGCCGTGGTTGAGTTCTAGTGGGGGGATCTGCGGCGTAGCTTGGACAAGGGCAGCAGGGACGGAACCACGTGGGAAACTTGGAGATGCTTGGCCATGACTTGGGCAGGTGGGCTCCTGAGTTCCTGGTTATCGCTTATCGCGGGAAATTGGATATGTCCTGAGCGCTCCCTGGGCACACGCCCGAGTGCTCACCGAGCATAACCTGACCTCGGGAGCATTGGCATCACTAAGAATACCCTTGAGTAGACTGAGTAATCACCCTGTGCTACTACCTATGAATAGTTAGTGAGTATGACCTGCATACAACATAAAGCGGTGGATTCCCGATCGGGAAATTGATCCGCCGCCTAAAATCCGGCACATAGAACTACATATGTAGGTACTTTTGTACATCGTAGATCGTAGACATGCATGAAAACTTTATTTGGCCAAGCATTCGCCTACAATCACCTGCTTCTCTTTTTCCTTCGTGTAAAAAGACAAGAATAGTCGGCCGCATTTGTGGCCTTGTGATGTCCTCTTAGTTGGTTCTTTGAGATGTCTTTTCAAATGTCTTTTAATATGGATGTAAATGCGGTAAAAAAAGCATAGTTTGTGCAAGAGACTTTTCGATGTATAATCAGGGATTTTTAGCATCGAAAACAAAAAGATATCTCACGATGATCTCCGATAGGGGGAATCGAACCCCCGGCTGCCGTGTGAGAGACGGCGATGTTAGCCACTACACCATATCGGATATTGGATGAAAGGAGGAGCACAATTTGGCTAGATGAGTCTGTGATTAGGATTTAGGTTCATAAAACTTTATAGAATTACGCATGGACACGCCAGTTACCTCTGTTTAACGGGACTTCGTAAATTTGTGCACAATATTCACCTGTCGCTTCTCTTTGACACCAAGTTATTATAATTCAATATCTTTACATCTTCCATCACCAGCAGCGGGGGCAGTGGTAGCGCGTAATATTGCAAGGCTATGAGGCACAAAATATATTGAGATCCCCGTACGGTCGTTGCTTTTTTTGCACCTTTTTTTCCCCTTTAAATTTGCTACATCTGTTTGGTTTCTCTAAAGGCCCGTCTTAGGGTCATCAGTAGATATAGCGGATGAACCGTACTCGTGGGGGAAGTGCGACCGAGAGATATATATTTCTAACCCTTACTTTCTACATCATAAAATTAGCATGGGTTAGCCCTTTAATATTGAGCCTGTTGTTTAAATTTTATCGCTCTTTGTCTATGTCATTTACACCCAAAATCAGCTTAACCTCTACAGCCTTCGTTAGGATAAATATCTCGTTCTATACGAGGCCTGACGTATAATCTATCTGAACAGTCGCATAAGAGATATACGCCAGGCTAACATCCTAGATACGGAATTCCTGCATCGCGGGTGGTATAGACCGCAGCACCTGCTAGAGAGAGTCTGCTTCCCTATCTCGGACACCCCCTACGGCGCTGTCCCCGATGTTAACGCGGTCTTGTCTCACTCCTAGACTGATCGCCTGGTCTATCGAGGAAGCAAGAAGCCGAAGTTCACCTTAGAACTGGGTGCTCTACGAGGCGTCAATGTTCAGATGTGAATACCTCATCTCTCCCTTGTCTTCTAACTATAGTTAGTAGTGGCCTGGCTTAACTGATAATATTCATTCTCATGTTCTTGTGTCATGTAGCTGTACGGGGCTAGTGTGACTGAACTTGCCTTCATCGGGTAGACCTGGTCGGAGTGGGTTGTATTGGTATCCGCGCACATTCCCACTTCAACCCGCATTCTGGCCTGCAATTCTCAAATGCTCACAGCTCACAGCTCACCGTCTGCACTTCTCCATCCGTCCATCCACCAGCATCCTCATTCCTGTCGACCTCGTATTACCAAATCTCACCAACCCCCCTGCATCCCCATGAGCTTCGCGAAGTCCATAAATGCGAACGGATCGCCTTCGCACATCCAATATGGTTTGCCCCCCTCCCTCTTCGTCCTTGCCCCCGCTGTTGATGCCGCCCACGGAGCTAGTCGATTGGATGGGTGAAATTGTGGCCGAGGGGTGCAGACCCGGAAGTTATCCCATGTGTGGTGCTCTCTTGATCTCCCAACATGTCTGTGTCCTGGGTTGCCTGATTTTGAGGTGTTGTTCTTTGCGATTGTGTACCACCCTCGCCGGCAGTCGCGGTTGTATCCTCTTGTTCTATGCCCGTGGCGATAGAGTCTACCCAGTGAAACTGCCCCAAGAGCCCGGGTTTCATCATGAAATCCGGGACGAATAGAACTGCCGATGCCCCAAGAAGTGTCCCCTTCTCACCAGGACTCGCTGATATTCAGCGGCCGTCCATTTTGCCGACCAGATCTGTCCGCAACTCTTCGAACGCTGGGTATTCACCAATACATGTCGCACATTCTGGGATTCAATCGCAAATCAATGTCGGTGAGTCTGCCATCTTGATATATACTAGGTACGAACAGAATGCAATGATACTGATCCGCGTCTCTAAGATGACGAAGATATGGCTTCTTTCTGAAATTTTCAGTACCGTAGTATCTACTTACCTGGTGACTCGACAGGTTTCTCGACTTCCTCCTCATTTTCCTCGACGCCATTTTCCTCGACGCCATTTTCCTCGACGCCATTTTCGTCCATTCCCCCCCCCGTGTCCGGTCCCAGCCTTCCTGGATCAGCTCCGAGGCCATTTCGACACCTCTGAGCTCGGTAAAGTACACGGTGGACATCGTATTGTCGCCAATCTCGCACCCTTCTTCGACACTCAATGTGTTTGTCACTGCTGCAGTGCTGATGCGCCTGGTGTATCCACTTCGGTCAGTGAATATGCGAGGGGTGCTTAGTTCTCTCACCTTGTTGTGCGTCGCCTTCGCTGCTTCACAGTCTTCGATAAATTCTTTTGATGGTGCAGATCATGGTGCCTGGATGAATGCCTGTCGATTTCCCCACTCTCCTCGTGGCACAAAACCCCGGGAAATCGGTACCCTTTGTCCATATCCGCGCCTCCGTTGGTGTCCATACTCCCTTTGACCGGTCGGCTGTTCGTCGAGCGATGATCCGGAGGACTATCTATTACTGAAATGCACATCGGGACTTTGGACACTTGTATTCCATTAGAAGGTACTTAGTATTTACTGTTTAGCCTGAATGCTTTTCCTATAGCTCAGTCTCTTCCTCTCTCTATTCCTTTCTTCCATAGCCTCCATAAAATAAATGCATTTTACATCTTCATATTCTTTATGGTCCCCGGGTAGCACCCACAGAAGGTTTGAGCCCGAGTTTGTGTATTCGTATCACTTCCTAATCGTCGTACACTATCCTATACACATTTTCTCTGTATACCTCGCTGTCGGCACTGCAATTATGCGAGGAAGAAACGCAGCACGCTGCTTAGCTACCGCGTCCACGAGCGTCGTCCACGAAGAACACCGCGCACCTGACTTCCTTCTTCCCTTAATCTAGTGAGTTTCCACCGATCCTCATCGATGGAGCACGCCGCATATCTCCTTCTTTACGCCTCCAACCTCGATCGATTCTCATCGACGACACACAATGCCTATCCTCTTCTTATTCCCTTACTCTCGAGAGTGACGATCAATGGTCATCGATAATACACACCGCGTACCCTCTCCTTCTTCTCCTTCACTTTCGCGAGCTTCAACCAATTTTCAACGAGTGAGCATATCGCACTTTCTAGCCAGCCCGAAAACAGCATTCTCACGATCACCTTTCTCAACACCCGCGATGAACCTAAGCACGGAAACTGGCCTACGACACCATATGGGGTCTCCAACATAGGAGGTCTCGCCCACATGAACTACGCTATGCTCGTTGGGGGTCTTTAGCATCAATACTTCTCTCATGGCTCGGGTTCTTTCTATCTCTGCCCCTCGTCTATAGCTTCCATATACTCAATACATTCTGCATCTCCATACCCTCTATGGTCTCTAAGTACCCCCAAAATACGCACCAAATATCAGTCGCTTCTCCTTGCAGACCGCTGTTTATTGCGCCTCGGTCGCATAGTACTTCAAGGCGGACAGCACTGTCTAGCCCTCTAGGCTATCCTGCTGTCAATGTCCTGGGAAGAGCCCAAATAGTATTCTCATTCTATCCTCAGCCACAATCGTTTCACTACTTGATGCTGGGTAAACCCTATCCCCAGCCTATCTTGATGATGTGCATGGTCTCGTGGGGACTACATTCATTATCCAGCGCAGCCGGTATGGTCAAGACTTCCACGCAACTCAGCTCAACAACGAAACGATTCAACGAAAGGGGATCTGGCTCTGTAACTGATGGTTAGACAGATTAAAAAGGCGTTGTGCATCTTCCAGCGATCGAAACTGGTGGCTTCGAGTTGGAGGGCCAACTGATCACACCCAAGAAGGTCGATCGACAGAGTCCACAGGCAGATAGACCGAAGCTGAGGATGAGATGATGCTAGTAATTCAAATTATCGCCGTAGTATGATCTGGATATCTTGCTCTTTGTGCTGCTGGTACGTCTGCATTCTATCTTCATCAAAAATCCCCATGTGGGGTCCGCGGGTGGGTATCCAATGCCAAGGTTGTACCCGTGGACTGCATGACATAGGGACCGTGCACGCACGCCATACCAAGCACGGCGTAGCGTGTAACCTTAATGATCTATAAGTCTTACCGCATCTCAACGACGTGTATCTTCAGTTGACAACATGATGCGTTTATATGAGACATAGCTGAACAGAATCAGAGCTAGAATACAGTTGAAGCGTTCAAGTTGATGGATGGGAGTGGCAGTGATACTATATAGTGTCATATGTTCTTTTTACGACTCTAGAGACTGTCTAGGACTACACTACTGCCTCAATAATCATGAGAAGTGGGTTGGACTTGCCGCGCAAATAGTTGAGGAGGGGAAGTTGAGAAATGGGTGTTTCCTAAAGGACACCCCATGCACCCCCAGGCACAAACGCAGGTCCTGACCCCTGGGGTATAAATACCCCCTCCTTCCCCCCTCTTCCCCTTTTTTTCTTCTTCCTTCTTCATCTCCCCAACTCCTCACACCATACACCAAAAACATTTTATCAAATATTTTATCCACCCTTCGTCTTCCATCAGGCCTTCCATCATCAACTGATGTCTTTCATCATCATCTTGAGCCTCATTTCTTCCATCTTTCTACATCCACATTGATGAGATGAAGCCTGTGATCACCATGCCCTTGACGCATCGGTCTCTGTCACGTCTACCCAATCACATGACTGGTCAGTTGTGCCATCCACTTCCAACTTCAACTTCTTTTTTTCTTTCCTTACTTACATTCATCCTTCAGGTAACTCAACCACATACAACATGTCCCTTCAACATGCCTTGCACATGTCATGTCACGTCCACTTCATCCCATGACTGGTCAGTTGTGCCATCCACTTCCAACTTCGGGTTTCATTCCTTACATCCTTCGACAACTCAACCACATACAACATGTCCCTTCAACATGTCTTGCACATGTCATGTCACGTCCACTTCATTCTATGACTGGTCAGTTGTGCCATCCACTTCCAACTTCTTTTTTTCTTTCCTTACTTACATTCATCCTTCAGACAACTCAACCACATACAACATGTCTCTTCAACATGCCTCACACCTGTTAGGTTCATTATACATCATATGCCTTGTTTGTTCTGCCTGTCTCCTTTGCCTGTTTTGTTCGTTCCATATACTCACATTCATTGTTCAGACAACACACCAACATCCACTCAAACCATATCCAGCCTTGCCATGATGGACTTCAGCTTCAGAAGACTCAGCAGGCTTGGAACAACCGCAAAAACAAAAAACAAAAAACAAAAAACACAGAAGCACAAAAACAAAAACGATTTCAATCATCCACTTCAATCCACAGTCAATCATCCACAGTCAATCATCCACAGTCAATCATCCACAGTCAATCATCCACAGTCAATCATCCACAGTCAATCATCCACAGTCAATCATCCACAGTCAATCATCCACAGTCAATCATCCACAGTCAATCATCCACAGTCAATCATCCACAGTCAATCATCCACAGTCAATCATCCACAGTCAATCATCCACAGTCAATCATCCACAGTCAATCATCCACAGTCAATCATCCACAGTCAATCATCCACAGTCAATCATCCACAGTCAATCATCCACAGTCAATCATCCACAGTCAATCATCCACAGTCAATCATCCACAGTCAATCATCCACAGTCAATCATCCACAGTCAATCATCCACAGTCAATCATCCACAGTCAATCATCCACAGTCAATCATCCACAGTCAATCATCCACAGTCAATCATCCACAGTCAATCATCCACAGTCAATCATCCACAGTCAATCATCCACAGTCAATCATCCACAGTCAATCATTCACAGTCAATCATTCAAGTCAACACAAAAACAAAAAAACAAAAAAACAAAAAAAAAACGATTTCAATCATCCACATCAATCTACAGTCAATCATTCAAGTCAACACAAAAACAAAAAAAACAAAAAAACAAAAACAAAAACAAAAAACGATTTCAATAATCCGCTTCAATCCACAGTCAATCATCCACAGTCAATCATTCAAGTCAACACAAAAACAAAAAAACACAAAAACAAAAACGATTTCAATCATCCACATCAATCTACAGTCAATCATCCAAAGTCAATCATCCAAGTCAATCATCCAAGTCAGTCATCTACATTCGACCATACGCAACACTGCAACACTTCAACTTTGAAAGAGGAGGAAAGAAAAGAAACGGTCTTGTGTCGACAAGAGTCTCCGAAGGAGTGTCTCTGAAGGAGGCTTCTCGTCAGGAAGAGGTTACAGCGTGTACCCATTTGAAGGAGACTCTCAAGACCGTTTGCTGTGGTGGTAAAAAAAAAGTTGTTGCTCGACGTTAGCGCTTGGTCACCTTCACTCAACCACTTCGATCAATCAATTATCCACATTCAAGCAATCGACATCCAAGAAATCCACATCCAAGAAATCCACATCCAAGAAATCCACATCCAAGAAATCCACATCCAAGAAATCCACATCCAAGAAATCCACATCCAAGAAATCCACATCCAAGAAATCCACATCCAAGAAATCCACATCCAAGAAATCCACATCCAAGAAATCCACATCCAAGAAATCCACATCCAAGAAATCCACATCCAAGAAATCCACATCCAAGAAATCCACATCCAAGAAATCCACATCCAAGAAATCCACATCCAAGAAATCCACATCCAAGAAATCCACATCCAAGAAATCCACATCCAAGAAATCCACATCCAAGAAATCCACATCCAAGAAATCCACATCCAAGAAATCCACATCCAAGAAATCCACATCCAAGAAATCCACATCCAAGAAATCCACATCCAAGAAATCCACATCCAAGAAATCCACATCCAAGAAATCCACATCCAAGAAATCCACATCCAAGAAATCCACATCCAAGAAATCCACATCCAAGAAATCCACATCCAAGAAATCCACATCCAAGAAATCCACATCCAAGAAATCCACATCCAAGAAATCCACATCCAAGAAATCCACATCCAAGAAATCCACATCCAAGAAATTCACATCCAAGCAATCCACATTCAAGCAATCCACATCCAAGCAATCCAAATTCAAGCATGCACATTAAAAGCAAGCAATCCACTTCAAGCAATCTACATTGAAAGCAAGCAATCCACATTCAATCATCTACTTCGATCATCTACACCCGACCATCCGCAACACTGCAACACTTCAACTTTGAAAGAGGAGGAAAGAAAAGAAACGGTCTTGTGTCGACAAGAGTCTCCGCAGGAGTGTCTCTGAAGGAGGCTTCTCGTCAGGAAGAGGTTACAGCGTGTACCCATTTGAAGGAGACTCTCAAGACCGTTTGCTGTGGTGGTAAGAAAAAAGTTGTTGCTCGACATCAGCGCTTGATCACCTTTATTCAACCATTTTAATCGATAATTCACATCCGACCATCCGCAACGCATCGACTTCAAAAGAGGAGGAATGAAAAGAAACGGTCTTGTGTCGACAAGAGTCTCCGAAGGAGTGTCTCTGAAGGAGGCTTCTCGTCAGGAAGAGGTTACAGCGTGTACCCATTGAAGGAGACTCTCAAGACCGTTTGCTGTGGTGGTAAAAAAAGTTGTTGCTCGACATCAGCGCTTGATCACCTTCACTCAACCACTTCAATCAATCAATCATACATGTTCGATTACCCACTTTCAACTACACACAATGCCTCTGCTTTCAATTGGAGGAATGGAAACATGCGATCTTGAATGACAAGAGTCTCCGCAGGAGGGTCTCTCTATCGTGTACCACATCATCGTTACGATAGTCTTGCTCAATTCATAACATTTTGCATCCAGCAGCCTTTTTTGTAGCACACGGAGATTTTTCTGTAGGCACAAGCCAGAGCTGAAAAGTAAACTCAGGTGGAATAAATAAATGAATCAACAATTAAAAACAATGTATCATTCTTCATTCTTCATGCTAAGATGTTACGTTAAGCCTCATCTGTAAAGTTATAATTGATACACGTATACAACCACAATTAGGTGAGATCCCTTCGCCGAACGATACAATATTTAAACCTTTGGCTGATCACGGCTTTGGATCGGCTAATATGGCTGGTTTGGTACGATGTCTTTAATTAAGTCTAAACAATGCAGCCTACAGGGGAAAAGAAGCGTGCGTCAAGTGTATGCTCTATCGCGGTATCGATATCGACTTTCGCAGAGAAGAGTATGAATGTCTAGCTCCTTTCAGCTGTATAATAATACATGACCGAGCTGCGATAGTTAAACTTCTACTCGAAAGAGGTGCTAACCCTTATATTAAACCATGCGGTGATAGGCAGGGGGTTATGCTCTTGTATATTGCAGCAGTGTTGGATGCTCTATCTCTGAATTCACATCTTCCAACCCAATTCAAAGCGAACTCTTAGGCTCTCTTCTTCTCGGACTATAAGCCGTCCCTCCAACCTGCCCAACACCCTCCACGTGACGTAACCACCTAACCCGATCATTCGTATACTGCTCGATCCTCGGCCTCAACTTAGTCTCATGTAAGTTAAAATCATCCACCGTTCCAATACGAAGAATACTATGTCCCGGGAATGCCTCGCCAACGCGATACATGAGCGAACCACAAGTTGAACAGAAGAAGTTGGTCATTCTTTTGCCCGAACCGATTGTTCGAGACTGACTGTAGGATGTGAGATTCTCGCGACCGCGCAGGTGTCTCAGATGGGTATCTGCAACTATAAAATTGGAGGCGAACATGGAGGCTGTGATTTTGCGGCAGTCTGAACAGTGGCAGAGGAATGTGTCAATAAGCCCAGGACCTTCGGTTGGCTATGGTTTGCTGTAGATGTTAGTGGTGTGCGATTTTTAGTATTGAGGTATGTGCTACACCCACGAAGGCAAGTTGTATGGCACCGCAGTAGCATGTAGCTGTCGCTTGGGTCTCTTCAGACCAACCGTCATCTGCGCCGCCGGCTAGGGGTATGTAGGGCTTGGATTTGTCGGTAGACATTGTCTTGTTTGAAGCTATCGAGTATTGATGAGACTATGTATAGCGAAGAATTACTGATAGAGATGATTGCACCGTTGAAAGAAGTGCGTTGAATGAGAAAACTTAAGTATTATTAATCAAGTGCTGGTGACCTCGGGTAGTATCCAATGGGAGAGTTATGAACTGGTACTTCCCAGGTTAATCGCCCGTACTCGGGACGCGGCAGCAATTTGGGGGCTGAACTTCAAGCCTCGGTACAAAATCCCCCGCATAACTATTTCTGACAAAATCTAACTATCAAGTGGACGGAAAATGGGGTTGTATTGCCTATTTAGCTAACTGAAATATTAGAGTAGATTGATAATAATGGATTTCTGGGGTTTCTTTTATCTTGAGTTAATAGGTAGATAAATCGTAAATATCTGTCGTATAGAGTTACCTGAAGGATAAAACCCTTTTGCATTGGTCATAGTCCTTCCGTTTTTTCCATTCGAAAAGAAAAAATTACACCAAAGGCAATTTCAAATGGGAAAGTATCACTCGTCTTGGTATAGCTATATGACATGTTGAGCTTGATGTCACGATTATCACTTCACACCTTTATTCAAAAAGAACTACATCCCACCCCTAAATATCTATGTTTCCCCTGGAATCACCATATTGTCTCCATTACTATGATAATTCTCTTGATCAAATTCCTCACGCCATGGATAGAGATCCATCGGACTCGGAATCGTCGAACTACACGGAGACGTCATACAACCCAGAATACTACAACCATCCAGATTCAAGCATATACTGCATATCGTGTGAATGGGCTATCTCCACTGAGTACCCTTGGATGAAAAGATATCGAGCGTGTAAGTCTGCAATTGATGACATGAAATTATTCTGACAGACACAACGCTCATAGTACATTTAACCCCGGGCGGAACCCAGTTGTCGGATGTTTGTATAGCCGAATATGACTGGCATGAAGAAGAGTATAATACTAGTCCGAAGAACCGCAATATTGAGACGTTTGGCCCCTGGTATTTCATGGCTGATAGTAAGCCAGCTAAAGCATTCATGATCCATGAGTGTTGTTGGCTCCTCTTGATCAAGCATTTTGCAAATGAGGAGGTCAATCTAGATAGGCTTTTCGAAGTTTGCAGGAACATACCCGCCTCAGCGAAGGCTATACCTTACAGTAAGCTTCTTATTCCCACGGGCATACTAATATTTAACAAAACTTATCTAATTGCTCCAGGAAAGGAAAATCTTATCGAAATTAACGAGGGTCCATGGTATCCCCTACAGCGACCTGTGATTAAGGGGATTGGGGATGCTAGCAAAGAGCTTTCGAAAACAAAAGGCTTCAAAAAGGGTTTCAGCAATAAGACGACTTTTAGGACTGACTGCTTCGGTTTACTCGCGATGGAGATAAGACTTGAAATTGCAGGTTACCTTTCCACTGTCGATTTCCTCAGTCTTCGATTTGCATCCCGAACAATGGCAGTTCTCTTTGAACTTCAATCCTTCTGGAAGACAAGATTTCGAGTGAATGGAGATCGTGGATTTTTGGCTTGTCTAGCGGATACACCACAAAACCGCAAAAGCAAGAGCTGGCGATCAATTTACCGCTGTACTGCAAAGATTGAACAACAATATCTCTACCTTTGGGCATTACGTCGACAGTGGAGAAACAACCGGTGGCTAGCAGATAGGTATTCAATGGTTAAAGGCTTGGATGATCAACCTGGCCTTCAAAATTGCTTGTTGCTTGGTGAAGTACCCTGGAACGGAGTCTCTGTTGAGATTCGCTGCGATAGGAACTGCAGACAGGGGAATGATTGGTCGAAGTGCAAAAATTGCTGGGAAGAGCATGTTCCCGTTCTGCAAGCCGTTGCATTGGAAAATGTTACCAGTTTGGCCGTGTCTATCTTACCTGAAGGAACAAAAACCTATATCACTGGGTTTGATTTGATAAGTGCAGATTTTGGAACCCCGAACACCACTTTAGGATATCGACTACCAGGAAGTCAAGTAACAGTCGACCTCCGCGGCCAACAACTACAAGGATTTACGGTTATCGCGGGTGAGGGTGGAATATACGCGATACGTCCTATTTTCAAGACCAACATCATTGGAAGTTGGATAGGTCAGCCAGACGGTGTGTGCAACTCTACGCAACTCGTTTTAGAGGGTGGAATTAAAGCTATTTCGGGAAAGTTCGATGTAAGTCACTTCCGTCACTAAAAACTAGAAATAGAGGTAGAGGCTAAACCCAAGATAGTATTGCAGGATGATTAGTCTGGGCATAGCGTAGAGTTACCAGCCCCTTGCGAGCTCAACTCCTGTGCTATGGTTGCTCATAGTTATAATTACGCAATCTATATTTCGCTACATCTGTGTTATGAAATGAACAGCATTTTCAAACCTTGCCATAAAATGAATCTCGGAAGATTGGAAATCACAAAGTACGATAAACCTATAGTAAGCGCGACATTTAATAGTGTTGCTAGAGCTACGATATACTGTACTATCGCCCAGTGAATGTTGTTAGAAACAGGTGACTTGTCACCACTGCAATAGAGCAATCATTGGAATAAAATCCGTTAATAACACATAAAAAGCCAATCGCAGAGTAGTTACGATCCCATCCATCGGTTTGGTCCGACATGAAAACCCATCAGCGAGCGCGTAACTTCATATTTTGGATCAGGTTGTTGGTGCCTAGGTGCCAGGCACTATCCGCCAAGCGAGAGCAAATGATACTTTTAGCAGTTGGCTTAAACTATCTCTTTGCAAATCCTACGCAGCATCCGTTGCGTAATAACGATGTCTTCTTGCCCACTTGGCCGGGCTTCTCTCATAATCATCTCGTAGTCTAGATGAATATCCAGACTTGAACCCTCAAGCGATGTGATTACATCCTCTTTGACTCGTATTGACTGCTTAATCACTGGACTCTCTGGCTGTGGGTCGATCTCAAGACCCTCTGACCACAGTTCAACATCCACCCAAAAGGGTTGCCTGTGGATTTTGAGGAGCAAAACCAATCGAGTGTTGTGGTTGGAGTTGTGTAACCACCATTTGACATCCTTATAAAAATGACTCTGTGATTCTGAAAGCCCAATCTGGACGACAAGGGATGGCCAAGCACCAACAATTGTGGAGAGAGGATGCGGTTTTGGGACCATACTGACATCCGGTTCCTTTGCGCAAAAGCCTCCCTGCTTTGTTGCAGCGCCAGTCATTTCCCAGCGATCACTCTCAAATGATAAACCCGCGATTTCCATTGCCTGAGATAAGAAAATGGTACATCTACCGATAATGCAACCGTGCTGTACGCTAGGCATGATCCTGAGCAGGATGTTTTGATCGTCGAGAGTGAGTCGTACTCCGCCGATATTTTTTTCCAGAAGGTAATCACGTAGGTTATCGCTCAAGTTGGTAATCAAAAGGTATTGAGTTGTCTCCTGATTCGTATTAATCTTCCTTGCGATCTGGTCAATCTTTCTGTATAGAGTCAAACGGTCAATCTCCATTTCGAGCCGTTCAACTTTTTTAGTTGTTCGCCGCCTTGTGGGAAGAGTCAAACTTTCAGCGTCATCAGGAATATGAAAGTCCGATTCTGTAGATTGAAGACTGATGTGGGAATCACGTTCGGGGAAATCACGAGTTGGTTCGGATGTTGGCATCGCACCTTCCTCCCCACCTTCGTTCCCACGCCAAGATATTCCAGGATCTCCCATTGCAATGTCAGTAAACCACAGTAAGATGCAGGTTGACAAGCCTTGGAGGTTTTGTGGGGAGTGTTAAGGTCAAGATAAGGTGCAGATCTGACAGCACGTGAGGAATTTTGTGGTACAAGTGGTGACGAAAGCTGTCCCGAATGATGACGGTGTATTCCATCGTTTTCGAGAAGGCTGGACCTTGCAAAGTACCTAGAAGTATATTCATGTCCGTTATGTCATCTCTAGGCATCGTTGGAAAGCTAGTAAAATGCTTACAGAATACTGATGCAACAGGTGGGGACTACAATGCTAAACCTCCTGTGGACGAGCTTGCTCCTTATGAAACACTGATATTGTCTTTATCCCTTTATTACAACACTGGCCTGGGTAGTGTCTTGGGTTATTCAAGAACTTCGAATACTTCTAACATTAAAGACCGAGAATAGTGGGGGCATTCCCGAGGTCATAACCCTGGGGCCAGTATCGTATCAGACCCTTGCTTACTGACACTATACCACTTCAAGGTTGTTTTACTTTAGCAAATTTTGGTCAGACTAGGTTAGTCGCTAGGTTATCCCCGTACCTACATAGGTGGTATTCCAAAACCCATTTATGCAGCTGAGAACACGAGTTCTTTGGGTAAGATTCGTGAGCTTATTGAGACAATCCTCACCAAGTGTAGGGAGGTAACACCATTTTTGAAGCTCGATATATTGTTGGGAAAAGTCTTATGGAAGTGTTCAGTGTTTTATATAATTGGCCCAGGTCTTTCGAAAAGTATAAGAAGTATTCTAGAATTTTATCCCCCAACCCCATCCTTTGCAAATGCCACGAGATACAACGAATGCAATTGTGGACGAAATATAGAGAACACCTCCAAAAATAATCAGCCCATAGTACTCCCCATTGTTGTGCTGCTGAATAGCTCCTGCAATAGGGAGAGCGATGAGGGTGCCGAAGCTGACTAGAGTCCATGTAGTTCCAACCCTTTTTCCATAGTCTTGGATCTCACAGACCTGAGAAATGCAAACTGGTGCAATACTGATAGCTGAACCACTCCAGAAGCCGAACAGCACAGCGTAGCTAATGACAATCCCCAGGCTGTCGGGATCGACTAGATCCCCTGAAAGCCAAAGTATGAGAGTTAATAGGGAACACATTAAGCAACTCACGATCATGACGTTAAATCGACCTAACCGATCAGCCACCAGTCCTGGCAGGAAGCGCCCGAACACAGCACCAAGATTAAGAAAGACGAGAACTGCATATGACAACTGTTCGTCGAAGCCTGCATGAAGTGTGTAGGACGTGATATATGTGATTGGAATGAAAGCCGAAAATTCAGCAAGAAAGACACTCATCGTCGTGGATGCGTATTTTATATCTTTAAGAGCCTTGAAATCGATGGAAGTCACCGCTTTCTTGGGAGGAAGTCTGGTTCGGACTGTGAGACATGCAATTGAGCATGTCACTGCGCATACCAGAGCGATTATGCGAATTGCCCATGCAAAGCCGATGCGAGGAGCTGCAAAAAGAATTATCAAGGGGAATATGCAACCCCCCACACCTCCTGCTGTGCAAGCCACCCCGGTTGCCCAACCACGTCGAACATTGAACCAATGGCCGATAGCTGCCAATGGAGGTGTGAATAGTGTGCTAGCTGATATCCCGCCGAGCACGCTAAATGACAAAAATATCTGATAATATTCTTGTAGATAGTTAGATATCGTTTCTTTTTCGGGCGTTGGTAGTGAAGGTAATGTGACAGCGACAGGGGAGAGACATGAATAGATATTGGGAACATACCCTGACTAAAGCTCAGAAAAATCAATGAAAGAACTATCCCAATAGAGCCCGGGAGCACCACGTATAGAGGCCCGTGGGAATCAAGGATTGCACCTAAAGTAGTAGTTAGTTCAGACTAGATTCGATATGACGGGAAAATTGTTACCAAATTGGGCACCTCCCAGGAAAAGGAAAAATGTGTAGGCTCCATAAATCCAACCGATACTCGACTCCGAGTAATCCTTGAGTTGGTGGGTACTTGTCCAAGGCTGAAGAGTTCCCAGGCTGTTTAAGAGTCCCATAGAGGGGATCATAGCACACCAAGCCCCAAGAACCACAGACCATGCCTTTAGTCCGCCTTCGGGGTACTGGTCATGATCTGCCTCGGGTGAAATTTGAGGCGAATCGCGCTCTTGGGAGTCAATTTCTTGCTTCATTTTCAAGATAATGGGAAGGGGGCTTGGCTTTCCAAATCAAGCTGGGAGTAATTCAGATATATATGCTCTTGTTTCAATGCGATTCTCGACATTGAAGTACGTATGCTGAACTAGATACCTGTTGGATTATCGATTATCGAGAGTTGAAACATTGCCAAAACCTGATGAGGTTCAATTTCCTCCAAATTCTTTCCAACAAAAAACCGTTATCTTAGGGGGAAAGGCCCCACTGAATGCTTTAACCCAAAACGGAAGTTGTAGGTGGTGAAGTGGGTCTCTATATATTTTAAAGATATTATGGACAAGAGTACGGAGTAGTCTGATCTATTTAGCTTAAGTTAATCCAAGGACCTCAATGATGGACCGCTGCTTATGCGGTCTTGTGGCGTCTTTTTAGCTGGTCCTCTTGGCTATTCTTTTTAAATGTCTTTTTAGATGCCGTTCTTAATAAATGTTTTGTGGCTCTTCTCAGTTTCATAGATAGACGGCATAGAAGGCAGGAAAAGGCCTAAATTGTCAAATAAACTTTTATATGTATAGTTTATCTGAACTAAATCATATAGCTTTGCCTTCGGACTCATCATAAAACCAATGTTGGGCATATGCTTCGAAGACATGCTGAAGCCCATCAAAGTTATCATCGTCAGCGAGAAAACGTTAAGTCATGCTCCAAAGTTCGGACATATATTGAGCGGTGCGCCCAGCAGCTAGATATAGTTCATTCGCAGCTTTGGTGGATCTAAAAGTGGTGAGCTTTGGCCAATATAACTGACCTACATTGTTTAGTAGCTAGAAGTGTTCCGGTCCAACAATAAGGGTATCCAGTTCCATAAATTCAAGCTGTTGTCTCATATTTGATAAGGCTAGGAGGCACCCGGGAAATAATCCCACACGTGGTTCCTGGTGCAATCTCTCGATATACAACGGTCCTGATCTCGACTTCACCGGTTATATCGATTGGCGGCGGTGCAGCTGCGTTCTCCGTGAGCCCAAGAAAGACATGCTCATATCTCCGGTGGGACAGGTTATTATTCCCCATAGTGCCAGCCATCCCAGTGGCACAGGAATTCACTTGCATCCATATGTCGCTTCATCCTTCCCTTGTGATCGGGATCCGCTAGCTAGTGACTCGGAGACTAGGCACATAGGAAGATGAGATTTGTGGGGTCTGTTTATGCATACCCTCCCTTATTCGTTACATCTCTGGATGTTTCTTCGAGTGGAAAACCAATACATTCTGTTGAAACGCTCACCTGATTTGGTGCCTATTTTGTCAGGCTGCCACATAGTTATCTGGCTGACTAGCTTCTTGTTTGTCGTAGAGAGTCAATCCTTCTTCTCTCCTCTCTTTGATTTATTAAAAGCCAGATCACATTCAAACAACCGAGCGTACATTGAAATCGAAGAGTAGGCGTTAGTGATAGTCAAAAGGCGCTAAAACTAACATGCCCTTTGCACTCAGCTCAGATATGATATTTGTATACCGACAAGATATATATTCAATGATATACTAACCGTATGGTTACTTTGCCAGAATAGATGAACTACCTAGATGTACATGTATGAATGGTTCGTGAGCAATGGCGTTTTTTATGGGAACCTCGGCGGGTCCGAACGTAGGCCCAGCCCTTGGTGCGATGCCAAATTGCTTGAAGTGCATGGCCCAACTCGCGTAATCTCGTATTCATATATGAGATAGTGCACAGTTATACTTTTTACACAAAACAGATATAAAGAAGAAAAACGGACGTCCGATATCGCGGACCGAGAGATGAATCACTGGGGCTTGGCAATAACCCCACATTGGCGAAGACTTAGCCTAAATAGGCTTAGCGTTGTCATTCGAAGGGCGCGCAGGCATCCATTTTGGATCCGTTTGGATTTTGCTCACCCACTCGATGCCTTTCTCCGCTCACTCCGTGTGGACTTCTTCTGTCACCGGAGTTGGAGCGATGCGGTGGATACGCAAGCATGTGCTCCCGCCCTTATTCCTCGCGACCATGATGCTTATCATGAAAAAAACAGCCACACGGGGTTTGCCTTGGAGCGGTCCATGCCGAGTCACCGGAAATCTCAGCGGCTGAATGGTGCCCACCTCGAGTTCCAAGGTCACGGAGCTCCACCCGAATTGATTATTCACCCATCTTTCTACCCCAGACCAACCTTGGAAGGGTATTTTCGGCCAGTTTTCATCTGACCGACTCTTCTCCTGCTTTCCACCGTGTCCTTTATTGTTCCATCCTTTTGTTGGATCTGAAAATCTGTAAAGCTGTTCTCCGTGTTGTAGCATTTCTCATTAGAATCGTTCACAACATGGAGTATTTCGATTTTGAAGGCGCCTCGTCTGCCCATGGCTCTAATCAACTAGGCGACGATGTCACTTCGATTGATATTGAACTCGACGAAGCCGAAGAACAGGCAGCGAACTTCGACTCGCTGGTTCATGATCAGACATTGGAGTTCTCCAATGACCCGGTACCGGAGCAGTTCGAAGTGAATGTCTCACAGGCCATTGACCCCGTCGGGGTCGACGGGGTTTACCCCATGTTCCGGGCCCAAGAGCCATGCGACTATTGCCGGCTAAGAGGACTTGACTGTTTTGTCGCCAAGCGCGGTATAATGAACTATGGCTGTACTTGCTGTATCTCTCTTTGGCGTGAATGCAGTTTCACTCATGCCAAAACGCCTGGCAAGTTCCTCCAGACACTACATAGCGTGTCAGAGAATGCCTACGTTCCTACAGGTAGCTTGACCGGGAAGAAAGCCCTAAAATCAGTTTCATACAACACATATCCCAATGACCCAGATTCACGCTCTCAAAAAAGTGGTGCTCGATTCTCGCGCAAGGCAATCAGCATCCTGAAGGGCTGGCTGAGAGACCACAACGAAAACCCTTATCCTACCGAGCAAGAGAGAGATAACCTGAAACAACACACTGGTCTGACTCGGACGCAAATTGCCAATTGGCTCGCCAATGCCAGGCGACGCGGCAAAGTTCATGCGTCGCCTGGGAGCAGTTCTCCCGTTCCAGGAGCTGTGGACATCCCCATGAAGCAATCGGTCAACACATCCCTTATGACTCCTCTTGAACGTTGGAAGTACTCTCCTCCCGAAAACGAGCCGGCTGCGATCAGCGATATTACCCGTGCCCTGGCCAATCCTCCATTCGACCCATCCCGTCCACGCCGGGCCCCATCGAGTCACGTGAGGCCCCGTCGCCCTGGGTCTAGTAACAATGAGTCAAGCCATGCCAGCTCTGAACATAAACTGTGCGCCGCCTCTGCCAGTAGTTTTGATTCATCTATTTCTGATCTCTCTTTTGCTTCTGCCTTCTCTCATCGATCCTCTCTTTCCTTCGGGTCAATGGATCGTAAAGAACGTCGCCGCCGCCGCAAGGCCTCAGTACCTGTCAATACTCTGGCCCATTCAAAAGCCAAATCTGCTCGTCCTTTTCAATGTACCTTCTGTACCGACTCCTTCCCTGCTAAGTATGACTGGCAGCGGCACGAGAAGTCCATGCATCTAATCCTAGACAAATGGACCTGCTCTCCCCACGGCGGTGCAATTGAACAAAACGGTATACCTCTTTGTGTCTTCTGCTTGGCAACTCATCCAGACGATGAACACCTAGAAACTCACAACTTCATCAGTTGCCAAGAGAAGACAGTGCAAGAGAGAACATTTTACCGGAAGGATCATCTCAACCAACACCTCCGCTTGATGCACAATGCCAAGTTCCAACCATGCATGGAGAAATGGCAAAGCAGCATTACAGATATCAAATCCCGCTGCGGGTTCTGTGGCTCCATCTTTCAGACATGGAAAGATCGAGCGGAACATTTAGCCGGTCATTTCAAAAATGGAGCCAGCATGGCTCAATGGCAAGGGGACTGGGGCTTTGACCCGCATATTCAAGCTCGCGTCGAAAACGCCATTCCCCCATACATGATTGACTATGAATGGCGGTCCCCTGATCCATGGGCCACTGAGCAAGCTAAGGGAGATGGCACAACACTTGGGCTTCCCGTTCCTACGGATATCAATTGTTACCATCGGCTTTCTCGCGAACTCACTACATACATCCATAACCAAAAGGTACGAGGTCTTGTTCCATCAGATCAGATGATACAAGCGGAAGCTCGCCGTGTCATCTATGGATGTGACGATCCTTGGAACCAGACCTGCGCAGATAATACTGTTTGGCTGGGTGTTCTCAAGCGCGATTGTGGATTGCAGACTCCTGTGAACAATAACAGCATCCAATTTGCTGATCTGGGCATGCAGCCCCCATTCGCTATCGATGGCGGCCTCCGGGCTGCACCCCGGGAGATCAATGTGCTAGCGCGAGCAGTATGCCAAGGGGCCCCCATCCACAGCCCCGCAATCTCTAGCCCTAGTCTTCGAAGTCACGGCTTTCCTGGCACTGGATTTTCTTCTGCCGGGCCCAGCCGACCGGGGAGTTTATCAGGCAGTTACGCTGGGAGTGCAGGGATGATGTCGGCTGGTCCTGATCCGTCGTTCTCTACGGATTGGGCTAGTAGTCTTCCAACTACTGCATCTATGCCGGGAGAAGCCACAGCTGACCCTCTGGTACAAATGGGATTTGACCCAGAATTCCTGCAACGACTGAATGACAGCTACGGTGAAATCAACCCGGATGATTTGGAAGGCTTGCATCTAGATCGCACCGATGGTCAAAAAAGCTCCGAAAAACAAGGATGGCCAAATATAGGCTTACTTGGTCAGCCCACCGCCCCTTCTCTTATGGGTGAGGAGTCTGCTTCAGATCCGGCTGCTCTTCTCAATTCCAAAGTGGGCCACCCTCCTGCATCGAATGCTACACATGATGACATGCCAGGGTACTTTGGCAATGGCAACTTTTAATATCTTTGATCGCTATTTGCTTGCGCCATGGAGGGTCATACCTGGCAAGAAAAGTTAACTTTACAAATTGTTGCAATATTTCTTGTTTCATAGCATATAACTTGGATGTTAATAACGTTTTCAACAATACCACAAATCAATTGGCGTTTTTCACTTTTTTCCTCTTGTTTTAGATCTTAGCTTCATCCAGGCAACTTCCACACGTCACTCTTGTGGCGGGTCGTTCAATTTGGAACCCAACTCCTCCCAGCTCCCTTGTGTATACTCTCCCTCACCTAATGCTTTTGTTTCATCCTGAAAATTGCGTACCTTGATTCAGTTATCAGCACGTGGCTCCGCGTTAAATCCGGGATTGAGGTTTCCGCCGACCCTTTTTCGATGAACCCTGATTTGTGACTGGTTGACTCACAGTCCGATGACGACCGAGACCGGCAGTTCTTTGATCAGACCAGTGATATTTGTTTCCACCTGTGTGACATGTAGAGTACCGAGACTCTGAAGTGAGACGCTCCCACGGCCATGGAAACTTTACACCCAGCATGCACTTTTAGCCCCGGGTATACCACCACAGCAACGTGTCGAAGCTCAAAGGGACCCCTGTCTTGTTAGGTCTCTATGTTTACACATAAGCAGGTGCCAACAGCTTACTCGGGGGTTTATCCCTACAGCACTGCCAAGCTACTTTTCGGGACTACCGTCTCCGAGATGTGAATTGATATCCTGAACTTTGAGTCCTTCGGTCGCGCAGAGTCAGCCTGCTGTTCCCAATCAGGTCCCTTGCTTTAAACGAAAGAATACGAGCTCAGCTGCGAAACAGGCTTCAATACCCAAGATCAATATACCGATGCTCGCGTGAATTTCTCCTCCGCCTATTCCCCTAAGGGTTGGATTGGTTCCCGACAAAAGCACGGAGAGATTATTCCTTTGGTTGCGCCTATACGAGCTCGCAAGCAAGAGGCTCCCATGGAAATCCTGCATCTGATGTGATAGACCCGCATGAAAGCTCCGAGATGCATATGTTCACGCAATGCTCTATGTCTCCCTAGGCCCACATAAAAGCGTGGGAATCCCTTGAAAAGCATGGGATATCAAGAGCAGGCCATTCAATTTGATACAGATCGCCAGTCTAGTGTAATCTTTAGATATGAAGTTCACTCTAGGAAGCCTGTCCCTCTGGCTTCTGTGCCTCGTCCAATGGGCATCTGCAGCTACGGTGTTCTTCCCAGTCACCTTGACTTGGGCGAATAGAAGCGTTGCAGGAGTGTCTAGACCAGTGATTTCGACAAATGGCCAATTTCCTGGTCCCCCATTGCGGATCAACCAAGGTGACACTGTTGAGTTCCTCGTTGATAACCGGTGCCCGTTCAATACAACTATACACTTCCATGGTAAGCTTTTGGATAGCTTGGTCTGCTTTCGGATAAATATACCAACTTAACATCTTTTAGGTATTGAGCAGCTAGGAACTCCCTGGTCTGATGGAGTCCCAGGTGTCTCGCAGAGATCAATTAGACCAAACACTTCGTTCCTCTATAAATGGACGGCAACCGAGTACGGGGCTTACTGGTATCATGCGCATCACCGTGGCTCTCTCGAAGATGGGCTTTATGGACCAATCTATATTACCCCTGCTCCCTCGGTGCAAAAGCCTTTCAGTCTTATCGCGACCAATCCCGCTCAGTTGAGGGCTATGATCCTTGCAGAGAGCGCGACTTCTCCCATCTTACTTTCGGAGTGGCGTGTCCTCACGTCAGAGGAAATCTGGGCTGCCGAGATGGCCTCTGGCACAGATTCATTCTGTGCCAATGCTTTGCTCATCAATGGCAAAGGGTCCATCACCTGCCTGCCACGTGCTGAGATTGATGCCCTGACGACATCCGTTCAGAAAACTAGCCTGGGTGATGAACTGAGATTAACAGATATGGCGTGAGTATCTTGACCCGTCATGGTCCAACGACTATGTTGGTGATCCTGATGAACAAACTAACTTTGTCAATAGATGCTTCCCTCCCAACATCACTGAAACGGTATTCAATTTCCCACACAACTACGCTGCAATCCCCCCAACCATGTTCGAAGGCTGCATACCATCCCAAGGTCCCCAAGAAATTTTCACTGTCAACGCAGCCCAACAATACGTCAGCTGGGACCTCACGAGCACAGCTGGCCTACTAGAACTCACCTTCTCAATCGATGAGCACGATATGTGGGTATATGCCATCGACGGACGATACATCCAGCCCCAAAGAGTCAACGCAGTCACCATCCCGAATTCAAACCGCTACTCGGTGTTGATCCCCCTCACCCAGCCAGCCGGAGACTACACCGTGCGCATGGTCAGCGCCAGCATAAACCAAATCCTCAACACGACCGCAATAATGCGATACCAAGGCTTGTCGCAGCTAACCCGTCAATCCAACCCGTGGATCCAAATCAACAACGAGCCCGTCACGTCAGACACCGTCTTCCTCGACGAGTCCAGTGTAATCCCATTCCCGGTACTCACCCCTTCGAATGATATAGCACAAACCTTCTTCTTGCACATCAACCAAGTCGGCGCCGCGTACCGCTGGAGACTTGGCAATACCAGCTACGGTCTCGAGCTCGAAGAAGTACAGCCCTTGCTCTTCAACCAGAACTCCATTCCCAGTGACTTGATCGTCAGAACGAAGAATAATACCTGGGTCGACTTGGTTCTCCAAACAGATACTATCTTGCAACCCCCGCATCCGATCCACAAGCACTCGAATAAACATTTCATTATTGGCCAGGGAAATGGTACTTTCAGTTGGAATTCGGTCGCGGAAGCGGTACAGGCTGTTCCTGGGAGCTTCAATCTGCAGACGCCGCAGTACCGTGATACTTTCCATACACTTCCTGCTGTCACGGGTCTGACCTGGACAGCTATTAGGTACCATGTTGTTAATCCCGGTGCGTTCTTGATGCATTGCCATATTCAGGTTCATCAGAGTGGCGGGATGGTTTTGGCGATGTTGGATGGGGTTGATGTTTGGCCGACAGTTCCACCGGCTTATGCGATTGCTGCTGGGTTTCAGTGAATTTTGTACGAGATATGAAAGCAAGGGGATTGAATGGGGGATAAATGTCGGGGGAGTATATAGTTTTGACTTCTGAGACCATGGTTGGTGTGATGTTTGATTCGGTATTTTGTAGGATGTTTCAGCAATATCTGTATGAACACACTACAAAAAAATGAAATTAAAAGTTGAGAAGATGATTCCTGTTGAGCAGCTTTGATAAAAGTGCTAAATCTATTAAAATGCAGGATCAGATACTCGGCTGTCTGATCGATAATATTTCCATATCACAAAATTACCAGCATCTCAAATGGCTAAAGGCATGTATTCCACGAGCGCAAGCACCTCGGTGGATAAAAAAAAGGGGAAAGAAAGAAAAGAACAAGTCGACCGCCCCCTCTCACTCAAAGAAGGTGATTTTTGATTCCCGCCTCAATGGAAACCAAGTGTGCCCCAACAACCTCTGTGATCTTCTCTCCACCCTTGAATAGCATGAAGGTAGGCTTGGCCCGCACGCCTAGCTCTTGTCCGACATCTTCGACCTTGTCGACGTCCACCTGGTAGAATTTGATTTGGGGGTAGACATTGCTGAATTCTTCGATCTTGGGTGCGATGGCTTTGCAGTGTGAACACCATTCGGCGTAGCAGTCAAGGAGGACGGGCTCTTCCGATCCGAGGATCTTCTGTAGGAAGTCGGCTTTGCTGTTGTGGGTGTTAGTTTTGGATGTCTGTGTAAGGGAGGGAGGGAGGGAGGGAGGGAGAGTACCTAGTGATTTCGGTGACAGGCATATTGATGATTGACTTAGTAGTATTTGTAAAAGTCGGTTGTCGGTTGTTTTAAAGATTGAGTGGAAGAAAAGAAGAATTTATATAGAAGGTCTAACGGGGTGGGGTGATCTAGATCAAAGAATGACCTCATAACGAAAACAACAATTCTAAATTTAGTTGTTCCACCATCATACTATGTATTATATGTACTATGTATTCTATGTATTCTTGTTTATCTTGTTATATTATATGCTTAATCTTGTTTTTAGGGTTTAATACCGAGAGTATCATGCCATATGTTGTGTGTTGTATGAGGGTCAATCTAGAACCACTTAGAACCACTTTCAATCGACAGCGTGGGGAGATGGGGGTCCACTATGACAAAGCTATAAGATACCACAGGTAAACATATTACCCAAACAAGTATATATAAAGTCATTACATATCAAAGAAATTCCCCATCATTTCAACTAAATATAAAATATTGAAAAATAAAATTGTAAATAAATAAAATAATAAATGAGCCTGAAAAACCAGGAATCAGAAAATCTGTGGGGTGATGTTGTTCCGTCCCGGGTTGTATTTAAGATCAGGCTCGGCTGTGCCCCTCTTCACACTAACACCCTTTCCCCTCTCTCTCGATCTCTCTCTCCCCCATTTCCATCAAAATGTCGAAGCTTTTCATTGGGTAAGAACGACCAGAATGAATATCTAACATGCGCCCGCTGATTATCGTTTTCTAGCGGTCTTTCCTGGAACACAGACGACAACAGTCTGCGCCAGCGCTTCGAGGAATTCGGCGTTGTCGAGGATGCTGTGAGTCGCCCTGACTTCCAAAACTGATCGCAAACCCCTCTAAGACTCTTATTTTCTTCTCTAGACCGTCGTCAAGGACCGTGATACCGGCCGCAGCCGCGGTTTCGGTTTCGTCCGCTTCTCTACCGACGAGGAGGCTACTGCCGCTATGAACGCCATGAACAACCAGGAGTAAGCAAGCTGATTCCTCCAATAATTCCTCCACTTTAGGCGACTAGTAAACTCGTGATGGAATGAGCTCGCGCATGATGAATGTCGTCTGTTCCAAGACGATGCGAACGGTCTCTTCCACTGTTCGAAACGTATGCTGACAACCTTCTCTTTTTTTTCAGGTTTGACGGTCGCCAGATCCGCGTTGACAAGGCTACTGAGCGCGCTGCCGGTGGTGGTGGTCGCGGCGGCTTCGGCGGCGGTGGTTACCGTGGTGGCGGCAACGGAGGCTACGGTGGTGGCCAGGGTGGCTACGGCGGTGGCCAGGGCGGCTACGGTGGTGGTCAGGGTTACGGTGGCCAGCAGGGTGGCCAGGGCGGTTACGGCGGCGGTTACTAGATGTTCCTGTCACGAAGCTTACGAAGGTCTGGACGTGATTAGCACTTTTTTACGAAGGTTGTGACTTATGCTGGGTTGACGGATAAATTCGCTGGGCCAGTCACACTTGAACCTGCCCAATACAAAATCGAACTCGTTCAACTAACCTTACCTTTAATCGATAATCAATAATATCGAGCCTTGAATCAGTTTCTGTTCCTTTTTGGGCTCCTGGTCTACATTGTGCGCGATGTAACATCGTAGGATCTCATTGTCATTTGGGATACCCCGCATTGTCTTGAGCACAGATCGCCTTTCAGGACCTGGTAGATGTAGACATGGGCTACATGTAAGAACCACATTGTATCTACACTCAAGTGCTAGTCATGCATCATCTAACAGATCTGATATCCAATATCTGATGTTCAATATCTAATCTAGTGTCACTAAGCGAGCGGGAGGACCTGGGGGGAAAGTGGAGACATCAAAGTCTAGGGGCTTGGCATTCATCATCCATTTATCATCACAATCAAGCTCGTTCCCAGTGGACCCTGCCTAAGCGTTCAGTCATATTGTCCTTTGCCTGTTGCATGAAGGGCAATCGAATGCATGAAGGCAATCGAACGAGCGCGGGGCGGCATGCTGCGTGTCGATATGATGCCATCAACGCTGGGGTTCCGGAGAAGATATCACGGTGCTTGCAGTCTTTCCAATAGCATCGGAAATCTTTTGGGGGGCTCCTGAAACGGATAGAATGTTTTTAATTAGTCTTGAGGCTTTTTGATAAGCTTTAAGTTACCCACTCATGCTTTTACTGATGTCCTTGACTAAGACCACAAGCTCTCTTTCTCTTGACATAGATATTATTGCAACCATCCATTGACTAAGGTGCTACTTGGCCACAGGGAGTAGATGCTGGAAACCTAGTGCAATCGGTAGCGTGCCTAGAACCGAGATGGCTTAGACCTGGGGCCTCGACGACACGGTTATTGTCGACGGGCGAATAGTATACGGAATTATCATTTGATCCACGTACATCGAGGCACTTTAAAGTAGAAAATTTATTATCATTCCACGATTCATTTCGACGTCTCTGTAGACCTCTCTTAGCACATCTTCTCCGGTATACTCGCATCAACGAAGTGGGTCATAAGACAACAATATTATCATAGAAGGCTATAATGATAGAAGAACCATTAGGAAGAGTTTAATTCTCCAGGAAAAGTATCGAGGGCTTGATATACCAGAAAAGGGCTTTTAGATATGTATCAGAGACCCCATTTTATAAGGCCCAAGTTTATCGGTTGATATCGTATGCCAAGGCCCCGGGGCCGCTCTAGACCTCTGTAGTGGATTCTGCAGTGTGTGCTAGATTAGACGGACATGAGGTGGCACAGTACTCCGTTCACCTCTTTTTCAGCCCTGGAGATCCACCGGCTTAATCCCGGACCACCCCACAGCCTGGATAGAGCCCGGGCTGCTATGAACTAGGCAGACTTACACATAAGCTACATACAATGATTTCTGAAATTGAAAGAGCAGATGACGATCGCTAATATAAACATGATCATAAAACTCAACTAACGAGGGGCTATAGCTAAATCAGAAAAAGACGCCAAGAATGGAATGGAACATTGTAAAAATCATAAAATTTCCAAACATTTCGCCTGATATCATTCCAGTCGTAGTCATAAGGTTAGAAAAGTAAAAATTACTTTCCCAAGATCAATCTGTTTGTTCGTCTTCTTCGTTTTGTTCTTCGTTTTCGCCTGGAGTATCAGGCTGTGCAGTCTCCGTAGCCAAATTGACCAGAACGGGAGACTCAATAGAGTCAGTGGGAGCAGAAGGCTCTGCGGGGATAGCGAGAGGTTCAAAAGTGTCATCCAAAGAAAGTTCTGCTTCGCTCTCATGCTGGGGCTTCTCATTGTCTGCAGGCATGTCCGACAGAACAGGAGATTCATCGAACTCAGTTGAGGAAGGAGAGGGCTCTGCAGACGCGGCAGGGGAGTCGACAGTGTCATCCAACAAGATCTGTGCGTTGTCCTCAGACTCAGGGAGTACACTCTCCACTGACACATCCGACAAAATGGAAGACTCGACAGAGTCAGTGAGAGAAGGAGAGGATTCTGGAAACACAACAGCAGATTCCACAGTGCTATCCAAAGAAGTATCGGTGTTTCCCTCAAGCTGAGACTCTGTGGTCTCTACAGGCTCCGTGGGCTCCAAAGACATAATGGGGGATTCAATAGGGACAGCAGATGAAGAAGAATCCGCTGCCTCCTCGAGTTGAGCCTGGGAATCCTCCAGCAGCTGGAGTGGCGCCGTAGTCTCTGCAGGCTCTAAAGATTGTGTAGGCTGAGAATGAGAACCAGGAGAGCTGACAGTCAGAGTAGCAGGCTTTACTATCTCAGACATTGAAATCACCTCCCTCTCACTTGCAGCCCCACACTCAGTCGGTACAGAGTCAACTGAGCCCCCGACCAGTGCGTTGCCTGCACCAACCGAGCTCGCAAGAGAGACAGAAGGAGACAAAGACGGAGCCACGCTGAAGCTCGGCATATCCGGAGACTGCAGCGAAAAGGAACCAAGATCGGAGTATATTGGGATTTGCTGCTGGCGAGAACCGAAAGCAAGGAACGCCACTAAAACACTGAGAAGAATCAGGGCAATATTGCGCCTATCAGCTGCCAGAATGCGAATATAATTGACCAAGAGAGTCGAAAGAGCAACCTCATGTTCCTTCTTCTCCTGTCTGAACTCAGACATATGGTCGAGTCGAGATCCAGATTCAGGGAAAACCTGCCTGGAAGTCGTCTCATCAGACTGGAAAGACCCCACATCGCTGATCATGCGAGCATGGCTCTGTCTAGGCGACTGCAGAATCTCCGGTGGGACCTGATGCGCACTATCAACCAGCGGCGACATCTGCATTTGCATCTGCATCTGCGGAATCTGGCTCTGAGCATGCTCTACAACCGCCATCTGCTCCTCCGCAAGTCTCCTCTCCAGACCACGGCGCACATCAGAAGGCAACCAAAGCCCGACCTCGACATCAACCTTCTCCATATCGCGCCACGCAGCAGCCCACGCCCCAGAGCGCATCAGTCCATTCGCAGCAAACACCCGAATCTCCCATTTGCGGTTACTGTCGCCGTGTCGCACGTGGGTCCCACAGTCGGGACACTCATCGCCCTGCTCGCCGTCCGTCTCGCTCTCTCCGATATCCGAGAAATCCCCTTCAGAGCCAGAGCCAGAGCTGTTGTCCTCCCGACCCACGAAGTGTCCGTTATGCAGACGTGGTCGTTGCAGTTCGAGACTCTCCAACAGTCGCTCCTCTAGAATATCGTATAGATCCTCCGGGTGCGAGATCAACACGCCTCGATCGCGAAGCACGCCCGATCCAACCCGGTCTTGGAGACGCCGCCACCGTTTCCAGTATTCAGCCGGTAGCTCGTCTTCCAGGATATCCTGGTTTCTGGGGTCTGATGCCCCAGGCACCGGGATGGACGGCGGAAGCAGGCTGCAGTGCAGCAACACGAGCGGTGCCTCCTTCCTGGTCTTTGGTTGTTTCGATGCATTGGGCGAGTAATACGGTGATCGTTTCAGTGGAGAGGGACCAGGTGACCGTGACCGGAGGCCTTGTCGTCGGCGCGGGGGAGTTAGATACTCGTCGTCGTCCGCTTCATCTTCTGTGTGCATCTGCATCGCCCTGACGGAACTTGGTTTTCGGAAGGCGGCTTCGCGCTGGCGGATGGTTCGAATGTTAGCCGGGATGTCGTTGAAGTCGCCGAAGCTAGCCTCGGACTCTTCTATTCTATAGCCGGTTATCTTTTCGTGGATGTCCATGTCTGGCATTTGTTTCATTCTGTCGACCGGGTGAATGAGGACGGAGGCGGGGACTGAGGATAATGATGAGCGACTTGATGCTCTGGATTTCAGTTGGTCTAGGTCATCGTCCATTTCACGGCCGAAGACATCGCTTGTTGAATGACGGGTCGAGGAGGAGGAAGAGTTGTATTCATATTCTTGGGTGGAGGACATATGGGCATTATCGGCAGTGTAGGGCTCGTTGCTGGACTCGAGAGAGGATACGAGGAAGCCTTTGCCTTGAGGGGCAAATGGTTGTGGGCTTAGGATCTCTGTGCAATCCACGTCTTGTTGACCGTCATCATTTAACTGCGCCATGGGATTCGCATGCGATGGTTGGCGGGATGCTGCGTTCTGAGACTTTCGAGTGTTATCTGTAAGCATACAAAGAGCTAGGGACTTGGTAAAACCAAATTCCACATACCTCCTCCCTTTGTGTCAACGTGGAATCCAAGACAACTCAACGTGTGTTGACAAGTCGCTCACCGCCCCCGTTGTTCCGGGCAACGGACTGACATTGTCGATCATCAAGCCACACCCTCGAGTACATCGTATCTAGATATTCAACATCAAACTTATCCTAGCTTTATATTTTTTAGTATGATCTCAGAGGAGTCGATGCTGCGAGTGAATTCATTTTTTGAGTCTATTGAAGAATGACTGGGGTTGAATCTCAAATCAAAGATGCTGGTTTAAACATACACAACCAAACACAGGCCATTCAGTGCTAACCAAGGATATCATCTAACCTAACGCCAGAAAAGCACATCTCGCCAAAATATATAGACAAAAACAAAAGCCAGTCACTCGAACACAGGCAAATGCAAATCGCCCAAAAGGTATAAATATGTACGATAAGAAGGAACATCAAACATTACGGAGGCTGTGACACATCATCAGGGCTCATGAGCGGATAATTTTGATGGTCGCCGAAGAAACTCAGGACATCTTGGGGCAGGTATTCCAGCCACGGAATGATCTCGCCGTTAACAAACGGGAAAGAGTCTTGATGGTGGATGGAGTTCATATCCACCTCGTGACTCCCGATCATCATCCCGTTGGCATCATCCATGGTCGGTTGGAGATCGGCACCTGGGTCGCGAGACCCCATTTGGTTTCTGGATTGCTGCTCGGCTGTCGCTGGAGGTATCGAGTAATTATAGGCGGAGGACTGAGTATCCATATGTGAATTTGGTAGCCCGGAGGATAGCATCCCAGGAAAAGTAGATTGTGTTGTCTGTACGGGGTGTATTGTCCGCGTGTTTGACTCAGGATACGTTGGATTCATCTCCATGTAATAAGAGGGGTCGGTGCTAATTGTTCTGGATTGAACATTGGGGTATTTAGCATTTTCTGTCGTGAGGGAGGGTGTCATTTCTTCGTGAGCCCTGGCTGGTGCGATAGATTGTGAATATGAAGAGCTTGGCCCTTCACCGACATTTGCTGGTAGGACTGGGTAGCTGTGGCTGTACTGCGACGAGTATGTTGGTCTACTGGGCGGAGACTCCGCCTCAGTGGTCGACATCTGATAGAGTAGACTCAAGTTCGGCTGGGAAGAATTTGTTGCTCCTGTAAGTGACCATCCGATAGCTGTCGAGACAGAGGCTGTTAGTGGCATGTTAATCATGGGTATCAGCGGATCCAACAAACCTTGACTTGGATCAATGTGCGGTGACCATTTCCCTTCCGATGGGATATCCGCGACCCCGGCTGCTCTTTCTGGATCAAAGCCAGAGTCCGCCGGTGTTTTCCCTGAACGCCAAGCTCCTGTTCCAAGGTGTTGCCCTGGGGCGATACCTTCCGTAAATTCTATGTCCTCCACGGCGTAAAGGAGGGGATCGACAATTCCCTTGGCCTTCTGATCCAACACCGTCAAAATATATCCAGTGCCTTCCCAATACGTATTGAGTGCTTTCAAAGCCTTATAACACCGCTGGTAATTCTCTTTCGCGGCAGAAGCAAGCAGGATATGTCTCGCCGTAGACTTCCGTTCTGTCCCATGCGAAGACTCCATCGTGGGCATCACAAACCCACTAGATTGATTCGCCAACAATGGCTGAGGTTGGTTTGATCTAGCTTCCGAGGATGGAGACGCATAGTAAGCACTTTCCATGAGGAACGCGCACGCCGCAATGTACATCGGCTGACTCGTGAAAGGATTGCCAATGAAGCTTTTCCCATCAACAAGCTCCGAGAAGGATAAAATATCGGCAATTGTTTTGGCAGATGACATCGACAGCTCACGACTATTCGGGTAAAGATGTTGGATTGATCCACCAAATGAGTTCAACAACGTCGGTTGGTGAAGGAGAACGATCAGAGTATGGAACCAAAAATGGAGAAGAATGAAGTTTGTTCCTTCCTTAGCTTTGACATAGGCTTGAAAATTGGCTGCGTTGAAATGAAGTCTTGGGGACAAGCGTTGATAGATGCCAGTCAGATCGCTTTCCATCCCAGCTAACATCTTCAACGTATCCGGTGTGACGAGCTTGACATCCTGAATGCCATTAATAAGGTCGGTCACCCGGCCGTACAGATGAATGATCCGAATAAGCGGTGGGAAAGGCGCGGGCCACCCATTTGGTAGCTGGGATTCAGACTGAAGAGGGAAGCAGAGCTCAATATCCTCGTCGCGTAGTGTCACTGGCCTCCCAGTCCCCGAAGAGATGACTCTGTCTAGGAAAAAGATGCTCCAGAATGAGTCTACCCGTTCGCGCTCCCGTGCACGTTCCTCAACTAAAGGCTGTGCGGTAATCTTGGGTGTCAGGTGCACATCAAGATCATCGTACTGTTCCTCTCTTAGTTTCCCAGCGTGACCTGTCATCACTTCACTCGGTGTGACGCCACTCTTGCCATAATTATATCTGAGACCTTGGAACTTCTGCAGTCCAAGATCTTGTGCCATCCGAATGGATATTCCAAGGTACATCCAGAGTCCACTGTCATGATTTGATCCAAATTGTTCATAGGCGAGTAATAAGCAGGCTTGTACGGCAGAGAGAGTTGGACATGGCAGTGAATCGACGAGAGCGCTCATCGCACGATGACCAAAGGGCAGACCACGATCCCATTTTTTGTCGTCGAGTGGCGGCTGCGAGCGATCAATAGGAGGAGCCTGTGGAGGACCAAGTGACGGATGTATTGAGAATCTCGCAGCCAAGGAGCACACTGCATCTACCAACATGGTGTCGACCTTTTTCTCTTTCAGGTCCGGGAGAAATCTTTCTCTTTGTAGGAAAGGAAAGCTGCAGCCCAAATGGGCAAAGAAGAGCTCGCACAAATGGGATACAAGATTCGAAACTGGAAGTGTATCATCTCGGTCATAAAATGGGATATTCGCATCACGACTGTCCCGATTATCTGCGGTATTGGCCAGAGGTCTTGTGGGAATATTGGACGGTTTAGGGCTCCGAAGAGGAGAGGGAGAGTCTGAGGACGTAGACGGGTTACTCTTGCGAGAACCTCGAACCTGCACAACCATTTGTTTAAACCCCGGCACAATCGCGGTAGGGCCGAAGTATCGAAAATACGGGACATGCGTGCGACTCCCTGAGCTCACAGAAGTACGACCACTCGCTGGACTGTCCCCAATAGCTTGTGTATCCAATTCCTTGTTCGCGAGTGAAGGCGTATCCCCAAAAGCAGAGATATACATTGATCCGGGCGGTTTGGTCTTGGTTGAGTTATCTGTGGGGCCCCTGGGTATCGTTGTGGGCACTGGTTCGGGGGAGCTGCTTTCAATTGCCCGGGAAGCATGCTGGCTTGTCAATTCGTTCGGAGCCGAAAGGCGCGGCGGCGCTCGAGATGCGGAGTCGGACTGCGTTCGCAGGTGCGCGGTCGATTCGGTGTATCCGAGGCAGACATGCTTGTAGTCGGAGCAAGTCTTACATACTTCCCTCGTATGCCCCGTCAGCAAGGTATCCGCAAGCGAGAGATTCTGCACATCCTACCTGGTTGTTCACCGGAACATCGAATCTTGCGCCGGCGACATGTTAAACAACTACACCAAACCAAAAGTGACGTCAGCCTCTTGACCGACAAAATTATTTTCAATGGGGTCCCTGGGTCCACCTACGCGGCATTAACGCGGCGGCGCTTGGTTTGCGGCTGCCCGTCGGTTGCGACAAAGCGGATTTGTCTGGGAGCAGAAGGGTTGCCGCCATTCTTCTTCTTGGGAGAAGGGGGGCTCATGGCGAGCCAATAATTATCCGTGACCTCGACCCATTGGGTACCTGCACACTTTCAGCTTCAACGAGTCGATAGGTGCTCGGCGCGGAGCTTGGATTCTATGGTTCAGAGAGGAGGGTCGAGCAGTTGAAGTAGAGAAGGTGCGCAATAGCGAAAACTTCATTAGGAGGAAATAAACGGAGGCCAATATTCAAGGCCAATAAGGGATCAAAAAGTGGTATGTGTGAAGTGTTCAAGGGAGAAAAGTTGGGGGAAGAGGGGAGTCGATAAGCCCTCGTGATTGCCCTCGCTTGTACTACGCCACTCTAAGGGCATATTTTACATTTCCGACCTCTTCTAGAAATCTCACGATGTATTTGTGTAAGGTAATGTTTTGATCGAAAACATCGGAGTCGGTTTCCCCCCCTTGACCGCTACGCCGGAAACAGAGCCACACCATCCCCGTTCGGGAAAATCGGGTCATGGGATGTCTGGGGCGATCCCTGTGTTTTTATATATCATATAATCATATAGTACTGTAATCGTTTTACTCCTTGAAGTAGAAATACATATATGTACGTAGAAAATAAAGAGGAGACGCAAATAAGATACAATGGATTTTTATGAATTAGAACAACCAAGAACAGGATCAAAACATTGAAATTGGTCGCATCAACTCCGAGTATCTGGAGTCCAGACTTCGGGGCATATGGAGCTTTTATGGGGAGAGTGGGTTTGTGGCCCGTATTTCACTCCCCCACGTTTTACGGGAGTATGTATGTATATCAATTTAGGAAGCATGTTTAATATTTTTCTTAGCAACAATAAAATAAATATACATATATACCAGGGAACATTTAGAATGGTTGTCGCTTCGGTTCTAAGATTGCTACCTATGTACATACGTATATTTAAGCTTATTATCGATGGCTTGGTGATGTTCCCAAACAGGGAAATCCCTCCCTGAAAGATTCTAGAATACATGTACAGTACGGAGTACCCATATGTATTTACTGAAAGGTCCACATGGGCATTTTTCCAGAAGGTCAGGTGAACGGTGCTTTTAACCGGTCATTTATAGGAAATTTCTTATTCTTTACCGTCTGTTCTAAACTCTTTGGGCGTCGTTATTATTGTTGGTCATTCTTGCCCTGGTGCTTCTGGGTGTCATTTTCAACGTTTCTGGAATCAGGATGTAAAGAGAACTACATAATTTGATCTTTATGACCGGAGAGAAATAGATAACCTTGAGATTTGTATATTCGCTATTAGTGATTTCAAGTTTTTTGATCTATACAGTAAACAAATTCACGATAATCTGTTGGAGCTCACTAAGCAGAGGCGTGGATTAAATCTTGGAAGGACTATGACGTGACTCGGTTTGATCTCTCCAGGGCACTGTTCCTCGGGGATATCCCCGGAGTCGGCCCGATAGTCGGTATATGAAATATATCCACGCACTTTATTTGGAATAATGCAACATAAAGTGCGTGGTGATATGCATTTACAGCAAGTTCATCCGTGGCACTAAGCTGCGACCGAAGCTTGAATTAGAGATAGTAAATGCGATAAGGATTTCATGAAATCAAAGAACTGCCTCCATCGTCTCTATGTGTCTACTTGGATTCACCTACCGAAATACTCGTCGGCTCTCATTCTTGCAATCTTAGTAAGTTGTTCAATGCCCTCACTTTCTAGCAAGCATGACGGAGGTGACCCTCTCGTCACCACACCTGCTACGCGGGGCAGCCCACATGCACAACTGAACAGCACAGCTGATTTATAATCTCAAGTGCTAATCGCCTCACAACAACCCGCGCACCATTCCGAACAAATTACCCCACTCGACTATTTAGCCACACCTACACAATGTTAAAAGTCGGCTCGGAATTCGAGAAAACCCAAGCCTCGCGGCCAGACTTCCGCCGCGACGCCGAGATCACATACACCAAGTCCCCAAACCCCGCATGGAAAGAAGGCGATGGCGCGAATGACAACGGCGAGAGCTTGGAGAAAGACCACGTCGAGATCGACCCCAATGAGGAGGGCCGCCCCGTGGCCTCGAACTATAAGTTCCTGATTTCAGGAATGGTCCCACGACCGATCGCACTCGTCAGTACTCAGTCTGCGGACGGCAAGACTACAAACCTCGCTCCGTTCAGCTACGCACAGGTCATCAATCATGACCCGCCGCTCTTCACGGTTGGCTTTTCTGGTTCGATGGAGAGAGCGAAGGATTCATTGAGGAACCTCAGCGAGACTGGGGAGTGTGTTATCAACATTATCTCGGAACATTTCATTGAAGCGGCCAACTCTACTGCTATCAATGCCCCTTATGGTGTCTCCGAGTGGGAGACTTCGGGCCTGCACCAGGCACCTACCTCCGTTGTGAAGCCCGCCCGTGTGAAGGAGTCCATTCTTTCTATTGAGGGCAAGCTCGTTGAGTTGAAGGAGTTTGAAAGTCGGGTCACCCCGGGGAAGAAATCGGGTGTGCTTGCTATTATTGAGGGCGTTCGTTTCTGGGTTAGAGATGATGCTATCAACGAGGAAAGGAATGTCGTCGATTTGAAGGTTCTCAAGCCTATCAGTCGCCTAGGTGGTATCTCGTATGGTCGAACCACGGAGGCCATGGAGATCCCTAGACCGCAGTTTTAGGGCTCTGGCCCACGGGTTTCAAATCAAGGAGCTTTGTCATATAGAGATTTGGGGTGAAGAAGAGTATATAGATTCTGAACTCATATAGCCAACCTATACAGCGTGAAGCAAATCAGCTTGTATAACTTTGATTGATGCACAATCTGGAAACCAATAGTAAGTATACGCACTACGGCAGTCTTTTACTGCCAGTACTCTAGTTTAGGATCTACCTCATTTTACACCTTTTCACAAATAATAATGGGGGGAGATATTGAAAGAAAATGTCTTAAAAGACTGGGGAAAAGTCCACTGAAAAAAGGACATGGTAAGGCTGTATAAACGGCCGACTATTCTCTCTCCCTATGCTTCGAATTATCTATATTTTTACTATGGGAAAATACGAAGTGGCGCACTGGCTGCAATAAACTGGCCTAATACATATGATATATATTGACACCTATTTACGTAGATATCTACTACGTAGGTACCTAACTAATGTATGTGTTGGATTTCTATGTCCGCCGCGCTCCCGGGCTATTGTGGTGCCCCGGGGGCCGGCGCGACCCCGGTGGAGGGATTATGAGCACGGGGCCGAACCGTTTACCTAGCTCAAGGGCTCGGAACGTGCCTGACTAATTTTAGCTTAAATCTACAGATATATGGATGCAACATATCCTAGATGCTTACTTGATATCTCGCCGAAGCTTCTAACCTTGGCTCAAAACGATCCATGGGAAGATGTTTCACACTAAAGATGTCAAATTGACGGAGGATAAGCAGCTCCGACTCAAGCCGTATCTCGTGCGGAGGATGGAGCGGGGTTGATAAGTATCTCCAACTATAAATCGCAGGACGCCCACTTATCAAAGCACAACCCATTTCATTTTGCTTCCACCTGAAAAGAAAAGAGCGCAATTATGTCACAGGAGCAATACGAAACTTTCAAGCTTGGAGACTGGGAGCTTCAGAGCGGGGAGAAAATTGAGGATGCGCATATCGCATACAAGACATTCGGCGATCCCAAATTTCCAGCAATCGTCTATCCAACTTGGTTTTCCGGAGGTATGTCTAGATGCGATCCTACAGTATCCCCAACACTGCTCTAATAATACCTCTAGCTCTCTCCGACAACTTCTGGTTGATCGGAGACGACAAGCTCCTGAACCCGAACAATTTCTTCATAATAGTTCCAGCCCTGTTCGGAAATGGCCAGTCCTCCTCTCCGTCCAACCAGCCAAGCCCCGGGCCATTCCCAAAGGTGTCATTTTACGACAATGTGCGGGCGCAGCATGAGCTTGTTACCAAACACATGGGCATCACGCATTTGCGCGCTGTTATTGGCTGGTCTATGGGAGGAGCCCAGGCTTTCCAGTGGGCAACGCAGTATCCTGACTTCATGGATATCGTGGTCCCCTCTTGTACCGCTGCGAAAACCTCGGTGCACAACCAGGTCTTCCTTGAAGGTGTCAAAAGCTCCTTGATTGCGGTGAAGAAGAGCCGATCTGCGGGATCGGGAGCGATTGGCCTCAATAGAGAGACGGCCGAAGCGCATGCTTGGACTGCCGAAGAGAAGGATGTTGGCCTCAAGGCGTTGGGCCGTGTGTATGCTGGATGGTAAGAAATTCTGTGTTGAGCTTCGAATTTTTGTTTCCCATCTGATACACTCGAAACAGGGGATTCAGTCAGGCCTTTTATCGACACAAGTTGTATGAAACCGTGTTGGGTTTCAAGGGACTTGAAGACTTCATGGTCAACTTCTGGGAGAAATGGGCTTGTTCCAAAGGTGGTGTTTGATCCCAATGAATCAGTCGTATTAGAGAACTGACAAATGCTTCAAAGAACCCGAAAATTTGCTAGTGTTGCTACAAACTTGGCAAATTGGTGATGTCTCGCAGCAAGATCCATACAATGGGGACTTTGAAAAGGCGATGGCATCCATCAAAGCAAAAGCGCTAGTTTTGCCGTCAAAAACCGATCTTTATTTTCCGTAAGTTGGAGTGTTCCATTTTTCCTTTGGTATGAAATGAGCCTGACCTGAGAATTACATCTTATTAGGCCTGAGGATTCGGAGTACGAGGTTGCTTCCATGAAGCCAGGCATTGGAACACTGGATATATTCCCTTCTATCTGGGGTCGTGAGTACACAATTTAGTTTCCAAGTAAGCATAAAGCTAACTCAGTGAATAGATTGGGCAGGAGGTCCAGGCGATAGTGCAGAGGATGTTGCATGGCTTGATAACAAGCTCACTCAATTTTTTGCAGACAACGAAGGGGATGGTGTCAATTCTCTGGCCAAGAAGCTCCAGAGCACGCTCAATTGACTAGAGAAGTCATGAATTACGACAATGTAGCATTCTAATAAGAAATTAGCAATGAATAAGATCTCCTAATGGGTGAAAATCGTAACGTTAGCTCGTCGTCGCCAAAAAAAAGTAGATAGATATTGATCATGTGATGATGAGTAAGCACCTGCCCGGGGCCCTAGAAGCGCCGATGAACCTTGCGCGGCGACCAACTTCCTTCTTCAATTCCATTTCTCTCCCTGTTTCTGTCTTTACTTCCCGTTTCGCTCAGGAATTGCATTTGTTTCTCATTGATTGTTCTCACTTTCCCAGCAGCACCTAATTTTCTTCCTGGGCTGCTTGCCTCGGAAGCTCGTCGACAACTCTGCTCTCGTTATCTAATCCCTATCTTCACACGGCTTGTGAGACTATATCTCGAATATTACCATCTCGGCTTCCTCCCCACAATGGCGACGCCACCTGTCCGACAATGGGGTGTTACACCTCCGATATCGACCGTGCTGCCGACCAAGGATGAGCTTTCGGCGAACGACGATCTCATTGCCGAGCTCAAAGCCCAGAACAACTTCGAGCTACCGACTGAAACGGAACGGAGGTGTGTTCGCATTTCAACAAAGAAAGCACCAGAGCCCCGAAACTGATAATCGCGGAATAGAAAACAAGTGCTCCAGTTACTTCAGCGCGTCACAGTGGAATTTGTTCAAGTCGTCAGTCGCAAAAAGGGTCTTTCTCCTGCTGCTGTTGAGGCTTCTGGGGGTAAAATCTTCACGTATGGGAGTTATAGACTGGGTGTCTACGGACCAGGTAAGTGTTGAGCTATGTATGCATCCAAGCTCCCATGCCTCTATTGACGATGATTGCTTGCAGGCTCCGATATCGATACCCTAGTCGTTGGACCTAAGCATGTCCTGATCGATGATTTCTTCGCTGAATTTCCCCCTATCCTCCAAAGAATGGCTTCCGAAGGAGCAATCGAAAAGATGACTCCCGTGCCCGATGCGTTCGTTCCAATCATCAAGCTTGAGCTGTGTGGAATCAGTATTGATCTGATTTTTGCCCGCCTCGTTATTCCCTCCATCCCGATGAACCTGGATTTGAAGAATAATGATTATCTCAGAGGATTGGATGAACGAGAAGTGCGATCGCTGAATGGAACTCGTGTCACAGATGAAATACTTGAGCTTGTTCCCCAACAAAAGACATTCCGCCTTGCATTGCGTGCTATCAAACTCTGGGCCCAGCGTAAGTGTCACTTGGTTTTTGTTTATCACTATCCAAATTGTCTAATTATCTGTATAGGACGAGCGATATACTCAAACATTGTCGGATTCCCTGGTGGTGTTGCATGGGCGATGCTAGTAGCTCGGGTTTGCCAACTATACCCGCAAGCAACTGGCTCTGTTATTGTGGGAAAGTTCTTCAGGATCATGAACAAGTGGAATTGGCCGCAGCCTGTCTTATTGAAGCAGATTGAGGATGGACCCCTTCAGATAAAAGTCTGGAACCCAAAGGTAAGCACGAAGCACTGCTTTCGCTGACGACATGGGCTAAGAACTATCAGATTTACCATGGCGATCGATTCCACCTTATGCCCATCATCACTCCTGCGTATCCATCCATGTGTGCGACCCACAACATCAGCATGTCCACCAAGGCTGTTATTCTCAGGGAGCTACAGCGAGGTGGTGACATGGTCGACAAGATCTTCATGAAGCAGCTCTCGTGGCAGGATCTGTTTGCGCGCCACACATTCTTCACCCACGATTATAAGTACTATCTCAGCATCACTGCTTCTAGCAAGACCAAGGAGGCCGAGTCCGTGTGGTCTGGTCTTGTGGAGTCCAAACTGCGTCACCTCGTTGGCGCTCTAGATCGAAAGCCAATTGTTGCAGTAGCCCACCCATTCCCTAAGGGATTTGAAAGAATTCATCTCATCAAGAACGAGAAAGAAATGGAAGCAGTCAAAAATGGGTCTACACAACATCAGGCTAAAGGCACAAAGACCGCGATGACTGATGAGACTAAGGATGCTGCTCATCAAGCCGCAGTCCAGAACACCCTCGAAAACGCAGAGGTCCCGGGCCCGGCCGAGGGTAAGATCGAGGGCACGGTTGATAATGATGGCCAGACTGTCTACACGACGACTTATTATATCGGCCTGGAGCTGAAACCTCTGGAGCCAGGTAATCGCATCACTCTCCCTATTTGGCATTTCTAACTTTTTTTTCAAGGCCAATCGCGATCTCTGGATATATCAACCGACTCACAGATTTTCAAGTCAACTTGCACCTCATGGCCAGGATATCAGGAAGAAGTCATGGAGTTGGCCGTCACCCATGTTCGCAGGTAAGTTTCTCCTCTGTCTTTGACTTGTGTGGATTTAATTTAAACCTCTGTAGCTTTGATTTGCCCGACGATGTCTTCCAACCCGGTGAGACCCGGGCCTCTCGGCCAAAGAAGAAAGTTACCAAACGGTCAGAGACAGCCGGCCAGAAACGCAGCATTGGCGAGTTGGACGTAAGTGTCCCAAAGCGAGTGAGATCGGCCTAACCTGGCAAAACATCAACCCTGGAACCCGTGATCCAACGCCGTGCGAAACAAATCCCCAGGATGTCGACAACTAAGAATAACTAATACCAACTCCGATTCCCAGGGTTCAACCGAAGGAGCCGCGAAACGCCAAGTTACCTCCGCAACTCCCGCCTGAACGACCCCCTCTCTCTCCCCTTTGCTCCCTCCATCCCGCCGGGGCTGGTCCCCAACATCAAGTTGATACCAGAACCTCAAATTGCTTGTGGTCTCTGACCTAATATTGCAGTTTGCAGTTCTACCTCGATCAACCGAACATCTAAATCCTCGCCATCTTTGAGTGTTACCCTTCTCTACAGTGAACGTCCCGTGCTCTCGAAGCATAAGGTTGGTTCGTTCTTCTCTTCGTCTTTTGTCTTTTGTCTTTTGCGTTGCTTGCCCAACAGCTAGACTAGACACCTTTCTTTCTCCCCGCCCTTTGGCACTTGACCTCTTACTGGGGCATATTTCTCTCGGCGCATCTGTATATGGGCCGGATTTATTCATTATCTCGTCTATTTAGTTGGTGTAGTATTTTGTTGTCGGTGGAATAGGCGGATCCCCTCTGCCCAGGTGGGCATATTCATTCGCCATCTTGAAGATAGTTCAGATAGTTGAATGCAAGGACGTGTCCCACAATATGTGGGCTACACATAATCCAAAAATTGCGTCTCGCTTTGTTGATTATATTCCAGTAATATTACGCTTGGCTATTTCCCTTCCTTCTAGATATAACTAATGGGTAGATCACTATTACATAGTCAGTAACCGCAACATTGTATCACGGCTCCGGGCGGTTTATGCCTCTTCCATATATGTACTTTTATACTTCACTATCAATGATTTAGCAATTAATTCTTTCCCCCAGAAATTGCTAGTATAAATGCCTCTACATTTATATCTTCATTTACCAATCTTGTAGTTAGTACAGCTACTATTGGCTATTACCTTTCCTTCTTACCATTGCTTGCCACGTCGTTTTTTAGGGCTTACAGCATGAATCAGCGCGCCCCTAGTGTACGTGTGCGATAGTGTGATAAATAAGGAGTTAGATGGATTAGAGTGTTAACAACCCGGTAGATCACACCCGTAAGGTGGACGGATGAGTACATATGTAGCTACTGCGAACCTTGGAATAATCTTACATCTGCATCAAAAGGCTGCTCTAGGAGCGTATGCGGCATCTATAGCGAACGACGTAGGACTTTCATAACCTAATCTACCTATCTAACCAAGGATGATATATGAGACGTTATATGTAAGATGATATTCTGATTTTCTTGTTAGCCAGAATACTGAATTTTGCCTTCCCGATCAGCCACTAGCTTTTGTTGTGATTGTAATGCGCACACGCACGCAGCTTGTCGCTATCACCCTATGGAGACAACCCTCAGCCAAAGCCAACAGTGATATGAATATAATACTCACCCAATTCCAGTGTTGTTGTTTTATGCAGCTTGCCAGTGATCCCTTGTCCAGTTAGCTCTTCGTATCTTGGTTGGACCTAGAGGGAACCCGGCTAACAGCAGTCATCAACAGTTACGAGTTAGAACTTAGAAACGCCCGGGGGTAATGCACGAGTGAACATAATAGGGGCCTTAGGGGCCTTCGGCAGTGAAAAAAGGATTCAATACCTGGAAAGTAATAACAATACTGAACAAATGAACCAGACAGGCAGCTCGAGCTGGGAATTAATTTAAATATTGAAGAGAGAAGAAAGAGGAGAGGGAACGGGAAGATCAATAAACCTTGGAAGGTTACCACGGAAATCCTACACACCTTCCTAATCAGGTCTATCCAGCTTGACAAGAAGGGGAAAGGCCAAGAAGGTTATGATATTATGTTCCAACAAATACCCTGTAAACACCTAGCAAGGCATCAGGGTATGAGGAGGGGTGGTACACACTGTGGCTACTGCACCTGGAGGTATCGACCAGGTGTTATGGTCAACAAGAGAGAGGTGGATGCGCTCCATTGTACATCTTGCCGCATATACGAGCATGAAATGGTCTGAACAAAAAAGTCCATTTCACAAATTAAGCCTTTCTCAGCCTTCTTCTGCCGTGTCTATGAAACCGAAGAAGGCGAGCAAAATATCTAAAAAAAAATCACAGTATTCTGCGTTTATTTTTACCCTCTAAAATGTCACCGAGTGATTGAAACTACCTCATCAGGCTAAATGCCACTTGGATGAACGAATGTAAAAAAGTTCAAAAAAATGCTCACATGCCGATTTGAACGACAGACCTCGTGATAGACTAGAAACTAGGAAGTACTAGTCACGCGCTCTACCAACTGAGCTATGCGAGCCAGTTATGATAGCAGCTTTCAAAGCTGAATTATAGACGATCGACATTCAATTAATCCAAGCCCAATATACCATATCAGGCTAAATATTTTAGTCATGTGATATCAAAAAGGCAATTCCGAATTTAAGTGCTCTTTCCTTCCGGACTCCATGTATATTATTGAGACTAGAAGGAATGTAATACCAGCATCCTCTTCTTCTCTCTTTCTTTTCTTTTTTGTAGAGGCATGAAGCCTCTTCTCGGTCTAAATTAATGGGTTAGTGTGGAGTAGGACGGGAAATTTTCGGAATTGGCACGCAGTACTTGGATTTTCTCTATATTTCTCAGACCAATGAACTTACGCTAATTTCAAATTGTGAGTAGCTTTGTACTTAACATCCCTGTCGTTGTATTTGATATCATTCAAGAACACCTCTTCTGATGTAGAACCTATACATTGTAGATCTGAGACTGTTAATATGGATCAACTCCACATACTTTGATTAGTCAATGGAAAATCCCAGAATGTTTTCTCTTTCGGGAAAGACGATCCATTCTATTTTTCATTGATTGGGAATCAGTGTGTTCTCGAGCGACCTAGGTTAACAAATCTCATTTTCAACATAAAGCAGGCTGCTCATTTCCAGCCAATCAAGGCTCGCATAGCTCAGTTGGTAGAGCGCGTGACTAGTATTTTCTAGTCCATCACGAGGTCTGTCGTTCAAATCGGCATGTGAGCATTTTTTTTGCCTTTTCTAGCTATAAATTAATGTGTAACAAGCAAGGCCTTTTTTAGTTCCTTCTTATCCCATTCAGTAGTCGAGCCTGATCTACTGCGAAGTAAATAACGCGCCAATTGGACTATGCATGGCTAATTATACCCATGGACAACTTTCAAGCACTGTAAGGTCTGGAAATTGGACGTATCAAAGTACGTTGATGAAGGAGTCAGAAATTTATACTTGGGTGTAAAAGTGAGGGCTTATGGGGGTTATCAGCGAAATGATATTGGGTTTCTGAAATTTGTGTTTTTTTTTCATTCGGCAGGAATAGTACTGGAACGAACCCGGCATTGGATATAGGAAGCTGAGTCTGAACAGCCCTGAAGGTGAAGTTGTTACCACCCCTTGGATCGTTGCAGCGCAGGGTTATGGGGTGATAACTACAGCTATGGGGAATCAAAAGTGGCGGATATGCAAGCGTATACTAAGAAATGCACCAAATACAGCCATGATCGCAGTGTGCAAGCTCCGAGTAGTCAGGCAAATTGCCATGGTGATTCAGGTCTATCTACTATAATTGTGAGTTGGAAACTATCGTAAATTCTCGCATTATCGGGTGCGTTTTCATGGAGGGTATACTGATTACTTGCAAGTGCATCTATGGTAGTTTGTCTGGTATATACAATACTCTTTTAGGCTGTCAAGGTAGTACACAGGACCTAAATTGGGATTTTATCGTGACGGAATATCTCGAACATGGGGACGACGTTACATATATATATCAGAGACCGTTCCTTTCACAGTCCGAAGCAAAGAAGATCGCGTTCGAATGCTCGAAAGTCCAAATATGACGCAAAAAATGATTTGGCTCATCGGGATTAAATTATTTTCACATTGACCACTTGATATTGAATTGATCTGATACCCCTTGGGTTGAGAGAAGCCGTTGAAAACGGCACAAAAATCCCGAAGCGGACGTTTTAAGTGGGGCCTTGCCCTAAAAAATATCTGCCGCCCCATATATCAAAACTGGACCAAAATCTTTCATGGCCGGCTGGCCCAATGGCAAGGCGCTTGACTACGAATCAAGAGATTGCAGGTTCGATCCCTGCGTCGGTCAATTCTTTTTTGTTTCCTGGCTTTCTTTTTGCGCCATTGTTGCCCAGAATGTGGTCAAAATGGCGGTTGGACTACATCGTAGGCACGGTGGGGTGGGTGGTATGGTCGGATGGCGCTTGATTTTTTTGGGGATAATTGCTGAGTTACCAAGAGAGAAACAAACTGGTATCATGAGATGTGAGAAATTTCATTATGTTTATAGATGTGGAATGTACCCAAACCGAATAAATGTAAGTTTAGCATTGCACTATCCAGTGAGTGGCATGGGGGTCGATAGTATATTCGGCTATAGTAGAACTTCCAGAAATCATACCGAGAGCCGAACAATTGTTGCAGTTGTACCTCGTTGGCGTGTTTATGTTGTGCCACTGACTGTTTGTTAGAATCCCATACGCAAATGTCGCCAGGTGTGGTGTATTCTCGAAAGAGAGACTTATAAGTCCTGCTCCCCCACTCCACGTCTAATAAACGCTGGTGCTTTGAATAGCTCTAGCGCAAAGAGGTACACCCACATTAAAGGACCACCCAAGCATACCAGGTTCATCAAAGAAAGGCATGGGGTGGGCTTATGTTGGGATATACTATTCGCGAGGCCACCGATATTCTCTGTCGGTACCTACAATGGATTAACGTACGGTGTTATTTATTCAATGCAAAGGTAGTTCAGATACTAGAGTTTAGTTAGTCTAGTTTCTCACGCTGTCATTACTGGCTATCGTTATTGCGAGAATATTCGAACTGTGTCGGCTTTCGTAGGGCCCTCCAGCATGACAAAAGGAAAATGGCAATCTTAAATAGTTAAGTCCGTTCTAGACTTGAATTGAATCACATCAACCTTGCACTTTCATTATGTATATTATCGTGCCTGAGCAGATTTTCCATATATATGATCTAGCTACGGAGTAGTGACTGATAGATATAAAAGTGGATCTGGATAGAGCCCCTCACGCTCCATCATCCGACTTTCCAAGAAATAGTCAATAAACCATATATGGATGTAATAATCAAGACAAGTGAATCTATATGCCTGGCAAAAAGGCGCCTACAAAGATGAATACATAAATCAAGAATAACGATTGGTGCTCACGCCCTTAACTTGACAAGCACCCGCCCGCCTAAATGATAAGCGGTATCTACAATTCTCGGGATCGCATTCCGACTTCGGGGGACTCTTTGTATAAAACCATTGACAGTCCGCTTCGACCGGAGGAAAAGATATCCTTTAAATAACAATTTAACACTCAAAATCCTTTCCAAACTCCAACATCTCCACCCCACAACATGGAAATCCCACAACCCCTCGAAGCCCCAGGCCCCATCAGGCCGATAACCTGCGTCGAAATGCACACCGCAGGCGAGCCAACACGAATCATCTGGAACGGCATCCCGCCTCTGGCAGGTACACTCCTGGAACAACGAGGGCAAGCAAAAGCTCAATTCGACGAATTCCGTCGGGTTCTCATGCTCGAACCGCGCGGCCACTATGACATGTATGGCGCAATTTTACGGCCCGAGACCGAGCTCGTCAACTCCGGAAAAGCCCACATGGGCGTTCTGTTCATGCATAATGAAGGGTTCTCGCTTATGTGTGGACATGCGACGATCGCGCTGGGCCGGTTCCTCGTCGATGTCGACGAGAAGGTATTTCCTCGTCGGAAGGAATTGAGATATGACCCTGTGTCCCGCACAACGACTCTTAATCTGCATGTGCCCTGTGGAGTCGTCGAGGTTACTGTCCCCACCTTGGGATCAGGGAAGTCGGATCCGTCGCGATCTGTTTCGTTCGTGTCTGTGCCGTCGTTTGCTACGGCTATCTCCTGCCAGATTCCTGTTCCTGAGAAGTATCGCTGGGCCGAGCTTCGTGGAAAGACTTCTGTTACGGCGGACTTTGCTTATGGGGGTGCGTACTATTGTATGGTTAGTGCCGAGGAATTGGGCTTCCCTAGTGGTCTGGGTGAAGTTAAGTTGCAGGAGATGGATCATGTAACGAAGTTGCTCAAGGAGGCAGTGGTTACAAATCCGGATTTGCGATATCTCACCAAGGATATTCGAACTGCCGAGGAGGGGGTCCTGTATGGGATTATGATCACAGATACACGACTGGGACACGTTAGTGCCCCGGAGGGGACGGCTGCTGCTCGTGCGCAGCTGGATGCTAGTACCGAGGAGACGGGGCTCTATTTCTTTGCGAACCAGCAGATTGATCGGTCTCCCACTGGAGGCTGTGTCGCTGCGAGGGTGGCTCTTGCACATACCAAAGGGACTTTGCCTGCGGGTGAGAAGAGGATCTACAACTCCCTGGTGACTCGTGCATATAGAGGTCTTTCTGGATTTGTTGGGTCTGTCTTTGATGATGCCGGTATAAGTGGAGGAGATCAGCAGATTGTTCGAGTCTGTGTCGAGGGATATGCGTATTATACCGGATATCATTCCTTTGTGGTAGAGAAGGAGGATGGTCTTGGAGTGGATGGATTCTCTGTGAAGGATATCGCTTTGTAGTGCCGCTTGAAGTAGTGCAATGTAATATCTGTGTCTGCGTTTGTCCCATTGGAACATAAGTTGAAGTGTATATGCCTAAGCTATCTAGGGACTGGGCCTATGGTCAAGCAGGCGACGTGGCGCTGTCATAAGTGACATGGCGCCGCCTACCATTGGACCTCCCATATATAAACTGGCCGTCTTCTCTCCTTCCTATTCTTTTTGTCGCAAGGTCGGCGTTCATTTGAAAGCGATATCGGTGTTTTTATTTGCTCTCCCTTTCTCTCTCCACCTCAGTTTGCTCTGAAAGACGTTGTAGTTAACGTAGACATAGATGCTCCCCCCTCCCAAAGCTGACATGCAATCTCCAGCTCTCCAACGCCGGCATGGCCGATATCAATCCAGTCTCATTGCTAGTCTCGCAGGGATTCCCGCCATCACCTCAACCTGCCTCAATTGGGTTGCACCTGGCATCACTATATAATCAATAATTACTACAAATGCTGTTCCCTTACGAAAGAAATGGAAATAATTGTAAATGTGACAAAATGGCGAGCTTGTTCTTGAAAGGAAACTGAGACAAAATATTGTACATCGTGTGTGGGGGATGGACAAGGCGTAAAACAAAAAGAATTCTAAGGGTAGTCTCTATAATCCTCCCGAGCATATTAGACTCGAGTCGTCTATTTACCGATCTCAACACCACCAGTGGCACCGAGCATGCGCTTGATGTCACCGTAGATGGCGAACTGACCGGCGGTGATGGAGCCGACCATGAAGAGACGGGCACCAATACCACCGTAAGAGCCACGGATACCGAGCTCCTTGGCGATCTTGACCAGACGGGTGACGGTACCCTCACCAGGAGCACCGGGGGTCTTGTTGATCTTGGAGAGCATGGTGTCGGCGGGCTGGGAGATGATGGCGGCGGCGAGACCGGCGATGAGACCGGAGCCGAGGTTGATACCGGTCTTGCCACCGTCGGAGAGAGTCTCCTTGTTGACGTTGGCGAGGATGGCCTCGGAGACCTTCTCGAAGACGACGAACTTGGCCATGGTGTAGGGGACCCTGTGGGAAGTTGAGTTAGGGGATAATTCTATAGGATATATACTGGCGAAGGTAGAAAAAACTTACTGCTTGAACAGGATGGGTCCGAATCCAGAGTAGAAGGCACCAATGCCCTCCTCCTTCAGGATGCGGGTCATGGCAGGGAGGAGACCGCTGGCGAAGGTGGGCTGGGAGACAAGACGGATACGGGTGGCCTCGAGAGGGCACAGAGCGATATCAGCAATGAACTCAGCGGCACCGGCGGAGGCGAGGTAGACGGCGGTGCGGTTGTTCTTGGCAGTCTCGTAGCCAACGGCGTTGATGGACTGCTGCTTGAAGAACTCGTATCCACCGAACTTGAAGGCACCCTGGAGGAAGTAACCGGCGGCGGTAGGACCGAAACCAGTCAGGAGAGCGCCAGCACCCTCGTTCTGGATGACCTGGCGGAAACCACCGAGCATACCGCGGTTGTAGGTGACGGGGTCAAGCTGGATACGGGTCTTGACGCTGTGGACGATCGGGTATGAGCGGAAATTCTTCCTTGCGCACTGGCGATAGTTTCTGAAACTTACACATCGAGAGGAGTGGCAGCACCGTGGGTGATGGCGCAGCACATGGCACCGGCGAAAGCGAAGCGAGAGTACTGGAAGCAAGAATCTTGAGTCAGTTAAAGCATTGTGCAGTTTGGGGGTTCTAGACATACGAGGTTGAGAGCGCTCATCTCCTCCTTGGGGGCGGTAGGGGCGGCCATTTTGATGGATGTGAAATAACGTAAAGAAAAACGTTAAAAAGAGAGGAGAGGATGGGAAGCAATTGAAGCCTTTGGGAGTGGAAGAGAAGAAGAAAGGATTTGAAAGGGATGGGGCCGCCGGACCCGAAAACTTTTCGCGGCCAATGCGGGAGCCGCTCGGTAGCCACACTAAGCTCCGATCGCCCGGTCAACGGCATAGCGTTTTGTTATCCTTTTCACATGGTCAATTTGTTATGTATTATATTGATCCTACTACGGAGTATCAAAGCCCAATTTGAGGTTGAAGTTTGCTATAGACGTCATTCTGGATGTTGCTTGGAACCTGTTGCCGGGAATAGGCGGGATGAGGAACCGCAAAGGGATTTGATAGGGGCACATTCCAAGCTTGCTCCGGAGATGGAATTTATTTTAAGGCTCATAGTAATAGGATTGGTGTTGAAGTGTTGGTATAGGGCATATTGCATTGTATGTTACCCATACAATAAACGAAACCAGTGCAATATCAGACCCACGTTCGAACTGGAAGGTTGTTCGCACCAGCCACATCTTCTCCCTACGTCACAGTGGACACGTTTTGGTGTGACATGTCAAGGTGGGTATTTACGGCCATTGTGATATATTATTTATACATCCTAATAAGTTGTATACAACCTTAGAAGAACATAAGCTATATAGACATAGTTTATACTATCATCTAGCAGTAGTGGTTGTTCTATAAGTCATGATACAATCAGCATTCAATAGACTATCTAGCCTATGGTTAAAGATACCTGGATTATATATTGATTGCACAAAAAGTAAGGGCGCTAAAAAATCGATATATAAATATAGCAGGGTTGAATTGGTTACCTCAAGTCTGCATGTCATTGTGGCCCTAAAATATTGCCGTAGGACCCTGGCCTAGCGTGTTCAAGGCTATCAAACTACTTAAATTTTAGGTGAAGCTATGCATGCAACCTGGAAATAAGAACCAATGAGATCAGCAGATAAAGGCCACGAGGCCACTATGGGATACTGATGTTCGATATGACCAATATTCATGCCACTTGATAAGAAACAATTAAATTCCTCTATAACTTGGGTTTAGAAAATTACAACATCACTGCAACTGCCATTTATCATATAAGAAACCCGATTTCTGATCAACATCTCCGAAAATGGTCGCTATCACAGAAGATATTTCTGCCCCTCGATTTGCTATCCTGCAAGACCTCTTCAGCGAAAGGATATCTGCACAGCAAGCCGCTGGATATTTGGCTTCAATCTCCTTGGCAGACACCTCAGATCCCGAGGGGGGAATTACCAGCCTATGGAGCTTGATATTCAAATGTGCATACAATTCCCCTGAGCACCATGATAAACTCGTCAATGTGCTAGTCCAACTGTCAAAACTCCCGGACGCAAAAAAGCCAAAAGGAGACTCCATTTTGCTCTATGATATGCAAGTATGGAAAGACCTGCCAATGCTTGGCTGGCAATTCCGGGATGAGTGGAATGCAACTGTTCCGGCTGGACCTCCCGACTCTCGCCAAAACGCCATCTCGCGAATTATCAGCCGGGACAAATTCACCGCACGTTTGATGGCGACAAAGGAATCTGTCTTTGCATACTCGTGGTTTGCACTGATTACTCTGCGAGGCGCACTGGAAACACCGGCAGATCAATCCTCTGCGGGGAATCTAGAAGCATTGATTCCTGCTGCTGCTGCGTGGATCAGTATTCTTGGGGCAGACATCTATCAGTGGAAGGAAGAGTTTGATGGCGCCTTAGGGAAAGGAGGTACGCTCTGGAAAGGTCAACATGGGTTTTGTAAGGAGAGGTGGCAGTTTTGGAAGGAGCGATTTGGGGAGTTGGCTATATCAGAAGAGATTGGAGACGAAGCGAGAACTGCAGCAAGGGACGCACAGGGGGCGATGGAGGGGATTGAGATGTGAGATATGAGTTGAGAATTCCATCACAGTGTTGTCAATATAGAAGATCTCGAGGACTGTCTATTTTAAATAAATGTGAACGCATAAAAAATAATGAAAAGGGTCAGTTGGCCGTAAAAGTGTCCGGCCTTGCACGAGCCACATCCCCACTGTGGACACGTATTTACAAACTGTTACCGTTTAAGTCGTTATCGCAACGCCGAGACCGCTATTTTGAGGCATTTCCAAGGACGAGCACTTTCTTTAGTCATTTATAGCCCTCACACTGCTTTTCCACGAATCAATACCTAGAGCCAAGTCTTCTTTAGTCACTCCTGATAAGTCGTGTGATTGGCTATATTTGTCCTGGGTTCCTATGATCCGAGATGTTGGTACTACACAATATAACTAGTACGGATAGTGTTCCATGCTCTACCCATATCCATTGTAGCTCATCCACACGTCACTATTTGTGACACTGATTCATCGCATTGACTATTTGTACAGAAGCTTACTGGGGGTGGGTGCGTTTCGGGATAGTTGACACAATGCAGTTGCGATAGCCTGCACGGATAAGCCCTTACAAAGAGGCAGATGAATATGACCTTTCCGTTCATATAAATAGGGAGATGTTAATTTAAGCATTTATCTTATATTTCAAACCCGAGCGCGTTTGATTTTCCAACCCAACGAGTAGGCCGTTGAATCTTTACCAGTTAATGTATTTCGTACAGCAGGGTGTGTCAGTGTCACTCGTCAGTTCCACCTAGGCCTGATTTTTGGAGACCATGGTATATTTAAGAATTACAGGATGCTATTATTCCTTCTCCCTACACCACTGGGACCTGAACTGGTCCATAATCACATCAATACTACCCCTTTAGAGATAGAGACACACGGTCAAATGCTGTCATTCTTAAGCTGCTGTTTGAAGATCCAGAGAAGGGCCAAGAAGTGGCGAGAGATCGAAGGTTTTAAATCCCTTATCTCCATGCATTCCCTGCTATGGGCTAACCATCTTGATGCCGAGGAGATGGTGTCGGACTTGATGAAAAGCAGTCGTGGTCTCCGCCCGAAAACACACTCATGATGCAGGGCTTCGAATGGCACGTGCCAGCCGACAAACGTCACTGGGAGCGCCTCCGTAAGGCAATCCCCGACCTCAAAGATATCGGAGTGGATAACATCTGGATTCCGCCTGGGTGCAAGGGGATGAACCCATCTGGAATTGGGTATGATATTTACGATCTGTATGATCTCGGGGAATTTGATCAGAAGGGCACCAGAGCCACCCGATGGGGCCCAAAGGAAGACCTCCAGAGCTTGGTACAGGCCGCACAGGATATGAACATTGGGATTTACTGGGATACTGTTTTGAATCAGAAGGCTGGGGCAGATTCCACCGAGAGATTCACAGTCGTTAAGATGGACCCAGAAGGTTATTATTTCCGCGTTGGCAGAGGGAAGATGAGAATGATTAAAGTTGTTAACAACCTTGCAGATCGAAACACTGAAATATCTCGGCCTCTGACTATTGCCGGCTGGGTGGGATTCGACTTTCCGGGACGTCGTGAGAAGTACAGCTCTATGAAGTATCACTGGCAACATTTTACTGGCGTGGACTGGGATGATGCGACCCGGAAGCATGCAATATACAAGACACTGGGACGGAACAAAGACTGGGCGAAGGACGTGAGTGATGAGCACGGAAACTACGACTACCTGATGTTCGCCGATCTCGACCATTCCCATCCAGAAGTTCGAGCTGATATATTGAAATGGGGGGAGTGGGTTAATACTGAGTTACCAATCAGTGGAATGCGAATAGATGCGGCAAAGCATTATTCTGTCTCTTTCCAGAAAGAATTTGTGACACATTTGCGGAATACTGTTGGCGCTGATTACTTTTTAGTTGCAGAATACTGGAGAGGACATGTGGGTCTACTTCTGGGCTATCTCAAACGAATGGATTATGGAGTCTCTTTATTCGATGTTCCACTTTTGGGCCGGTTTGCAGCTATCTCCAAGATGGCAGGTGGGGATCTACGGAATATTTTCAAAGGCACATTAGTAGAACAGATGCCGTCGCATGCAGTAGTAAGACTCGATCATCTTGGGAAATGATTACCGCTAACACTTTAGCTGTCAGATTTTTGTTGGCAATCATGATACGGTATGTTGAAGTCCATATACATGAATTGAGTGGAACTTACAATTCCCCAGCAACCGGGACAATCACTAGAGGTGAGATAAACCCAACCTTTAGCATTATGCAACCCTAGGACGTGGGATGAGTACTTAAGGTCCTGATAGACTATCATTGCACCATTTTTCAAAACTCTCGCATACTCTTTAATCCTCCTTCGAAGCCAAGGGCAGCCATGCATTTTCTATGGAGACCTCTATGGGATCAATGGTGGACCCGAGCCCCAGCCTGGGCCATCATGCAGCGGAAAAATTCCCATACTCACCCGTGCCCGAAAGCTATATGCACATGGGGACCAGCGAGATTACTTCAATAGACGAAACTGCATTGGTGAGTATAATTTCTTGGGATTTGCAGTGGTGTTTCTTACAATTGTACAGGATTCGTGCGCTACGGGAACTATCAACACCCATTCGGTCTTGCCTGTATCCTTAGTAACGGTGCCGCATCCTATAAGCGCATGCTTGTTGGTCGCAAACATGCCGGGGAATTATGGACAGATATTCTCGGCTGGCGAAATGAGACGATAGTCATTAATAACTGGGGCTTTGGAGTGTTCCCAGTCGCCGCTATGAGTGTTAGTGTCTGGGTGAACTCTCAAGCCGAGGGAAGGAATGTAATCAATCGGCCTTTGTAAGTTCCATCCACCAAGACATGTGAATTTTCGCTGCTCAGAGATTGGGGATTGAGATGCTGACTAGCCATTTCATATTAGCAACGAAAACATATACAGCTTCTAAGAGTTGATGGGACAGAATATCCTTGTGGTCATCCGTGGATAGACACTAATTTATATTGAGCTTTAATACTTGTGCTTGTTGAACAACTCATAATACATCGTTACCGCAATTGAGGAGAGGTGAAAGAATTCTTGAGGCATTTTGAGGCTCCATTTGTAGTCTTCTTCCCCCGATGTCTTGCAGATACGCAAGGGGTAGGTACATATGTACATTTGACAATTGTCGACTTCTTGGTTACTCAAATATGACGACAAAGATGCTAAGTTAATATACCTGGGCAGACTTGCCTCGAAGCAATGCCTCCAAGTTCACCAAACGAAAGGGATGCATCTGGGTAGCGACATTAACTCTACTATCAGATTGACAGATTGATTAGTTTGGTGTAATGTTGTGGCAATGCGTAGAAGTTGAAGATATCTTAGCGATGATGGCGCTAATACAATTATCTCCACTGTAAACGTGCAAATTTAACATTTAATCGAACGTTCCTGCTGTCCTCGGGCGTGCCTTGTTGCCTGTGTACATCAATCGAATGCCTGAGGCAGAACTTGGTGGCGTGTTCACCAAATTCCGGAATCGCCTGCCACTTAAAAACATTCCAGGCCCACACATACACACAGTACCGATATTCTTTCCAAAAAATATCATCTCAGAGGTATGTCGGTTGCGGGAGACTCTTTCATATTCTTGTTCTCGACTTTTGGGCGGTCAGGACATATCGGCCAGAAAGCCGAACCCGTCAGCACGCAACCGGAAATAACGCACATGGCTTACCCGACATCAGCCCAACTCCTAATAAATGAGTTGCCCAAGGGCCTACCCTACAACATACACATCGAAAGAGATAGCATACCCCTGAAACAGCATGGTTCGCTTACTCTAGTGGAGAGCTTTCGGATCCATCCTCCGAGAACGAAATATGTTTAGCCCATGCTGTGCGGAATACCCCGTTCCCGTTGTGCCCAGCATTGGCGTCCCCGCTACAAGGAGCTTCCTCATACCAAAAGTCGGCTATAGCTCGATCGGGTCAAGTAGTCCACTACGCAAATCACGCACATCATGGGAACAAGTGCTCGTCAACCCAATCGAGCCTCATTGGTTCTAACTTACATGACAGGGAACCTGTCTGGCGCAATTGCTAATGCAAGACCAATCGATTGATCGGCAGGGTCTCCGCCCCTCATCACACATTCAAGAATTCAATATCCAAATGACTAGATGCATGCGGTCGAGATATTTACCTCGAGATTTGCAAGGGTAGGCTTAGATTGCTTTCGTAGTTTCGCAAGCGACATGTGCTAGTACGTCAAGGATTGTGATAATCGGTCTTCTATGCGAGATTCCATGTGATTTTTCATACAGTCACATTTTCAGTTGCCACTTTAGCAATCTGCAGCTGCTTGGCTCCTGTTTCTCGCCCAAACAGTTGGGGAAAAGCCGTCCTACCCGGGCCAGGTCTACTGATCAACACCACCAAATGCCTAATTTGACAGGGAAGGCTAGTCTCTCCTGTATTTTCCAAACTGGACTCGCGTCCAAGCTCGATTTGTCAAAGTTAGGGCGTACAATCAGAGATTGCTCTATGAATGTGGAGTCGAACCCACATTAAACACAACTTTTATTTGTCCGAGTCAGACATCCACTGGTACTCTGTGGGGTTGGTCTTTTTCAACTTTGAACACTTTATAACTCTTGCGTCCCGCCTGGATCTTCATCTAGCGTACGAACTGTTGATTTTGTTGACGAGTCAAGGTCGCCAAGATGTCGGACCATGTGGCTGCTGAGGAAAATGTGCAAAAAGTCATGCCGGCAACAGGTCAGTCATCTATATTCTTTGTCGATACTTTCTGTGTTGTATCTTAGGAGTTAAAAACACTGAAACTGTTGTATAGAGCAAGTAGTGGCTCCCTCTCACGAGTCACATCACTCTCATGAATCTGAAGACCAAGACTCAGAAGTCGACCATGAGCCCATTCAAGAACGCTATGGAAATCCTTCGTACTCTAGATTCCGCCAAGTGGCCTCCAAAACGATTGTTTCATTCGGGCCTAATGACCCAGAAAACCCCGTCAACTGGAGAACGGTATGTGGGATATTGTCTTATAACTAGCGCGAAGAAAACAATACTGATATGTTCAATAGAGGAGGAAGTTCCTTGTTCTCGCAGCTGGTGTCCTGCAGGTCATGAACAGTACTATCGGCTCGTCAATTTGTAGCAACGCCATCCCCCAAATTGCCGAAGAGTTCAACATCACCAACGAAACAATGCTCGTCTTGCCCATCTCCATCTTCCTGATCGGCTACATTGTGGGACCATTGTTATGGGGTCCTAGCTCCGAATATTTTGGTCGGAAGGCCCCTTTGCTCATCTCTTTCATCTTATTCATGATATTCACGCTGGCGTGCGCTGTCGCAAATTCGTATGCATCTCTGCTTGTCTTCCGATTATTCAACGGCATGGTCGCGTCGGCGCCTATTGCTACTGTCGGCGGATTGTTTGCTGATGTACATGATGATCCCACACTGCGAGGCCGTCTGATGGCTTATTTCATGGCGGTAAGCTTGCCGCATGCACTTAACTAGCGTTGGTTCCAACAGCTAATTTTTCAACAGTGCACAACCCTCGGGCCAATCATCGGACCTTGGCTGTCTGGGTTTGTGGCAGTTGTCAGCTGGCGTTGGTGCTTTTGGATTGGACTCATTCTGTCAGGCGCTACATTACCATTGATTATCTTCATGCCTGAAACTTATGCCCCGGTCATTCTAAAGCGTCGTGCGAAAAAGCTACGCAAAGACACCGGCAATTCAAACATCGTATCGCCATTGGAGATTCAGAGTCGCAATGTGCGAGAAATGCTTCTTATCACGATCTCGCGACCCTTCCGCATGATCATCCATGAGTATATCGTTTCTCTGAGTTCGTTGTATCTTGCTCTGGCATATGCAATCTTCTACCTCTACTTCGAGGCATATCCAATCATCTTCCAAGGTCGGTGATCCATCCCAGCTGGCGAATGCAGAACGCTGTTAGAGACAAGTACTGACGAAAATCATACAGGTATCTACAAAATGAGCCCTGGTGTGTCTGGCTTGATGTTTCTACCTAGTAAGTTCATCCATGCGGCCATTCATCTAAACCGAATAGTAGTAGATTCTAATGTTCATACAACAGTCGGCATCGGCGCCGTCCTTGCCTGTTTTATCTTCATATGGTACGATGGATTCCTAGCCCGAGCAAAGGCCCGCAACGCCAGCTGGGCCTTCATCGAGGAATACCGCAGACTCCCCCTCGCCTGCATCGGCGGGCCTCTATACGTGATCTCCCTCTTTTGGGTAGGCTGGACAGCTTCACCAAACATCCACTGGGTCGTCCCCTTCCTCTCCGGCATCCCATTCGGAATGGGCTACCTGTTGATTTTCATGGCTATGCTAAATTACTTGACCGACGCCTACGAGACCCTCTCGGCCAGTGCACAGTCCGCCGCAAGCTGCACACGAAGCATCCTAGGCGCTGTACTCCCGCTCGCGGCTAAGCCGATGTTCAACCGGCTCGGAGTGCCTTGGGCTTGCAGTTTGATTGCCTTCCTCAGTCTGGGCGTTTCAGTAATCCCGTTCGCTTTTATTCGCTACGGTGACCGCATCAGAGCAAACAGCAAGTTCTGTCAGGAGCTCAAGCGCATCAAAGAGGATGAGAAGTTGGAGTGGGAGAGAGAGGAACGTCTTGCGAATGGTGGTGATACTCTCGAGCCCATCCCATCCCGCAATACTGGGATTTCGATGACGAGGATCGATACTGCTCGCACGGATAAAGCTTCTATTATTTGTTGAAGATAGTCAGAGAATCTGTCTCTGAGGCTGAGTGAGTGCTTCTCGCGATTTACTCATGGAGTATTGTCTCGACAAAGAGACTTTCTTCACGCGTGTTGGGAGATTTGTTCCCCTTGGCTCTTGGGGGGGTTTTTTTTTCATCGATTTGGCGATTCAAAAGTTTTGATTTTCTTTCACGAGGCGAGTGACATGACCATATACTTCTTCTCTAATGTTTAAGCAACACAGGACCTCCACCAGCTGCTTTGAACTACGCTCCTATCGAAAGGAGAGAAACGCTCAGGTGCCTGAATTTTCATTTATGTTTTGCTTTTTGTTCCCCCATTCTGAGACGTCTTACTATACTTTCTACCAGGGGCCAGGGATTGCATTGGGCGAGCGTTTTTTTCATAATGAGATTGATTTTGATAGCTTGCATTAGGAGGGCTCTAGAAATAACTTTTAGTATAGTCTTAATAAATCTGACTGTTTTTCTTTCAACTACTCTCGCTCTAATCCAACCAAGGTTCTCTCGACAGGAAGGAAGAGAGAGGGCAAGAGCTCTGAGGCTATCAAAAATTGTGGCCTTAGGCAACAAGTACAAGTAGTATAGGGGAGGCTCTTTTGAATATCTCTGATTATACATAGCAGTTTATTCTTTTTTCCTTCGCTCTCGTATATTGTACATCTTATATTGTAGAGTCATTCTGTATTTCTATAGCTAATATTATACCACACCGGGGGCTTTTGGTAATCTATTAGCACAGCATAGTACTAGATAAGGCACACGATGGCGTTTAATTTGTGATTGGTCTCGTCACCTGACGCTAGCGACAAAAGTCCCTCAATCCCTAACCAACATGAGACATTCCGGTACGGAGTGGCCGAAGGATTTGCATGGTTCATGTTTGCTGACTGAGCAGATCCCCGAGGGCTGAACGTGGAAGCTTACTCTGGAAGATAAATCCGAAAACAACAGAGTCGGCATTTTTGTTTATTGACCTTGCCCAAGTAATTAGGCGCCGGCTACCTAGGTAGCCTTGCACTTCACATCTAACGAAACGCGAAAAAAAGTTCAAGTTAGGTTTCTAAGCCTTCAAACCAAAAACCATGGGTCTTCAAATGCCGTTGAACGGCACATCTGGGTCAATCGCGCTGTCGCTCATCTTGCTGTTTTGTTTACTCCAACGAATCCGCTATCGTCGACAGTCGAGCACAAACCTGGCTATCTCACAGCACAAGAAGAAACTGGTTGGTTCCTGTTTTTAAAAAGTTCTGACGTCTCTACATTTTGTTGACGCGGAGTAGATCCTTCCCATTGTTCTTCTTGCAATTCACTCGGTTTACTTTTGGTATTTCCTGTTGAGGGGCTATCCCGATGCAAGCCTTGCCATTCTTGGGGACTCTATCTTAATTCTGGTAGCGGCAACTGCAGCTGTCTCGCTATCAATTCTCGAACAAAATGGACCTATTGGTGCCTCAGGCATCAAGCTAGTGTACCTCGCGTGCTCCCTAACAAGAGATCTTTTGGAAATACGAGCCACTACAAGCTGCTCCAGCATTGGGGCTTGTTACTTAGTCAAATCTAGGGCCTTATTGGAGGGAATCTGGCTGGCTTGGGATCTACGGGCCAGGGGCTTCTCACATCGTGGCCAAAGGTCTAGTTCTACGCCAGAGGAAGCAGCGGGCCTCCTTGATCAACTTTTCTTCAGTTGGTTAAATCCAGTGCTAAGGAAAGGATATAGCGCCAGGCTGAGCCTTTCTAATCTGCCCGAGATTGACGGACATCTTTCGTCAAATAGACTGCGAAGACAAATTTTGGAATCCTGGGCTGCGAAGTGTACGTTAACCGCGTCTTTTTTTTGTTTTTCTTTCGGGAACATTGTCCAATGCTAATATGCGATTTAGCCCACGTCCACACAAGATGGAAGCTTCCATATGCGTTAGCGGAGTGTCTGAAGGGTGCATTAATATCACCCATATTCCCGCGCCTATTCCTAATTCTATTCACTTATCTGCAACCAGTTTTTATTGGAGTTGCGATCAAGTTTGTCAATGGCACCCCTGATGCTAGTATCCACGGAAGTAGTGGCTTTAGGTTGCTGTTTTTTGCTACAATCCTGTATATGGGGATAGCGGTAGGTTAAAACAACATTCATTTGCCTGCTTCGCCATTCTGACGCGCGACTACTCAGGTATCAGCCGCAATCTACCAAAGCCGGATCAACAGGCTGCGTGTGATGGTCCGGGGAGCACTGATCGGTCTCATTCACCACCAGTCTCTTCATTTGACACATGAAAAGTCGCAAGGCTCGTCCGCATTGACATTGATTACTTCCGATATCGATAGTATCGAGTCTGTTGGTGAAACATTTCACGAGACTTGGGCCCGGCTTGTGGAGGTTGTCACTGGGACGGCGCTGCTGGCCTCTCATATCCAATGGTTTGCATTCCTACCATTGGTGATAATCTTCGGTAAGTTTTGCCCAACGCAGAACTTCTGAGAGTTAAATTGTATGTGTGCTGACCGCTATTTGTAGCATGTTCGCGGATGAGTGCATATGTTGCAAAGCACTTGGAGAACCGGCAAAAAAGCTGGAACGAGGCAACTCAAAGCCGTATTGCCGCCACAACTTCAACTTTGGAAGGTATCAAGAGCCTTAAGATAATGGGCATGGAAGATGCAATCCGGTCACAGATATTGCATTTGCGAAATAACGAGATTCAAATATCGAAGCCTTTCAGATGGATCCTAGTTGCCTACAATGCAAGTGGTATGTATCGATTCGAACGGACGGATATGTGGCCATTGGTGCTAACTCTTTATCCAAGCAAATGCACTTGGGATTCTCGCCCCTGTGTTGACTCTAATCCTCTTCGCTATGTCTTCAAAAAACGATCGATTGCAGGCCGATCAAATATTTACATCTCTTGCGCTACTAGCCATGGTAACTCACCCAGCTAACATGGTCATGACGCTCATTCCACGGGCTATTTCTGTAATGTCAAACTTCGATCGCATACAAACTTATATCAGCCAGCCGTCTATTCAAGACCAGCGGGAATCCTCTCCACACGGTAGCATTCAACAATTGGCTAAAATTCAAGACGTTTCAATTCAACCTGCTTCATTGGCCAATCCTATTATTCATGATGTCTCTCAGTCTCTCGATCGTGGCGAGATTTTGATTTGCGCTGGTGCTGTTGGGAGCGGCAAAACAACATTAGCGATGGCAATTCTGGGAGAAGTAACTCCTATCAAGGGCTCTATATCTGTATCTTCAAAGAATATTGCATACTGTGCCCAAGGTTCATGGCTGCCTAGCGTTGCTATTCGGGAAGCTATATCGGGGCAACCGCTCGACCTAGATATCGAATGGTACAACACGGTGATTGAAGCCTGTGGTTTACTGTCAGACTTCGACTCTTTTGTTGGTGGTGACATGGCGCTGATCGAGAACAATGGGATGAATCTGTCCGGAGGGCAAAAACAGCGTATAGTATGTGCTATTCTTTCCATTTGGCCGCTCCTCATTGCATACCAGTTTGCTGACAAAAGCACCGAAGGCTCTGGCTCGCGCGGTCTACTCAAAATACAAGATGCTCATTCTGGATGATCCGTTCAGTGCTCTCGACCCCGCTGTCACAAACCATATCGTGCAAAGGTTGTTGAGCCCGCGAGGTCTGTTTCGAAAAATGGGGACAACAGTATTTTTGATCAGTAACTCCAGTAGGTTCCAAACTATCTGTGCAAACATTTACGTTTCCTCTGACATCAGGGATTGAATAGAAGAGTTGTTCCCAATTGCGGATAGAGTGCTACTTCTGCAAGATTCAAGACTACACCTTCAACCTCAGTCCCATTTCCAAGACCCGAAAGCCTCTATTGGGGTTTCTACATTGTCAGAAAATCCCTTTAGCAGTGCTCCACGCCACGAGAAGCCTAAGGTTGCCGCACTAATTCGGAAGCTACACCTAAACGATGCTGCGGACGAGATCGCTCGGAGGACCGGTGATCTTAAAATCTATGGTATGATATACGTGCACTTCTTTTTTATAATTTTTTATTGACCTCAGATAGACTATTACATTAATGCAATTGGCCGAGCGAACTCTCTGCTTTTGATTGCTTGTACTGCTGGTTTCGCGTTCGGTTCTACGTTCGCCCAGTATGTGCTCAAATGGGCGACAGAATCACCCCGGGAAAATTTAGCCTTCTACATGTCTCTCTATGCCGCAGTCTCCTCGATCGCATGGGCTTCAACTAGTGGGACGACGTGGTAGGACTATTCGCCGTCCAAATTGGCTAACTATGCTAATTTTTCTCCAGGTGCGCTCAAATGAAAGTGGCTGTCAAGTCGGGGGCCGTTTTGCACGCGAACCTTCTTGATCGGATCCTCAAGTTTGTTTTCAATCTCTGCATTCCAATACCAAACACATTGGGTACTGATCAACCTGAAACAGGGCCCCTCTGTCTTACTTCGGTGAAACTGATCTTGGCGCTATCGTGAACAGGTCTGTGAACCCTTCTTTTCTAGGAAATAAGTACACCTCTGAATAATGGTCTTGATCTACAGGTTTGGGCAGGACATAAATGTTGTCGATAAGCAGCTCCCTCCGACACTGGGAAATTTCAATACCCGTATGATTAGCCTCATCCCTGACTTTGGTTCGTTTTATTGACTATTCATTCAGAAATTTTCAAACTGGCAATGCAGTTGATCCTGCTTTTGAAGATCCGACCTGTGATGACTCTCACTGTACCAATCTGTGCCATGTGCGTTTACTCCATCCAACGAATTTACCTTCGGACATCTCGACAACTGCGCTTCCTTGAGTTGGAGTCACGATCATTAGTGTTCACTAATTTCCTAGATACGGTATGTGCTTCTGCTACAAATTCATATTGATCCCGCTTCTGACAATATTCCCAGGCGAGTGGCATCGTTACAATCCGAGCATTTGGTTGGAAAGAAAAGTTTGAGAACGAAAATGTCAGATCATTAGACCTGTCTCAAAAGCCATTCTATATTCTTCTCTGCCTCCAATGCTGGCTGAAGATGATCATGGATTGTATTATTGCGATTTTCGCAGTCATTCTGATTGCTTTCACCGTTCTATATCGGAATACGACCACTGGTGCCGACCTTGGCGTGGCTCTAAACTTGCTTATCGTTGCAAACACCACACTCCTACGACTTGTACAGTCGTGGACTTCTCTGGAAACTTCTCTGGGGTCCATTGCTCGACTGAAGAGCATACAAGACTGTGTTCCCAGTGAGGATGACATCGGGGGTATTCTAGACCCTGACCTACAATGGCCCTCTTCCGGGCATTTGCAGGTCAAGGACATCTCCGTCGCCTATGCAAAATCTGAGGCCCCTTCCCTGTCCAATCTCTCTCTTACTGTCAACCCTGGACAGAACATCATTGTTATAGGCCGAACAGGGAGGTAAGAAACAACTTGGTTCAATCATTTGCGCCTTTGAGACCTCCATGACTAACTACTTTCTCTTTTTCTAGTGGCAAAAGTACTTTGATGCTCTCATTGCTCCAGCTCCTCCAGCCTAAAAAGGGATCCATATTAATTGACGACATCAATATTGGCCATTTATGCCCCAGAACTGTCCGAAACCGGGGGTTCATTGCGGTGCCTCAAGATGGTTTCAGCATTCCCACGGCCAGTCTCCGGTTTAACCTAGATCCCTACCACACAAGCTCGGATCAAGATATATTATGGAGTCTCCAGAGGACAGGTCTTTGGGACAAGATTTATGCGACAACAATCATTTCAACAAGCGAAAAAGGAAACATGAATAATGATATTCGGAATTTACTAGATCTTCCTATGTCTTCATTTCTGCCATTCTCGTCCGGACAGTTACAGCTGTTTGCTCTAAGCCGGACACTGCTGCGAATTCGATCCTCTGCACCACACAAGCCCGTTATCATCTTAGATGAAGCTAGCTCTTCCTTGGACTCGGAGACAGAGGCTGTTCTGACAGATATGCTTCGCCATGATCTCCAAGGTCACACTATTGTTATGATTGCACATCGTGTTGCGGGTCTCACGGGCGCTATGAGACCTGGGGTGGATGCAATTGCCACTATGCAAGATGGAAAGTTGCAAACAGTACCTCTTAGGGAATGATCTACTTGATTAACGCCTCTATAGGGAGGAAGGTCACTAGGAATTATCCAAGTCTTGCCATTGTCGCGTCTTTTCGAAAATGAGCTATGAATACTTGCTTAAGCAGTATTTGGTTCATGTACGTTTTCATCATGCGGTTGATATCTCTAATATTGAATAGCAACATGATCAAGTACTTCATACTTGCTGTCCAACTAACAAAAAAGACCCCTTGCTCTAAATATCCAAAATGGGCACTCTCTACGGCTGAAATATAGAATAACCATGTGATCAGTAAAAAGGTGGCTCATTTAACAATATCCTGTGCCACCAAAGTCCCTGTTAAGTACACATAACCCCTATTGGAGAAATTATTTCCGTAAACATGATGCACTTCCTATGATTTTCTCGGCTGGAGCGCTACTAATGCAAAAAATAAAGGCCGGGTAGACGGGAGATCCACCTTGGGATATACAACCCAACCAGCGAGAACAGCTGCAGGTGATCTAAATGTCTGTGCGTAAGAGACAGGTAACAAAAAAAGAAAAGAAAGAGAAAAAAACGACTTTGCGGACCCGATGGGGCGATTGCCAAAGCCTCGAGTGGTGACTTGCATTGGTCTGCACTTTAATTGTAGTGATCTAGATCCAGGATGAAGACTTCAAGGTCTCAGGGATTGAAGGTCCAGACTCTAGAAAAGTCTTGGGTCAAGTTCCACTAGGGGCATTGATTGGGTCGTGTGGACATACTAGATTAAAAACTATTTATGTAGCGAAAGGATTCTGTGCGGAGTACGGAATACTATGTACAGCATTACCTACTCATCTATTCCGTACTCCGTAGTTATGAATGAAATGCGCAAACAAGTTCGTGAAGATCATGAGCGGTGGCGAAAATCTGTATTATGCTTTGTAGATCGATCCGATCCTGGTCATGGTGGTCTGTGTGGGAATATGAACAGGGGGACATCGTGGAAAGGAGGCTATGACGGGGAGGCGAAAAAAAGAGCAGGGAATAAGATAATCCTCTACGGGGTACAAATGACCAGAATCAAATCCGAGACCCGGAAAATAGAAAGGACTTGCGTAGTTCCATCGGGTCCGAGCAAAAAAAGAATAATAGCGGCAAACGCGCTTTACGCGAAAGGGGGGATGTGCGGTTGCAGCGGGAACCCCAGATGGAGTCTGTGGAGCCTCTAAAAAGGGTATTGTGGTAAATTATGGCCCGGTGATCGAGAGTGAGACCACTTTTACTTTAATAATTTGGCTTTGGTTTGTGTTTATTATTAATGTTAATGTGAAGGTGAATGTTAATGTTAGGTGTGAGTGTTGGTGTCCAATGTCATGACATTGCTAGCCCAACCTAAAGCCAAGGAAAAACGAAGACCCTGTAGTAATCCCGGTATCTTTGAATCGGGGCTGATGTGAGGAGACCACCCGTTGGAGGAAAAAGAAAAGAAAAAGCCAGAAAAAGCCAGAAAAAGCCCCTTGATATCCCCCCCCCCACACGAGGGGTATGACTATGATACGTCAGAATCATTCCATGTGCCCATCTACCTAGCTCGGATGTGATGTGCACCTGAACTAGATCGGGCCCCCGGCCCATCCCCGAGCCAGTTAGATCTCATATGTCACTAAACACTTCCACACGGCATTGATTAACAGCTGAGGCCGGACCTGCGTGACCCCGGATCAAACATTCGGTCCTCTCGGAGTTTGGGTACTCACAAACATGAGCTGGCAAGCGCCTTACGCAGTTCAAATCAAGTCTTGGAAATTGTCTCGCCGACGATATCCGAAGCCTACAACATACATGGTAAATTGTTCGGGCGAGAATTAATCCCCCGAGTCGGCAAGCCATGGCGGTTCATGAAACGCACGGACGGTATAAACGAGCTTGACGATTGTTCGAAGCTAAATATGGTATTCTGTGTCTAGATCATAGAAGCCCTACTACGGAATTGATCCCCCGAGAGACTATGGGCCCAGATAGTTTCAAAGTACTCTTGTCCGACTGGCAAGGAGATCAATAACCAGTGAGAGATGGCTGAGTTGTAATCCATCTCCACTCATACACACTCGGAGCTGATTGTTTTGTGCACAGCCCTGAATGTCAGTTCCCACTCTTGAACTTTTGAAAATTAAATATAATATAATATAATATAATATGTATAATATGTATAATATAACACTCAAAAAATACCTCTGAGATCATGTGGCTGGCAGTACTCCCCGGTGAACTCTGACTTTTTTTGCGGGGAATCCCTGGGCGTATCACAGCAGTTCCGCAGGCACAACTTCGCTGAATGAGGCATGTGGAATGCAGCTGCCATACCTTTGAGCTATCCTTTTTTTTTGAGACTAGTGAAGCTGACTTAGAATTATCGTCTGGTGATCTTCTACTTTGCTGCCTGTTCCCGATCGTGACTTCATAGCCCGTCTTTAAAAATCATATTTATATCGTGTAGTCTAGGTCATAGTTCATCATATACAACTTTTTTTTACTTTCCTTTTTACTCTTCTTTGACATTGAGCGTTTTTGAATAATCGTTTTTATTTCCAAAAGAAAACAGTTCGAACATTCTATACGTCGAGCCTTTTAATGGAAAAAGTATGACGACCTTTTCACTAGTTGCCATTCCAATCTTCGTCTTTCTTTTCGCAGTAAGACACCAAAAAGAACTCCTCCAGTGGTTATCACACAATCTGAAAGGGAAACATTGCTCCAAAAATGTCTCCAATGCATCCGATGTCAAGCGTATGGCACCATACCCAGCGCAGCCCATCAGAGGCAGAGAGCGGTACCGCGTCATGATGGACGTTCGCAAACTCGACGCCCAGAATTGGCTCACCCTCGACAAGAACTATATGGACGAACACCAGGTCCGGTCCCAATTGCTTCACGAAAAAAGAGAGGAGGTCCTGCGCTGTTTGCCGGAGTCAATTGATCCGTGTCAGGAGGCATTGGAAGAAGTTTCAGACTTCCTCTGTGAAAGATTCCCCAATATGTTTGAAATGTCAATCGAAGACGGCCGAAAGATCGTCGACAATCGCATGACTGGTGACAAATTCACTGTCAGCGGGCGCGACCCCAATGAGGGATCAACTGAGGCACTTGAAGCCGCTGTCCGTCTCACGATGGAGGACCTCAGTATTTTGATGATGAATGAGGAAGGGGAATTCTACCTGTATGTCCAAATCCATGCATCAAAGCCAATTCGCCAATTCTGACACCAACACAGGGCAGCTAGCGCCAGTCTCTTCCCGACGGGGTGGACAGTGAACCAGAGAATTGGCTGGACCATCTCTCAACTGCATGGCCCTGTGCCATTATGGCACCAACAAGTCGCCAACTCTGTTAGCAAGTAAGTAATCTCCAAATGAGATTAGGCAGAACAGCCACACGGGGAAAAAAATAAACTAACCCCGTTCTCCAGATTCCTCGCCCGCTTAACCCCAAGATCTCCAATGGAACGGTCAAACTTCTTTGTAGAAGTCAAGGGACCAAATGAGAACCTAACCGAGATCCTCTACCGTCCTGGCTCCCTCTGCGAGAAAGAGCTGAGCAGCCCATTGCCATCAGATATCCTGATCCGCCGCGAAAGGCAGACTTTCCGTCGTCTCCCGCGCACAGGGGCGATCGTCTTCGGTGTCAAGACTTATCTCACCCCGCTGGATGAGCTTCCAATGGCTGAGCTGGATAATCTTGCCAAGGAGATGAAGAGTTGGCCTGATCATGTGGGTGAGTATAAGGGGAGGAATGTTTGGGGGGCTAAGGTTTTGGAATACTACCGGAAACGGGTTGGTGAGAAAAAGACATCGAACGAGGAGAAAGATGAGAAAATTGAGGTTTGAGTGGACTTTGTAATATCTTGTTTTCTTTTCGCATCTTGGTTCTGGGATATCAAAATTGGGTCGGCTTTTTTGTTTAACAACGCAAAAGTTGTTTTGTTTTCTCTTCATCGTCTGTGTTCTACTTTCGCATTTCTTGCCTGCGTTTTTGTTGGGTTTTGAAACTGATAAGACTGTGTCTTCGGTTTGACGATGTGTATTAAAGCTTCCAGATTGGTTCTATTGAATTATAACATGCTTGTGCAGTCGAGAAATAGCTAAGAATGACCAGATTCAGTACAAAGAAAAAACCACAGGAATTCGAGGGGGAACTAAGCCCAAATCTATAAATGAAGATATGTAAAAAGAAGCGAAAGTGATAGGAGCGATATAACTCCGTGAAGGTAGGGGTATAGCATAAGCTCTTTAAATCTTCGACAGTGGTGGCTTGTCTTGCTTTAACCGGACAACGCCCTATGATTGAGTTAGCACTAAGCCTCAGAATTAAAAAAAAAAAAAAGCAAATACATACCTCTTGCATGCAAGTAGCAATAAGCACTCCGTCCTTAGACCAAATCTTCTGAATTGCCAAGCCACGTCCTTCGCCAGCCCACGGACTCTCCATCTCCGTCAGCATCCACTCATCGGCACGGAATGCCCGGGGATTGTGGAAGTAAATTGAGTGGTCCAGGCTGACCATCATGCCAAGCTCTTTATGATCTGCCTCATTTTTACCCGTCGTAGCCCTGTTCAGGGCTCCCTCCAGACGGCGACGCAGTTCTGCAGCCTCCTCTTCCTTCAACTCTTTCAGAGCTCGCGTAATATCCTCATCGTCGAGATCGGACGGGTTCTTAAGTGCGTTCAAAAGTTTCTCGAGTTCGGCTGGGGAGGAAAATCGCGGGATATCGTGGACGAGCGAGATCGTACCGATGAAATAACTGTCGGTAATATACGCCAGTGCCGATAGGTGTGCTTGGAAACCACCTTCTTCGGAGATTGCGCCGCGGGCGCGAATGTATCGTCGGACCCTCTTATCTTCTTGGTTGGGGGATGTGCCTGTTTGATTCCGACGGTCATTAGTACAACGCGCACATCATGGAGTGTCCGAGTTGGGACGTACGGTTCAAAATGCCCGCCTTCCTTGATTCAAAGGGACCGCCGCCCGCATTGCTGAGGGCTTTTAGACTGCCCGGCTCAGCCTCTTCTGGCAATGGTACATTTGGCTTTGACACGGCGTGGTGAACCGTCTTCTCACCACCACTGCCGACTCGGCTGAAGCTCAGTGTGGTGGTGAAGATCGGCCGCCCCCGTTGTCGCGCCTGCACGGTTCGGGTAACAAAGCTCCTCCCATCGCGCACCCGCTCGACATGGTATAGAATTGGGATCTCGGAATCACCAGCAAGGACGAAATAGCAGTGCATGCTGTGGACAGCGTAGTCGGCGGGGACGGTCAGCATGGCGGCTGATAGGGATTGTGCGATCGCGGCACCGCCGTAAATGCCTCGAGCTCCGGGGGGATGCCATAGCGGGCGGGTATTAGTGAAGACATCCTAGAGACCAAGAGTGATTTGTTAGAGTATGACACTTTTCGCGACAGATGAATTGAGGGATGTCATACTCGGCCGAGGTCTACCACTGGCGTCAGATCAAGTACATTCTCGATAAGAGCCTTGGAATGATCCTGCGCGGGCGGATCGAAGATTGTTACGCGTTTTGACATTGTAATTTGTGTTCAAGAGAGATCAGAAATCAAGAGGTTAAATGCCCAAGTGGATTTCAGGGATGACGGTTTCCTGGAGTTTTAAATGCGGTCGGCCCTTGCACAGCCGAGGTCCAAGTGGGGATTTCTCATCTACCCCGGGTCTTCAGCATTGTACACATTGTGCATATTGTACATATTGTGCAGCTACACGTGCGGAAAATGATACATCATCCAATTATATTTCACATTGAATTGCTCCCAAGGTCGTATACTTCCTCTTTATACTCATATCCGATATTTCCCACGCCATAACATCAAGGGGTCAAATGACTCCAGTCCTTCTGCGCTCTGCCCTCAGGTAAATCGAAGCGATAAGTGTTTCGCACAAGATCAGGGGATGGTGCGTTGGTACTCCGTTCCCCCAATAAGCGAAGCAACTGGCGACGTTGCATCTCTTCGTCGGTGAGTAGTGGTGTGCCTTCCGCTCGGTAACGTCCGTATTCTCGATATATCAAGATCCCCGCGAGAGCGTAACACACCGAGAAAGCAGCGGGTAAGCATATATTTATGATCTGCAAGGTGTTAATCCGCAGGCTTCGCCCGTGGATATGGAATATGATGTTTAGGAGAGCGAGCAGATTTATTGTCGAGTATGGGCTGCAATTGTTAGCTAATGGCTGATAGAAGAGGCCCGGCTTTCATTGACACTTGCATAAAGATTGAGTGGAGGAGGAATAGCCTTCGGTGGCGCTGGGCGAAGGCAATCAGGGCTGATACACCATAAGATGCACCGACAAACACAAATGCAGTAACAGTAGATACTGTAATATTGATTCGCAACTCTTGGCGAGGGGAACCGACTACCACAGCTAGCATCATATACCTAACCACAGCAGGCTTATAGTCAGCGACCTCCAGTTCCCAAGTCATGCTCACATCTCATGGTGCTCAAACTCACCCGACTAGCTGTAAAGCTGCAAAACAGGCTGCTACCGCCTCCCATAGCCCTGAGACCCCAGACGCGTTAGTCCGGGGTAGGCTCCTCCAGACAGCCTCGTATGGAGAAGCTAGCATACTGACAATTATGCCAAACGCAAATCAAACTAATAAATGACGGTAGTAGAGATACAGGAGCTGGTAAGGTAAACAAAAACAAAACAAAATACAAATAACGAGTGTGTGAGAAGTTGGCTCCACCTTGGGCAAGATATGAGTGAGCAAACGAGCGGATTCAGAAGAGGAGGTTGGATGCAGAACTGCAGCTGAGGTCTGTGACCCCTCGGAGGCTCATCTAGGCAAACCGGTCTGCAGAACTAGTCTCTTAGCTGCGATCTAACATCCCGTAGGTCGCACAAGCAATGTATATACATATAATTGTTTATCCAAAGGTGATTGACGATGGATCACCTATACTATTGCAGTGTACTGCTTTTGGGCGCAAGTATCATAAGCTTAAACGTGAAATGCCGCGAACTGCCAAACTTTTAGGCACTGATCGGTAATCCTATTCAGAGAATATGAGTGCTGATCCCACCCGTGAACGTTATGCAACTACCCATGGCCCTGTCACTACCTCGTGATTTATTATGCAGTAATCCCGAGGTCCCGCTGCTTTTGTGATTTGATAAGTACGCGTTGAAAATTTTAAAAGATCGGATAACAAAACTTTCTCACAGAAAATAGATGCCGGTAAGCTTGGTAACTATACCGGTCAGAGCTAGAAGAATAAGATAAAAAAGTTACACTATGATCTAGCTTGTTTCTATAAGAAGCTCTAGTACGCTTTGAATACCCGTCGAATGGCATGCCCTAGGATATCAAGGACCCCGTCCAAAAATTAACATAGGTTCTCATGGCATCTTTCATAAAATCAAAATGAGTTACCTCAACAATGCGACCGTCTAGAAAAAGCCGAAATCTAATGTGTTCCACGTGTCTCACTGCTTGTTTCTCCAAGAACTCGATAACATCGAATGTCTTCGGTTCTTCCATACCAGAACCGTCTTAGAGAACATCATATCATATATGGGCTGGATTCGGTCGGTATCGATGTATAGCCCACCCTCGCGTGTAAAGGTACCCTCAATGAATTAGATTCCTCGATATCCCTATGATGTTATGTCCTCCAAAACAGCCATGACGGTCGCACAAGATTAGTTCATGCCCAGCTTCCTACCATGTTTTGCCCCCCTCTAATTGATGCCAAGATAGCTAACCTAGCGCCTAGCCACCATCGAACTACTTGCATTCTATCATCCTCTTCCAAACGTGGCAAAATACATACTTCCGCTCACTCGGCCATACTTAAGACAGTTATTCTACATAACTACTTATTTGTCAAAATGCCTCAACGCCTAGGCAGCACTCTAAAGTAAAATAGAGCACGGGTGACATATCTGAGAAGTCTGGAGACTGGGGTAAGCGAGGTAAGAGTGGGGTAACAATTATGACCTACAACAAAGGGGTTGGGTGATAAGGACCAATTTATGTACTCAAAGCTTTCTGTCATATGCGCCGTATCAGGTAGATTTATACGTGAATATTGGAATAAATAGAATAATATTATCACCACGGCCTAACACTTATTACGCTAGAAAAATACGAATGTCTGATAACTACCCCGTAAACCCCGGACGTCGAATGTCATACTCGATTTCTAGAAGACTAACGGCCATGATTGTGGCTGAAATCCTCTTCGCAGAACAGGCAGGTAGATAGCATCGGATGCCATCGGACCCCTGAAATAGGTATACAATGAACGGAGTGGTTCCAAGATTCAAAGCTGGCGTATTCACGTGGAAAACGTGGATGTGGAGTTAACTAACCTTATCAGGTTAAATATGTTTCTCCGAGCCAATGGGAACCAATGGCAACCATGAAACCTCCAACTGCTATGACTCGCCTTATCAGTGAATTGCCGGAATATGGCCTTGGCAAAAGATAGGAAATATGCTAACAATCTCCGACAGCTATACGGAGAGAACTAATCCCCTGGCTAGTCCCTTTTGATCCATTAAAATCAGGTACCCCAAATTTGTCATGCATGCTTTCACCAGATCTTCTTATCGCTGAGAGTACCCTCGATAGCCGAATACAACGATCTGAGACAAGTACGAGGTGATAGCGGACGTATATATATGGCTAGGTCATGCCCGGGCTTTTGATAAAAGTACCTTTTTGCAACCCATCAATCCTTAGTATAGAGTGGCTAGGTCAATCATCATGGTCTCTACTACTACTTCCTACGGGCTACCAGCTCTGTTGGCCGCCCTTTTATCCCTCTCCGCCACCACCATCGCGACAATCACTTCCAAAGGTCAAACTGTTGAACTCAATGGAAACACCTATTATATTCCTCCGAGAGTAGTAACAACCCTGAAGGCTGACGCGCACGTGTTCGGCAAACTCAATGGCTTGCAACCTCTGACAGTCATTCGGAGCGATGCCGTGAAGTTGACAAGCTCAATCCTTGATTCATTGGTGAGCAGCTACGAGTCTGCTGACGATGTCTTCAACGCTGGGTTCCTCGACAACATCTACGTCGAGTACAACGGTACCTCCAAGAATCCCTCACAGAACGTGCCAACCGATTCTTCATGGGGCCCTAAGATCCTGGGATATGCATCTGCATATGGTACCAAGAAATCAAAGACAGTGACCTCATCGTCGAATCTGCCTGCTGGCCCATATTTCTTGGATCCTTCCAGTGGAGCCGTTTTTGAAGCCTGGCTGTTGTATTCCGATGTGATGGGCTCTTTCACTCAGGGATTGGTCTCCGTTGGTGATAATGAGTACGATGTTTTGCCTGCAAGCTTGCAGGGCTATGCGTCGTTGACTATTGGCGTTCCTTCGCGGCTGTACTATACTAAGACAGCAGATAAGCCTTTGGCGGGTGTAAGTATTTTCCTCCCTCCACTCTTTTCGTAAGAGGGGCCCTTGTGGAAGAGACAGGAAATACTGACTATTGATCCACTCATAGGTTCGTCTTGGTGTTAAGGATATCTACGATATCAAGGGTGTCAAGACCGGCTGTGGTAACCGCGCTTACTATGAAACGTACCCAGTCGCTAACGCTACTGGCCCTGCAATCCAGTCCCTCATTGATGCGGGCGCCATTATTGTTGGTAAGATGAAGACCAGTCAATTCGCCAACGGTGAGACCGCCACCGATGATTGGGTTGATTACCACTCTCCCTTCAACGCCCGCGGTGACGGGTACCAAGATCCTAGCTCATCTTCGTCCGGTCCTGGCTCTGGCATTGGAGCTTATGACTGGTTGGACCTGGCAATTGGAAGTGACACCGGAGGCTCAATTCGCAACCCTTCGCAAGTGAACGGATGCTTCGGTAACCGACCCTCATGGAACTTGGTCTCGTTGGATAATGTTATGCCCATGTCCCCGCTTTTGGATACAGCCGGATTCTTGACAAGAGATGCGCAATTGTGGCGCGCTGCTGCGGAGGTGATGTACAAGGATGCAGGCCTGAAGTCCTACACCAAGTACCCCAAGTCTATCAAGACCATTGATTTCCCAGTTAATGCCTCCACCCCAGCTGAGGGCCTTTTGGTTGATTTCGTCGACAAGCTTTCGTCCTTCTTGGGAGGTGCGACTGTTTCCGAATTTGATTACGATGATCTCTGGGAATCCACCAAGCCTTCGACTGTTGCCGCCAACACGACCCTCGACAGCATGTTGGCTCTCACTTACCCTATCCTCATTTCGAAGCAGCAGTATCCTCTCATTGCCGCACCATTGTATGCAGACTACGCCGCTGCTAATGGAGGTCGCACGCCGTTCATCAACCCCGTTCCTAAGTCCCGTTGGGATTGGGGACTTGGGTACCCGGAATCGCAACTGGATACTGAAATCGAACACAAGAACACCTTTACCAGCTGGTGGAATTCAACTGCTCAGGTTTTCGACGAGGAGACTTGCGCAGACAGTTTGATTCTTTACATTGGAGCTGAAGCCTCACCAACCTACCGCAATACTTACCGGAGGTATGTGCTTGTCCTTTCCCGCATTATAGGATATTTGAGAGACTGTTTGCTAATCTGTTAAAATTATATAGCATGCCGGGTATCCCGAGAGGATTTGCTACTTCGCGTATCGCCAACTTTGCTGGTATCCCCGATATGGTCGTTCCGAGTAAGCTTAACCCCTTATTACTTGAATAAACCTCTAGAAGGTTTGATTTGTGACTGTGACTAATTTTACTTATAATTTAGTCGGCCAAGCGCTCTACAACTCCACCATTACCCAGCAGCAGGAATATCTGCCTGTCGCGGTGGACTTCCTCGCACCTCACGGCTGTGATCTGATGGTCTTCAACCTGATCAATGAGTTGGTGGAGGCTGGTATCGTGAAGCAGCCTGGCGCAGGATCCACTTTGTACGGAGAAGAGGCTACTTACTATTGAGTAAGAAAATGAGCAGGTAGCTGCCCAGGTGGGGTATCATTGTATATTCATTAATGTATAGATTTTGTCTTATAAATATTTTTTTTTCTTTCGTTCTTCTCGCAAGTTAACATCTAATGCACGTAGACAGTCAGGCAGCGAGGCTTTGCTTGCTTGCTTACAGGATATCATGCATCTCTCTTTGTCTCCATAAAGCTATATAGAGAGCTTCGTGGCAGTAGGTAAACACAACAACTTTCATCTATCTCTCTGCTTTTCCTTTTCCTTCTTACTTTGTAGTAACGCAGAGATCTACGTGCATCAAGATTTGCCTTTCCGCATTTAATATTTTTTCAAAAGATTCCAAATACAAATATTCGATCTATACAGGTAAAAGCTTGAGATGCTCGTCGTGCTCGAGCCGTAGCTAATCCTGTCAACTCTGTCCACCCTGTTAGAAAGTCCTTCGGATTCATGTTCACATCTAGGATATCTCGACGGAGAAGATTTGACCCTAGAAAATATGCTACACACATGTATGTAGTTCGATTTATGAATACCCACCATTGCCTTGACTTTGAGTGGCCGTCGTGTATCTTCATACACTGAAATCAAATAGGCTGAGGTTGGCCCCTACTATAATGTAGATTCATCTCACGCACAGTGGGAGGTAGG